CCGGATGAAATGATGTGTCACTCCCTGTTAGAGCGAAGTTAGTCACCACTACCGCCAGCCACAGACGCAAGCATCCTCGAAGTCTCAAACAATTGCTCGAACATGGTGGTCTCAGCAGCAAATCCCCTGAGATTTGCATGGCCTCCTTCAGCTTGACAATGTGGCCAGTCGTGCCAGCGTTTTCACACTTCGTGCACGGCGGTTCTGGTACTTCCGGGGTTGGATCGGGCCTCCTCTGGATCAACCCATCATCCGAGACCCCTTGTCCAAGAGCCAGCACTAAGCATGCAGCAGGATGCATCTGGAAAGATGTGCAGGTAGCTCGGAAACTGCTTTTGTGACCTGTCACATTCTCCCCCAGAAAAGTCTAAGCAGTTGTGATGATCAAGGCTATGGTCAATCCCTGCAAAATCCGGCTTGGTACGTGCGCGCCGTTTTCCTCAATCGAACTGAATAATCTCCATCCAGGAGGCACTGCACCTCCTCTGAGTCTCAAACGGCGTAGAGAACAGGATCCCTTGACTCTGTGCCGAGATTTTCGGCTTCGGAGAGTGCTAGCCTGTTTTCTAGCGAGCGAGGCCATGCAGAACTGCCGCTCGTGGGCGGTCCAGGGACACGACGATACCGCGCCAGCTGCAGTCATTGGTCCCGGAGCTCGCATGCTGCAGAGCTACTGATGCCGCCGCCGGGACTCGAGGCGAATCTAACTCGTCAAGCGCGAGGGCTTCAAGCCCGGGGAAGCCCCTCCGAACACTTTCCCATCTGCAACCAGCTCGGCACCGCCTGAGGAGAGCGCAGTTCTGATCATGGAGAGATACGCAAGCTTGTGCCCTTTCGGTGCTCAAGTGAACAGATCGCTGTCCGCGATACCTTTCTGAGGTGCCAGACCCATTGACCAAACACTGCGCAAGTACGAAAGCCACCCACAATCAATCATTCAAGTCGGCTGATCCTCAGCTGCACAATTATGTCCTATCGAGCGCTCAGTCCGCTTGGCACTTCGGCACAGTGATGCCATCGACCGATCTTGCGCGGAGTCCGGGAGTTGAAGACCACACGAGCTGAAACGCGGGAGTCACCTCCGAAAACAATACAGACAGGCATCCTCTAAAGGCCAACCTCCAGAACTGTTTAGTCTGATCGCCGAAACCTGGCTCTGTCTATCTGTCTCCTCCTCAGGCAGGTCCTACTTTTCCTGAAGGAGGGAGTGACGGGGCTGCGGCTCCTCACGTTGTTCTTTCTCGTGTCGCGGTTCTCAGATCCTGCCAGAACGGATGAAGGGCAGGGGAACTCGCACAGGCTGGAGTGATGTCCCGTGTATTAGCCGACGTAGACACTCGTGATTGCAAGCATGTCGAGCTGAGAAGGACATGGAAGTTGCTGCACGAAGCCCCTTGACGCTGCTCACGGGTGGTTCACTTCTGTGGGTCGGTGCCTGCCGATACCAATCGCCTGTCATCAAAATGTGTGAAAGCAACAGCATCCTATTTTGAATCCAGAGAGGCAAGTTCCGCCAGGCCACCGAAGTGCCTGCGAGGCTTGGATTTCGAGCCACGCCAGGGAAGCTGGTGCCGCGACGACCTCGTATTCCCCGGTCACAGCAGGCCACTAGGCGTCTCAAGGGCGGTAGTCGTGCCGGTCCAGCCGCAGGACCCCCTCCAGGGACAGTGCCGATCCCCGGCCTGGCATCCCCTAGCTCAAACATTTGCCGTGGACTGATAGATTCTGGAATAGCTTCAAGCCGAGCGTCACCCCCTCATTTGACAGCAAGCTCTCCTTGGACAGCAGTTCGCTCGTAAAAGTCAATCCAACCACAGGGGGAACACTCTCCACTTGACGCGGATGCCATGTGGCTTTGGCAGCATGCCAGACTTTTTGACGTTTGCAACTCAAACACGATTGCGATTGTCTTATGACTCCTGTTTAAGCTACAGGGACGGGTCGTCCGCTTGGAATGATGGGTATTTCCGAGGAATTTGCTGAGGCTCGATTCCCATCGGCATGACTACTACCGACGGTCACACACGAGCGCTCGCATACCTGAGTGGTGGACGGTCGCGGTTGGCGGGTGAAGAGACTCCTAGTCCCAGCCATCAAGGTTGGGCGAGTGCTGTGTCTTGGCTTGGATTGGATGGCTCGTTTACCCAGCCGTGAAGCGGGATGCTGGTGTTGCAGGACCACTACTCCGGACGGGCTGGACACGCCCAAGCACAGTGCCCACCTGTATTGTGGTTGAATAAATTACGCAATCATGGTTCAAGATGAGGGCTAGATGAGGGCACTCAGAGGGTGTACGAGAGTCAGATGACCAACGCGTCCCGCCCTGCCAGAACCCAGTACTGGGTATATCTGAGATTCTCCCTGATGCGCTCTCTGCGGAGGATCTTCGACCACACTCCGCGGTCGAGAGCTATTTAGGGGGCACTTCACACAGCCAAGTTGAACACGTAGTGTGTGTTTTCCAAAGTCTCGGCATCACCATGCTAAAGACTCTGGTGACGGCAAATCTCGATTTATTTCCTCGCTGCTCGACATCAGTGGTTGCTGGCCACAGCGGTAATGGGAGCGGACACTGCGCCGCCGAAGCTGCTCAGTCTCGATGATTCGTGCACATCCTGTGGCTACGCACTATCTAGATCCTGAGAGCCAGGCTTCGACTTCCGATTTGCTTCGTGTTTGCTTGATGCAGCCATGGTGGCGCGTTGGCGACCCCTGCTGCAGTAACTCGTCCTTGCTCTGGCCAGCTCGGCCTTGGGTTCGTTATTCCGGGAGATGACCAACCGGCCTTCATCCTGTTGCTCTGCTTCTTTGTACCTCCCGAGCCAAACCGGCAGAAAGGGGTATTCCAATCAATATCATAGTCATCATCTATTGCTTGCGCACGCACAGCACACTGCGGTCACACTCCAACAGGGAGTCCTATTCAGCTGGCGGCGGCAGGCAGTGGTGATCTGGACGTATTGTTTCGAATGCCCATTAGCTGCGCACCATTGCCCAGAGCAACGATCCTCGCCTGCTCTTTTGGTTCCGTAGCTACACACAACACGATGTGCTGGCGGTGTCTGCGCGCGAAACCGTCGCAGGTCACCGTTGCTCAGGTGTGCGCCCTCAAGCCTGCAGAGTCCAGACCGTGGTTTTGTGAGGGTGTTTAGCTTGCAGTCCGGCCGTCTCGTTCTTCCCGCGCGAGCATCGGGTGATTCCCCAACACGCCATTTCTGCGTGCACAGTCCACAGTAGTGCCAACAATTTCTGGCTCAACCACGGAACTCGCCCTCCGGGGCAAGCCTAGGGGCCTCTAGGGGCGTCTTGTCTCTCCCAAGAAATTTTTCGGGCTTCAGCGTCACCCTGGGCTCAAGGCTCTGCAGCTCCCATGCATGACTTCCTCTTCGCCGCCTTTGTGGCACCTGCGTTGGTACCTGTCATCACTCCACCTTTTCCATCCTTGTCACTGCACACTCCGTCTTGTCTCTTACCCTTGCACCGTCTCCACCGAAGCGCGAACCTTGCTCGTATTCCCTGCGGTGCGATGGTTCCACCTGCGTCCAGGATGCGCCCCAGCATTCCCACCACGCCGTCCACGATCCTTGCTTCTTAGCGCTCGGTGATCCTGGCAAGCGATCAGCAAGGGTCAAGATGGCATGCGTGCGGTCACTTTGGGCTGGCTCCGGGCTACGCAGTCATATGCGAACCCACGAGGCCGCCAACCCCATTGAGTCGGACCATCCAAGCCAGGCGCCATGCCATTCAATCACCTCAACAATTGGTCTTGAACGCCAGGACGGGCCCTCCCACATGACTGTTGACGCAAAAGACATCTTCGCACGGCCCGCCTTGAATCTCATCTGATCTTACATCGTTCTCCGACTGAATTCATTTAGATACCACAAACCCCTCACCCGCGCTTACCTCGCATGCCACGGGCTTACGCTGGATTGAGCCTTCAGTCATTCATTCTCCACTTCTCTCTACCTGATCCTGCCCGAGGCCATGTCCTGAGGCATAGGAAGGGAAACGTTGCACCGTCCAGGCTTGCACATAACAGCAACACCACATCAACAGATCCGACTCACTACTGGCTGGGAATCTTTCACGAATCCATTGGAGAACGGGGGAAACACTGCGGTGAACTCTGGTCGGCTTGAACTCTGCCAAACCAAGGGTCTATATGCCCAAGTACAGCGAACGTTACATGACCGAGGATTCAGGGTAACCCTGGATGTAAAGTCAAGGCTTCAACACCTCGACCTTTCGACTGCAGTGTGACACTGACGGTCTTCAAGCGGTTCTCATGCCATGCAGCCGAGCCCGAAACTTCATTTGTGCGGAGTTTTGAAGAACCACGACAACGAGGCAGCTGCGAGGAGCAACCGTTGGCCGCGTGACGAACACCTGCTACGCGGTCAAGCGTCGTCGTAACGGGCCATTTGGACCTCGACTTCTGACGCCCACGTCGGACCACGTTCTACGACATTCAATCAGCGAGAGAGTTGCTTGGTAACACCTTACCCGACGCCGTCCTGGACGCCGTGGAAAGTGTGTCAATGGCAACAGGCGTCGTGCTGCCTCGAGAACCCCGAGTCGACGCGTGGCACGATACCGAGCACAAACTAGGCCTTTGTCCCACTTTGAACGAATCCTCACGCCTATTTTCTGGCTCAATGGCTCGGCCGCCACCAGGCGCCGAGCCAACAGAGGATACGTTCTCACGCAGACAGAGTTTACCGCCTCTCAGTCAATTTCTGTCCGATGCTGGACATCCAGACATATTTCCACAGACCAGGTCTCAACAGACTCGACCGGAACCATCATTGGCCAGCCACGCGTCACTCAATAACTATGACGCGCCGAACAACTCCTTCAGACCCTCCGACAGACATCGGGGACCACCTACTGATCCATTGCTGCCACCGCGAAATGGCCACCACGAGGCGCACAATGGACACACCTGGTGCTACCCGTCCACGAGTCCGCTGGGGACTCACTCAGCTGCGCCTGGAACCATGACAACAGCTCAATCGCCCGATCGCATACCGAGGCCTGTGGTCGTACGGGAAGAAATCGTTCCCGGCAGAGGCGTCTGCTACGTCTATGACGACGGTACAAGACTACAGAAGTCCAGCAATACCGACGCCGTCAACCCAAAATGGGGCACAACTAAAGCTGGCAAACCGAGAAAACGCCTTGGGCAAGCCTGCAATACCTGTCGCGAGAAGAAAATCAAGTGTGATCCCAGTACCCCCAAGTGCATCCAGTGCCAGAAGTTTAGCCGGGAATGCAAATTCGACACAGGGTACACTCCTCTCCCCCGTCCTCATAGAATGAAGCTGACTTGTCTTAAGCCCACGGCCCACACCAAGACCCTCCGACCAACTACCATCGATGCCCACAACCTCGCCGTTGATGGCCAATGCTTATATTCAGAACGAGTCCTCCTCTCGTCGAGGTTCGACAGCTTCCGCAGACCCATTACTTCAGGACCATCCTTCCTGTCGAGCAGCACCGAGATCCTCAATACAGATCGAAAGCCTGCTGTCTCCGGCTTCGCGCGACGACGATAGTCGTGACGAAAGCCCCGACAATCGACCACCAGCGAAGAAGCTTCGGATGTCATTGTCCCCTCACCCTGCGTCCGATGGTTGGCCGGCGGAGAGTGTAGGGTCCGAGTCTTGGAGTGGCTCTGTCGAATCGCCGTCAACCATCCCTAAGTTCAGTTGGGCAGCTGATCCTTACGAGGTTGACCGCGAGATGACTCTTTACTACGCGAACAAGTACTTCAATCACGTCGATGGTGCGACAACGTGCATCCTGCCAAGGAAAGGGTTCTTGCGATGGGTCAAAGAGTGCACAACGAAGACATCGATGGAAAAGATGCTGCTCTACGCGGTGCTGGCCATGGGAACCGTCTTCTCACACCATGCTGGGACCACACACCACCAGGATCTATTCATCGACATTGTGAACAATGCCGTCCTGGAGACTGGAAATACCTTCACCCTGCAACTGGTGCAAACAAAGCTGATATTGGGTCTCTTCGCCTTCTCCCAAGGCCAGAATAACCGTGCATGGGACTTCTGCGGCTCGGCGCTGCGAATTGCTTTGGGCCTTCAGTATCACACCGAAGAAGGTGTGGCTTCCGTCGACGCGAAGACGGGTTTGGAATTTGGCTTGAATTATGCCACGCTGATGGAGTGTAGGCGCAGAGCATTCTGGGCAGCATACATCATGGACTGTTTCAACGCTTGCTGCTCCATGCCTATCACGTCGGTCAGTCGGGCTGAATGTCATCTACGCCTGCCATGCTCACAACCAGCCTATCAAAGGGGTGAGATCCCAACGACGCCTTTCAGTCTTTCCACCGAGCCAGATGAGCATTCGGCGAGCGGCGACAACATCGCCCAAGTCGGGGTGCTTGGGTATCTCGTAGAGGTTGCCACCATCTTCAAAGAGGTAATGCGTAGGATCTCCAAGAACAAACCAGAGGCGTCCGAGGGAGATCGGCTGTCCATGGAAGCATTTCAGAAGGACGCATTGCGGCGACTCGATGCATGGGATCCTTGGATGAGGAAGCACTTGCATCAGGTCCGAGATGGTAGAGAGCCCGTCAATGGCTTACACATCCTCTATCACTACACTGCAATGCTACTGCACCGCCACATGCGCTACTCGGAAGCCAGCAAAGTACAGATTGTTGAAAACGTGCGGGGCGCGTTTAAGCATGCTCGACTGATGATGGTAATGGTGCAGGAGTTGAGCAATCACGAAGAGAAGGAGACTCCGTCGTTCCGATTCGCAACGCTGAGTCCTTTTAGCGGCTATGCCATTACGGCAGCACTGGACGTCATCACTGCGGCCGGCACCATGGCGGACCTGATGGATCAGAAGAGCCGAATCATGTCCTTGCTATCAAGTGGAATCGAGGCTCTGGAGGGCTTGGCGGACTTTTGGGAGAGCGCTCGTCGACAGCGGGAAATGATCAAGAAGAGATTCGGGGTTCTCTTGGTCGCAACGAATAAGGCTTGCGACTTCAATGGAGCATTCTACTTCGGGGAGTCAATGCAAAGTCCATTCGACCTGGACCAAGACATTGTCTACGGGCTGCCACGCCCACAATATCTTGAGGCATTGGGATGGGATGATAGGATTCATCGCGACGAGGACTTTCACCAGCTTGACAAGCCGGCGGAGACGACGACGAGCAGGTGCTCATGACGGCCGCAGATATCATGGGTAATGAAAAACGAACAAACGAGATTTATGAAGAGCGAGCACAGGCACAGGCACGGGCAGAGTAATGATCATTGTACAGGCAGGACGGAAGGCCCACAGAAACATTCAGATGCAGGGGGAAGACTTCAATCTGACTTTATACCCACCGAGAGATTTGACGGTCAACAGTACAAAAGCTGGGCGGTATCGAGCACGTTACACGAGTCCTGTCAAGGTGCGGGTGGGCCGGTCTATATAACCTTACAAGAGCGGAACCTAATCTTATTTTCTCATCTCTCCCATTTTGACCTTCTGAGAGGCAGGCAATCGAGATTGCGGGAGCGTCAAACGTGTAAGATAGTGCAGAGTCCGCAGCTTGGACAGCATGGAGCGAAAGCTCAGCCTCGGGTCTTTCGGTTTTGTCGAGGTTGCAAGGCCTGCAATACGGGGGAAGAGCCGCCTAGCCACTGACGTCATCGCACACCAGCCACGACTGCCTAGGCCATGCTTCGAGTCCTGTATGACCTAGAGGTCTAGGGATACCCAATACTATTGAGACCCTTAACTGTTACCCTCTGCCTATCGCCTTAGGCCGTCCCTAACAGTAAGACTATGAAATGACCGTGTATATATATTCACGAGTGCTCAGCGTGATCAGCGGTGCTCAGCGATGCTCAGTATTGAGCACACTGATCACCACTGAGCGCAACTGAGCACCTTTCCACGTGATTCTTCAGCCTTGCCGACGAGGCTGTTTCTTTGGCTAAGTTGCCATGTGGTCATGTGGTATATGACGGCCGCAGGTCGGGTCGTAACACTAGGTAAATGTTGTTTCAAAACATAGTACCGGCCGTAGTTCTCCTCAAAACGGCTCTCTGCCGATATTCAGCAAGCGTGTGCATATAGAAAAAGCTCGGTTTTAGTCCGTATACTTTTTCAAAAAGGCCAGCACCTTTTCGGGGTGGCGGCCGAACCAGTTGTAGCCGTCTTCGAAGCGTTTTGTCGTGCCTTCAATCCAGTACAGTTCCTTGTCGCGGCTGGCCAGAGCGTCGAAAGTGCTCTGGGCGTCGGACGGGTTCTCGATGATGGCGTCGTCGTGGACCTGCCACATGAGAATGGGGAGTTTAACATTAGGCGCCCACAGCTTGCCGGACATGTCGGCGGCGGGGAAGCCTCCCAGCTTGAGGAGTTCCAAATCGATGAGTTCCTGGTACTGGCTAATACCCTGGGCGCCGGACAGCTTAGAAAACACTGCCGACATGTTGGGAACGAGGGGGCTACACATGCAGCGAATATCGTCAAAAAGCTCGGGCCGCTTGGTAATGGCCGCATATTGAGAGACACCACCCAGGCACTGACTGAACAAGGCCTTTTTCATGCGGCCGAGGCGAGGGTGTATGTCGACAAAGCGCTTTACGCCGACGCAGTCGCGCCACTCCCACTGACCGATACCGGACACTCCACCGTTGGCCGCGCCGCTCTGACCGTGATTGCGAAAGTCGTACGTCAAGACATTGTAGCCTGCGTCGGTCAGGTGTTTGTACTGGACGACAAAGTCAATCTCGACGGGCTCGATAAACTCGCTCCACGGCGGGCCCATGTGACCTGGATAGCCGGCCCGGCACATGGGCAACGCGTGGTTGAAAATGACCAGCCGGTCACTCTCGCCGCCACGAGCAGGGATATACCACGCCTCGAGGGGTGTCCCATCATCCGACTGAATGGAAAGGTCATACCACCCCTCCATGCCGTACTCGTCCGGGTTCTTAAAGATGAAGCTGCGTGGCATCTTGACCATGCCTGCCAGCGCCTTGACCTTGGCGTGATCTTCGGCCGAAATGGCCTTTTCCTGCGCCTGCGCCGTTTGCATTCGTTCTTTCGAAATCCCTGTCATGCTTTTGCTGGTGTGGTGAATTTGGTGTCCACTGAAGGTTGGCTCGCTCGTTGGGAGGGGTAGAAGTTGAAATAGAAAAGCTATCGACGAGGGAACAGAGGTATCCTCATCATGAATTAACACTCGCACTTCGGACTAGCACTTCGGTCTAGTACTCCGGATTAGCACGTCGGGTTAGCACGTCGGATCAGCATGTCGGATTAGCACGTCGGATAAGCATGTTCAGATCAGACTAATGATTGGCTACTTCAGCTGGTGATTGGAGAGGTCGTGATGGGGATACTCCCGGTAGTTCCCGGATCACCCCAGACGATAAGACTCTCAGATCGCTTGACGTGACGATTGTCCACGACGTCATAGCAGAGTGACAAATCCAGCCGCCGAGTAGCAGAATTATGACTGGTGCTTGATAGTAAGGTATAAATTTGTCGGCCTGAGACTTGCGGGTAAGTCTATACGACTTGGTCATATCCGTCATGACAGCCAAAAGGGTGAAATAGCCTCCCACTGAAATCTCTGATTAACAAGTTGTCGTGAGCGCGCTGAGCTTGATGAGTCAGCAGGAACTGATTCGCGGAGAGCTTTCCAGACATCGCGAATATCAAAAATCTCGAAGTGAGGAAGATAGCGTGCTGTTCACTTTCACAGAAGGACTTTCGTCGTTGCCTGGACCATAACCAGTGATGTCACTGTCATTTTTTGATCCCTTAGGCCTTCAGACTAGGCCGAGGCAGACGACAGTGCAGGACGGGATACAGGAAATAGACAGTATAGATGGCTACCAGCAAGCGAGCAGAGGGTCTTGTATGCCATCGCTGATGTTAATCAACTGAACTTTGGATTCAGTGTCATTGACCGTTCCTAGCTAGCAAACGAATATCATCAAATCTTCCGTGATTCGAGGATCATTTAGGTGCTTGATTCACTAAATTGAATCTGATTCCAAACAGTATTGTACTCCATGGAGGCTGCCTCAACTGTCGGGCCAACCTTTAGAGCTTCCGTCGGATCTGTATTCGTCACGTCAGGTACCTCATTTATCATGCTCAGCCAGTACGTCTCGTCAAAGTCAGTGGTTGATGGCTCAAGATGTGGAGATGGCTGAGCGGCAGTCGTAGGTATGGTTCTTGCATCCACACTCGTGTCAAATGTCCAACCACTTTCCGAAGAATTGAGTTCTCTTGATATTGGACGACTCGATGCGGAGTAACCGGTAGATAAAGATGTTGGAGCACCCCATACTGGCTCTTGCTGATTATGTTCTTGCGATTGTGGAAGCGGCAGATGTGATTGCTGTTCTGACAAGCTATCGCTCATCACATCAACTCCAGAATCTAGTGCGAAATTTCCAGGCTCGGTGGCTACGGCCTTTGGAAGATACCATGTAGCAGTACTGCGCTCCAAGCGCATCTGTAGGACATTGTAACACTGGCTGAGAATGGTGAGACCAGAGCGTGCGATTGGGCTGTATGAATGCATCGCACTCAATCTGTTCATAGCTTGATGCAGGATAGAATCAATCTTCGCCATAACTGCGCTGTCCATTTGTGGTAAATACCTAGCCGTTACAACCGAAAGCAGTAGTGATGCGTCGATGGTGTAGAAGGAAAGGCCAAAGAATTTGTACTGGTGTGGTCTGGCCATTATAAATGATCGATGTTGTGAGTCTAATATCACGATCGAAGCTTGTAATGCGGCGCGCCGACTCTCGGCCCGGTGCTTTATGTGAGGACGGTGCAATGCCACTAGCATTAGATTGGCCTTTGTGAGAATATCCTCTCTCTGATAACGTAAGTATGGGTATTGATCATCCCATGACAAGTCAGGGTTCTCGTGTCGAAGTGTAAGTGGCAGCCTTCCCATGATGAGGTGCACCTGGTCATGAAGCTGCTGAACCACGGAGTAATCTGTTGACCAAGGTCTATCGGCTTTCTGCTCTTTCGCAGCATGCCACACATTCGAGAGTCGGTACAGGAATAGGTTGCTGGAGACAGTGTTGGGCCTGTCCCGTCCCCCAATAACTTCTTGAGAGCCTGGGACACAGCTGGAGGGGTCTGGCGGGATGTTGCACTCATTTGGTTCCTCCACATCGCAATCATCAGGATGGATAGCCCTTGGGCGACCAAGAATCATTGCAGTCAAACTGTCTTCATTAGAACGCCGGCAACAGCATGTTAACGACGAAGAAACTCACGTGTCCCATGTACACAAGTTCATCCATAGCCGCCGTTTATACTCTTCATACCACATGCGGCTAAGGTTTGCCCCAGGACTGCTCGAAGCATGTTTGTAGGGTTCCTCGTGACGATGAAGCTCGAGCTCTTGTGCGGATCTGGAAGTCATCAGCTTTATCAGTTTGCGGACATAGGGGTCAATCTTGAGCAGCTCGACCGGATTGCACTCCCAATGCTATGCCAAGCTTCTACTCCTTTTCCAATATTCTTCAACCAAGATGCCCTCAGAAAATCCGCTTGAACCACTGTGAGAGCCGCATGTGGTCTCTGGCCACGCGTCATCAGCTCCACACCCGTATCGCTGTATTTATGGCACAAAGCCATATCAGCCTGCGATAAGTATTCCCAGACAGGTGATTTGAGTGGTAGAAACTGTATCGCAAGGCCTAAAACCTGAAACAATAGTGCGGGAAAGTAGTAAAGCTCTCTGCCGAGTTCTTCATGGCTGAGGTGCGACAAGGTCTTGACATTGGTTCCGTACCAACAGTTAAGTAAGGAGTCAAAGTATTGTTTTTCGATGATGAAGTACTGCCAGTTGACATCGTTGAAGAAAACCTCCACTAGCTTGTGTATGGCCATCTTGGACGGAAGTCGGACATTGGCCACAATTGACCTGGATGCTTCAGTCTGGGCAACTGGATCATGGTCAGCAGTCGAAACAGCGTGCACCCCATGTTCTTTCCGGAAAAGCTGTTTTCATCAGTCAATAACAAACTGAGAAGGTTTTTTGCTTCGATAGGTACTACACCTGCCTGTTTAAAGTCCGCCAAGGCATTACTTCCAGCAGTAGACGAGTAGCCCATATCGATCGCCGGTGACTTTACTGCTGCGTTGAAATCAGGCGATCCATCTGGTGGTGGTGGTGCTGCTGGTGCTTGTACGTTGCGGGTGTCGATTGCCTCTCCTGTGATGCTTGATCTATGAGAAGGTCTAAATTACCGTATGGTTAGCCCTTCATCCATGTTTCAGGCGAAGAACGAGCAATCATCTCCGCGCCCACCACCCACTTTCTTAGGTTGCTGTAATGGCATTTGTCAGTAACGTTCCGACCGACGCAATTACCGCAGGGCCGTTTCCGATCGCACTATAGCAGTGTCAGGTGCTAGAAATTGTTGGCATATTTTAAGTTTGACAAACCTTCTGTTTTCGCCGGCAGCACTCGATGCACGCATTAATAGCCTTTTTCTCCTTCGAAAATTGAGGCGAGTCAGAGATTTTTAATGATGGCATGTCTTGACTCGTTCAGGCAGTGGCTGGTTCAATGAGAAAGTAGGATCAATGAGAACCTCGAGATCTCTCGAAGATCGATGATGGAACCAGCAAAGCAGGTCTCATTACGGAAAGACACCCTGCCGAATTTCGAGCTTGGCGAGCACGTGAACGGATTGCCGTTCGATTGGTGGCTTGGCAAGCGTCAGACTGCGGCTCAACGATCAGCACGTGGCGCACGTGCTCGTACTGGCCGACCGAAAGTCCGCTGGAAGTCCTCCGAGCGTTGACCGGCAGTCACAGTCTCTGTCACGACCTTCAACACCATCCTTTCTTTTCTTGGTTCAGTCTCTGTGTTGCTCTATTTTCGGAGCTTGCTTGCTGCTGTGTCCCTCCGTCTCCGGGACACAGGCCTCATGCAAAGTTCTTTTCAGCAAAGCAATGGCCGTCGTGGCGACGCGACGCGCCTTGCCCTTGTTCGACCGGTGTGGAAACACTTGTGAGAATCTAGCTTGACAGGCCCGCAGAGCCTCATCCCGGAGTCTTCGACGCAAATGAACGGCCCACTCGAGCAATGGTGGGTCTTGCCGCTAGGAACACGAAAGGTACCTACGCGTAGCTCACTGCCTGCCTGCCTGAAGCTGCAGTTGCTGCGTTGCACATGGTCGCGGTTCACTGCAGCCTGCCGAGTTGAGTAACGCGTCGAGGAGCTGAACGGGCCTAGACGCAGCGACTTCTCTAAACAAGAATGGCATGTCCGGGTTTGCTGCCTGGCGCCCTATTTCTGGGAGCCGCATGTGGAGGCACGTCGCAGGCATAAGAACACCATGGGTGCCTGCCACGAGGCCGGCGCTGGTGTTATATGAGGACCTGCGTTACACCTACTTCCCTACTTCTCGATTACTCCGTCAGAGATGTCTTCCCTCCATGATTTCGCCCAGAGCCATATGGCCTTTTCCAACCAGTCCTTGTTCAACGCCACTTCGGGGCCCCTCCGCCTGCCTCTCACAGTCCTTGAAACAGTCTTACCGGGCACCTCCTTGCTCGCCGGCTTTCTCCTTGGATTCGGCGTGGATGCCTCCTTGTTGATCTCTTGGATAGCCGTCATTACCGCTGCATGGGCAACCATGCGGTTTGGCCTGGTGGCCTTCATCGACTCTCTCTTGAAGGCATTCACCTCGTGCGTGGTTGTGGAAGAATACGACCCCATCTACAGCCATGTTCTCAGCTGGGCCAGCGCCCAAAAGAGTCTACAGAATATACGATCGCTGCGAACACAAACCGCGGGGCAATACTACGACGCGTTTGCCGACGGCGCTGACGAGGATGACAATCATCAGCTGCAGCTTCGAGAGACCATGTCAGAGGATCTGATCTTCAACTTCAACAGTTGGGCTGCCCGTGCGCCGCCGCAATATCGACCTCACTCATCCTCGGGTTGGTTCCTGCATGACTACCGCTTGTTCCGGGTGTCCAGGACTCGTGACCGTGTGGCTAGCGAGATTGGTTTTGTATATGAGAAAGAGCGGTTGGATATTTTAGTTCTCTGGCTGTCCCCGAAGCCCATCAAAAAGTTGATTGAAGAAGCACGAGAGTTTGTCCTTGCTCGTCGAACATCTACGACCACGATCAAACGTCCTACACCAAAATCACAGCGGAATTCTCGTCACCAGGCCTGGACGACAATGGCAAGCAGACCTAGTAGATCTATGGCGACAGTTGTGCTGGACAACTATCAGAAGGCCCACATTCTGAAAGATTTCAACGAATTTCTCCATCCGCGGACTGCACGATGGTATAGCAATCGAGGTATACCGTACAGGCGAGGCTATCTATTCCATGGGTATGCGATTGTGTCTCTACTACCTTTCTTGAGACACATGCTGATTCAGACGCAGGCCCCCTGGGACCGGCAAGACATCACTCTCTTTTGCACTGGCAGGGGTATTCGGACTCGATATCTACTCATTTGCGCTGTCCGAGGCGACGCTCACGGAAGAAGATCTAGTCTTACTGTTTAATAGCTTGCCAAAACGATGCATCCTCCTCCTTGAAGATGTCGATACGGCTGGCCTAGGACGGGCACCAAGTACCAAGCGCGAGAGCAAGCACACGTCCATGAACTCGTCCGCAACCACCAAAGACGAACAGAACAAACGAGGTTCGCTCTTGCACCAGGATGAAGAGGAGGAGGAGATTCAAAGCTCCGCTACACCTACAGCCTCAACACCGAGTCTGCCTGGTGCAGTCGCAAAAGAACCAACCTTCAAGAACACAGTCACCCTTTCAGGCCTGCTGAACGCTATAGATGGCGTCGCATCTCAAGAGGGCAGGGTGCTTATCATGGTAAGTCTATTATTGCCCTTAAGCGGTGTGTCGCTTGAAGAACTCGGCGAAAGGCGTTCGGTCGCCGAAGGCACAAGCTAACAAGTTGAGGCAGACCACAAACCATCCGGAGAGGCTGGACCCGGCACTGGTTCGGCCAGGCCGGGTAGACTTGTCCATCAAGTTTGATCTGGCGAATCGACAACAGGTCAAGGACCTTTTCATGCGCATGTACTGTGCCGATACGCTTGAGATGACAAGGCAACCTACCAAGATTAGCCACATATTACCGAACAAAGTCGTACCTGGAGATGAGGATGGTCAAGCATCCAGCATCGGCACCGATGGTGGTAAGGAACATCGTGTGCACTACGACAAGGAAAGTGGCTCTGCTCCCCCACTCATCTCCCAGCTTGCTGAAGAGTTCGCAAATGCTCTTCCCGATCGAACCTTTTCGCCCGCAGAGATTCAGGGCTTTCTCCTTGTGCGGAAGGGAGACCCTTCGCAAGCGCTGTCGGATGTCACTGCGTGGCGCCACGACCAACTGCAGAAGAAGCTCAGGCAGACAACCGAGGGCATTGATGATTGTAAGGTCCAACCACACGGGTTGAAGGTCAATGCGGAGAGTAGACCTTCGGCCTCGGCTTGGGAAACTAACATTGGCCCGGGGAAAGTGGCGGAGAGTCCAGCTGTGGCTCACGTCAACGGCGCTTCACCTGCGTCTGGCGACGCTTCTTTGAGAACGTTGACGCGGAAAGCTGATGTCACCAAGCTGCAGGAATCCTCCGAGCTGGGCAACGGCACACGTACACTACCTTCGGCCACGCAGGTAGCCAAGGCAACAACAAATGCTTCTGCCAATGATACCTCAGGACTCGGCACTCCGCCATCGACCGAATGCCGCAGTGACGCGACAACCATTTGTGAGACTTCAAGGGACCTTCACGCAAAGATTATATCCAACACAGGAGCACATCGACTCGAGACACATGAACCCACGTCTAGGCCCAAGCATGATTTGCAAGACTGTCCGGGCTCAGAAGTCGAGGCTGGCGAAATCGATGATGAGCATACGCTCAACGATGGAAGCACGCCCGGCAACGACATTGACTACGATGACCAAGGAATTAACGACGGTGACGATGACGATGACGATGACGACAACTACGACTACAACAATTCCGATAGCAGGCAAATCACCCAGGCATGGTTCATTCCCCACGGAGCCAGAGGCGGAAGTCCACGCACCGTCTTTGGCCCCTCGCGCAGAATGTAACAGTATTGTTCTCAGTCGGCTGAGACCACATTCGTCTGTACTAGGGAAAGCATACATACTCCGCACGCACATACGAGCGTACATACATGCATGGCAGGAAGGACGTACTTGGCTGGCTTGCAGCAAGCAAGCCGGAAAATACAAGCCGACAGACAGACAGGAGACAGAGGACGGGAGACGCGGAGCCGAACGGGCGAGGTAGGAAGAGGAGACGGAACCAAAAGGTTTCTATGTATGGGTACAAAAGAAGCGCGGATCTGTCTTCATGGCGGCGACTTTGTCACACCAGAAACAAGAAACAAGAAACCAGAAATATCGGTACAGATCAATCACAAGGTGAGTACACGTATGAGTATGAGGATGAATATGAGTACAAATATCCTACGGTCTACCCTTGAAATCGTCTATTGAAACATGATATATGGTCCCTCGCCCGTTTACTCGGCCAATATAGTCATACCACCAGCTACAGTACTGTTATTCATCAAGTGGATGCATTTGGAACGGGGTTAGTAAGGTCCCAGTTGTATGTGAAAGGGGGAGTGCCGCCACGTGCAACTTGGATTAGATTCAGGGTGTGTTCCATTTAGACGACTTCAAGGGTAGACCGTAGTAAGTACTTATAAAGTATGACTGTTATAGGATCTAGTGGGTACCAAAGGGTGTCACAGTCTAGCAGTTTGTGCAAAATACAATCACCTGTTACTACGATGATTGACAAGGATCAGCCAATGCCCGTCAGATCAGAAAACGACCATATAAATGGGCTGCCATGTGCTAGATACAGTTATTGAGAAAGGGCCAATTGAGCGACCCGTGGGTACGTACATATACATACATACATATATACATACATACATACATACATACATCCATACTGCAAGGAGGGAAATGACGTCCCAGAGAGGAGAGGGATAGAGAGAGTGTGTGTCTGTGCTTATTCTACTTTGATTCACGCGTTTGTGGGGCAATCCTCACCATGGCTTGCTGAGGACTGAGCACTGACTGACTATCTGACAGAAAGTACACGACACATCTAGCAGAGGACAAGAAGCAGAAACAGATCCCTCCTTCCGGCTCTGACTTTGTGACTGAAAGCCTGACCATTGAGATCTGCTCTCCCGGACCAATGTCGACTGAGAGTTCTGTCTAGCTTGATGATCTCGAGAGAAGAGGGGGGGAAAAAACGCCGCTCGTGAACATGACAATCATTTAGACCCAGACAAGTACAAACAGAAAGCCGAAAAAAGATATGGCTGAGTGATGCCACTGGGAAGTCATTCCCAGAACTTCGGACTAAGACTCAGCTGCTTGCAGTACGATGACAATGCATGACAGGGAGGCAGTCTCGTCCTGACAATGGACATGTGGTGCTTGCCAATACGGCCAAGTGACGAAGCACGTGGTCACCAGAGGTAGAGCCCATGAGACAGTGAGACATCTCGGAGTGGGACGGGAAGACGATCACAGGTCCTGCAGGGCAAACGCGGCCTCGTCTCCAACAGCTGAGCAGGGACTTCCGGGGAGATCGACTCTCTCATTCTCGTCCTTGGCGCTTGCACTCTCCCAAATCTCAATCTCGACGTCGCCGTCGGCGTCAGCCTGTGGGCGAGCATCGGAAGAGGTGGGAGAAAGGCCAGGCCCGTCAGTCTTGCCAACAACAACGTTGTGGTTGAAGTCTGTTGTGGCAGAGCTGAGGATCTCAGCAAGGCTGGGTGCATCTAGGTGCTCAATGACCTTTGAAGTTGGTAGCGATGAAGATATCGCGGCTGAAGCCTGAAATGTAAAGTCATGCTGCTGTGTTGAAGCATCGCCTTCGACGTCGGTTTCTGCTTCCTCGTCATCATGTACAAGGACGACGCTGGTCGCGTCAAGACCTTCAGGGAAGAATTGCGCAGGATTGAGGTCTCCAAGCGGGGTTCTAGCTTGGTCGTCTTCGTTCATTTTGATTTCCTTTTCCGTGACGGCAGCGGCAGCAGCCCGGGACCTGGTCACTGGTGCCGTAGGTAGCTCGTTAGGATCAATATTCTCCTTGCCTTTGTCTGCTGATGAGGAGTTCTTGTGCAGACTCTTGCTTTCATCGTCACTGATATCAAGTCCTGTGGTACTCTGGGTCATTGTCCACTCGTTCATGCGGTAGTCTTGTGTCTCCTCGGACTCTTCATAGATATCGAAGAACCATGATTTCGGCCTGCTCGTCTCAATTGTGCCATTTCGAGCGCGGCGAGAGGAGGGACGAGCCTTCTTCGTGCCATTCAAGGCTGCGGATAGTGACAATGAGGGTGATTGTGTGGGGGCAAATGCAGGTGGATTGAATCGTTTGCGCGACTGTAAATGGCCGGAACTTCGCTTACGGGTCGGTGAACGGCCTGCTGCAGGGGCTGAGGCAGGTGCAGCAGAGGGCTTGGCAGATGTGTTCAGACGTGGAGTCGACACAACAGTCGTGCCCAGACGAGGTCTGCTTGATTGAAAAGCACTGGGCGTCACATTCAAGGAATAATGGTGTGATTTGGAAGCGGAGGCGTCGTCCTCGAGGGCCGATCGCTTGCGCTTGCTCAGAGAGTCCAAAATATTCGGATCAATGTTCTCGCTATCAGAACCTCCTTCGACCTCGGGCGAGGGAGCTCGTCGCTTCAACGAAGTCGGTACGGAGCTGGGCGTGATAGCTGGAGGCCAAGTATTAGTCGATGTGTCTCTCCTCCGTACAATCGCGCAACAGGCCTGTTTCGAAGGAACGAGAACCACGTACCATTCTGACGGTTCTTCAAGCTCTGCAAGCTTCGAAGCTTCGAGTCATTCAGGATGCCAAAAGGTTGGCGAGCCGGAGTGGACAAGGGAGCCAACGTGGCCATCTCGATTGTTTCCTCGAGAGTAAGATTCCCGAATCGTCCTCAGTTGTTGTGCACCCCCCACCGAGTGGCGCAGGTGTTGGCTGACTGAGGTGAATGCCCGTACTGTGTATCGTAGGACGCGAGGCAAATGTCCAAGTCGATGTTCTCAGAACGGGAGCTTCGGAACTGTCAGCTCTATTGGTCCATCACCTATATCATGCATGCAAGTTCTGGCAGCGAGCTCTGAGAGGAAGAAGGGATGCTAGCAGCTGGGCGAGGGCAGAGAGTATATGGAGCTTACCGGCTGATATGAGCAAGCTGGCGCAGCTAGACACAACCGTTCTGGACGCGGGGTCGGCGTGAACGCGAGATCCCTGATTGAGGAACGAGGCTTGACTCGAAAAGAAGACAATCTTGTCGATTGAGGAGGATGGCAAGGTTAGTTGTGGAAGCTACTGCAGGTCGGCAAGCAGAAGCAGACGTCAAGCACGCGTCCTGAGGCAGCGATTGGGTTGCTGGGCAGGTCGAGGGCAGAATTGGTGAAGTGCAGATTGTAAAGACAGGGAAGACGTGAGACGAAGGGACGCGTCAGTGGAGAAGTGAGAGACGCGACGAGATGGATCAGTCACGGGCACCAAGGGATACAGAGCCGGGACCTCATTAAAGGAATGCGATTATGCATCTCGGCAAGAAGTATCTCTGTTACTGATTGATTATCGAATATTTCGATCAGTTGCGGTACCCAGTTCTCTTCTAGCAATGAGTGACAATTGAACTCGACTTTGGTGTTGTGACCTCAGTTCAGCTTCAGCTTCAGCTTCGGCTTCAGTCAATACGCGCTTGCCGCTGACCGACTTGGCGGCCTGGACGGTTTCACCGCGGCTTCCGCAGTGCCGCTGAACTCCAATCGACGCCCGGCAGGAGTGACGTGATGATGCCGTCTCATTTATCGTGGCTGCGCTGGACTGTGCGCCAGTTCGTCGGCAAAGATGAAGGCGATGATGCGTCGCGATACTGAGGTGCAGATTGTTTCGCCTCATCATGGCGGCTCAATAGATTATCTAACATAATTAGACCGTTTCTCGTCGACCAGCGCTTTAACTTCCAGCACGCCCGCAGCAGGAGAAAAATCACGTCGCGACTGAGACCATGACGCCCCCACGATACTTGGTCTTCCTCGTCAAAGAGCAACTAGATGAGGTCGCTGCCACGTCGAGTGCGACCTCAAAGGACGTCATCATTGGCCATGGTCGCCATTGGTCTCGTATCACACCTCGAGGCGAAACGTGCAAGATCGGCTCGCCTGAGAAAGGCATCGATAAGAGAAGAACCAGTCAGTCTTTGAGGGAAGACATTTGGCCGGAACGTGAGATCTTCTTCGCCCCTCTGCTCAAAAAACAGCACTCTATGTCTAGGTTTTCCAGGGGCCACGATTGAGTGTCCGCAACCGCACTACAGTTTCGCCTTGTGCTCAGCCAGGTCCACCAGATTCTCGTCCTTCGCGAATTGATAATAGTAGTTCAAGCTCTCGGGATTGAGCAGGGTCCCAGAAGGTTTGATGACTTTGCCGGAGACAATCTGTTTGACAGGTAGCTCCACCTTCTTCAGGTTGACAGTGGTCTGCATATCAAGCCGATCAGTACAACTCCCCACGTATCCTGCCTTGCATGCGAAATGGGCGAAAGACTTACCGGGATTTCCTTCGTCTCAAACACAAACTTCGGCACATGCCTGGGGCTCGTGGCCTTCCGAATGGCATCCTTGACCTCCCTCACAAGCTGCGGCGTAAATTGATGTCCTGGCTTCATGAGCAAGAACAAAATCACCCTTTCGTCCTGATCCTGCGGTCTTCTCTGTCCCACACAAATACTATCACTGATACGATCCGGGAACTTCGCCTCGATGATGCTGTATATCTCGGCAGACCCGAACCGTACACCACTGGGATTCAAGACGCCGTCCGCTCTGCCGAGGAAAAAGACCTGCTTGGTGACTGGATGAATCATGATGAAATCGCCATGCGTCCAAACGTTGTCAAATCGGGCGAAATAGCTGTCAAAGTACCTTTGCGGACCATTCGTACCCAAGAATGTGAGTGGCATCGTGGGGAACGCCTGGTACGCGACCAATTCTCCCGGAACACCATCTTCGACCTCAACAGCCTTGTATCGATCCTCGACCGTCTGATCGTACACCTTGACTGGCACCCCGAGCGACAGACATTGGCATCCACCGACATACAGCGGCAGAATGGGGTTGCCCGTCCCGAAGCAGGCTGCAAGATCCGTTCCGCCCGAGATATTGTCGAGCTGGACGGAAGGAGGAAATCCTTCATCGTAGACCCACTCGAATAACTGATCCGATAGTACCATGCCCGTGCTGGTGATCACCTTCAATGCGCTCAGATCAGCCACTTTTTTGGGAACGACGCCACCCGTCTGCAACGTTTGTAAGTACCGCGGGCTGATGCCCAGATGGGTGACCTTTTCTTGTCCAACCAACTTGATCAGGTTCGTCAGATTCGGCACAAATGGCGATCCATCATAGATGACCATTCGGCATCCCGTGATCAACGCCTGCGCACTGGCCAGGTACATGATCCACCCCGTGGTGGTGTACTGCAATTGACTCGACTCAGCATTAATGCACCGATGAAGCCGGTACTCCTTGTGCCCTGACACGATGACCCCTCCAATGGCGTGCACGATACATTTGGGCTGGCCAGTCGTGCCACTCGAGTAAACCACCAAGAATGGATCTGAAAAGTCGGTATCTTCGAATACCAGCTCATCGGTCTCTGCCTTGGAAATGAACTCCTCCCACGTCCTTGCCCTCGGGACAGCACTGATATCTGCCGGCTGGCCTTTAAACCTCACCTGGCTCACGATCCCCTGAAACTCCTCCACACCGCCCATGCCGGCCATGATCTCCTTCATCTTCCCCCTCAAATCGATCTTCTTGCCATTATACACGGCCCAATCATCCATAAACAGCCACCGTGGCTTGATCTGCGTAAGTCGGTCCAAGATGCCCTTGACACCCATATCTGTCGAACTGGAGCTGAACAGCGCCCCAAGCGTAGTCGTCGCAAGGAACACGACAAGCGTATCCAAGCACGTACTCGCCACCAACGCCACGCGATCCCCCTTCTTGACCCCCCAAGCCCTCATCGCATTACTCAGCCGGCCGACCCGCTGCCGCAGCTCCCGCCAGGTAACATGCCTGATGGGTTCGAGAAAGGCCCCCTCCCGCACCTCCGTGACAGCGATCTTGTCATCCGCCTTTGCGGCATCGACGATCGGTTTCCCCGTGGCGAGGTCGCCCGAGAAGAGGATGTTTTCGGCAAAGTTCATCCGCACGCCCGTGAACCACCGCGGGATACTGTCCATCCGGGCGGACTCGTCGACAACCACGTCCGGGACGTTCCCGCGGTACACGATGGGGAAGTAATCGAAGACGAAGCGCCAGAACGTCGACCGCTGCGTCACCGAGAACTTGTACAGCGCGTCGTAGTTGGCAAAGGTCCGGCCCGCGGCCTTCTCCAAGCTGACCTTGAACTTCCACATGTCGGTCGTCTCCTTGTGGGGATGCTCCCATAATTTGCGCGGGATGGGGTGCTGATGCTGATGCTGCGGCTGTGCCATGGTGGGCTGGACGGATTGTGTCCTTAAGTACAGTACTTGTAGCGCAAAGAGATGGGGTACAGGAAAAATCGGTGGCAGCCTCTCCGACGTCTATGTGTGTAATGTCTGCCAACGGGCGGAATATATATGCGGACGTGCGGAGTATATATGTCAGAAAATAAGTAGACAAGCCAACCAACAAGTCAGTCTGCGTAGGTCAGGTAGCTACGAGTATCAAAAATGCAGGATCAGATTTGGGGCGGTGGAAGGGAGTGCGATGGATAGATAGTATCACAGTACGAGTCAAGTGCTCGTCCGGCGTACGGAGTACGGAGTACATACCCCAAGATCCGACTGTTCCCTAGCTGCCGCCCGGGGGATATGCTGAGATAGGGTGTGTGGGAAAGGCTCGAGGTACTCCAGGCTAGCCTTTCTGGATCAGAGCCTCGGTAAGTCAGAGTGCGTGGAGAAGCAGTGGTCCCGCAATGTCGACAAAAAAAAGTAGGGACGGAAGAGAAGCGGCACGAGAGGGCGACAATTGACGGAATGCCGACCCCGTCTGGCCACATCCGATATACTGGGATACGACAAGCCTGTCCCACAATCGTGTATGGCGACTGCCCTGTTGTAGCAGCGAAATACCAAGGCGGTACTCCGTACAGTGTTACTGTAATAGGTGGGTGCGCTATGCTGTGGTGGGATACCCAGTACAAAATCCCATGCACGCTGTGCAAGTGCACTTCTCGCCGAGCGAAGAGCGGAATCGGCTAGGCAAAGAAAGAGGTGGGAAAGGGCCGAAAGGCCTACTTCCGCTGCCTACCCCAGAGCAAGCTGTCGCTTCCGAACGTTGGCATTTCTTCACTTATCCTGGCGACGACTATCGAGCCTGGATTCTCCAATCGGATCCGGCTCACGGGATTCAGGGCGCTTTACCGTCAAACGCCGGTTCTGTCTGACCGACAAAGACGGAGGGCGTGTTGATTGATGGAAAGCCGCGTTGCTATCTCTCGCACGAAGGCAGCCGTGCAGCATATTCAGTAAGGATACCTCCTACACCTTCCAACTGACCCGACTCGCAACCCTAGCACTGTTCATAAGGTCTGCGGCGTGCTCTGTTATGGGCATCCACCTCGACTCCCGTTCAGCTCAGAACTCTCCGTTGCTTGCCCCTCGATGCCCGTTTTTGGTCTGACCGAAGCTCTTCAACCAGCTTTGCAGGGTCCTGATAATCTGTACTGGTATCACGGTTATCATTGGAATGCGGTGGGACTGGTAGAAATGAAGCAGACGCGACCACCATTGGGGACACGGCTTTCGATGCTGGTTGTTGCTCCAGGGGGTTCCCGTCGCAACCTGTCACAGAGCGGACAGCCCATCTCTTCAATTCGGCCATGCTGACGGGCATCATGATGGATGAGCTTTTCCTGCTTTTGCTCATTTTCATCTTCTTGTGATGTGCGTACAGCTTCTGCTCGCGGCCAGCGAAAGCTGCAACAGCCATCAGATTTGCTGTGCGCCGTTCAATAATGTCGTCCTCCTCGTTCGCCAGCGTGGATATGGATTCATTCTGTGCTTGCGCTATCCATTCGATTTCGGCGGCGGTCTTCTTTTGGATGAGCTTCCGATTACGCCGCCGTTTGCAACACTTGACTGCGAGGCATCCGATCAAGACGGAGACAACAGCGAGTCCGGTGATCCCACCCATAACAATGAGGAAGAGCCAAATGGTAGGTTCCTCGCCATCATGAGGTATAATAGTGAGACGCGTTTGGAGAAGCGTTCGTGCTCGGTGGCAGGATGTAGGAGGCATGACGAATCGAAAGCAGTTCGAAGCTTGTAGTGATAAGGCGGGTGCTAATCATGAATGCGGTGCTCACTGGCAGTATTAAACCAAAAACAAGGTCAGCAATGTCGCCTAAGAGAAGCGATAGAAGAATACGGCTCAGTGGCCAAGCAGGATCCAGGTTGGGACAATGAACAAACGGGCTGAAGTCATTCTCCCGGTCAAGACAAGTGGTTGTTCTTGCCTCTGAAGACCTCAATACACCTGTCGTCGCTCTTGACATTCGTGACTCTTGTCTGAGTTTGGTATCGCGGCAGATGCAGTCGTCAGCTTCGAGAATATATACATCGCCGCTCGGATAATCAACGGCGCTTTCCCTGCACCCATCGCATGGCAAATTTTGGTGTCCCTCAAATGTATTCTTGTCTGAAGCGAATCTCTCTATTCCAACGAAGCGGCATCTTCCACCCCGGAATTCAAGGTGCTGTTTCTTCTCCTCCTTTCGACGGGATCGTCTCTCATCTCGACACCAGGCCCAACAGGACGCGATGATCGGTGCCGAGGCCATATCTACCCAGAGGACCAATTAGTTACATCACTGCATGAAGCGGATTGATCTCACATTTGTCGAATTCCAACCCAACCGGAAAGCAAACTCGTGCGCCAGAAGCTCACCAAAACCCAGCATCATGCCATTGACAAAAGGCAGTATCAGATTTATAGCAGCTCCTCTTAATATTGACCATATTGTCGGAGGCTGATAAATTATAACTGGCCGCGTGCCATTGTTGTCCGACGACTGAGGCGGTGAAGAGGATGGAGGAGAGAGAGATGAGTAGGCTTCGGAGTCGGAAGGGATGGTCAATTGAGATCCTGAGAGGTCTTGGGGAGGCGACGGCGACTGGTCTGATCGAGACATGGTGTACGAAGAGTGAGGGTGTCGAGGGCGGGCTAATAGTGAAATGATGGGAGCAATCACGAAGACCTCAGTCCGGTATTCATTCTTCCTCAAAGGAATGACATGAACTGAGAGTAATGCGTCTACAAGTTTTCGACTCCTCCGGCAGCGGGAGACAATGGCCTCGAACTTGGTAGTATCGGATCACTCCCGTCTAGAAGTGATGATTTGGAGCTTTGAGTGAATGCGATTGTCTCAGAAGATGTCCAGGCACGAGATTCATCCATGAGCAAATCAGAATTGCCGGAGCCCGCCAAAGCTACCGCCAAATCAGGCACGCCTAACTCGACGGTGAAAGTGACGTACATTTGTGACTGCCTCACTCACGCTTCTAGTGGCCTCTTTTCTGCTGCTCAGTTGGTCTTCACTTGCATTTGATTGTCAGGTCTCTTCGACTTGTGACACTACTTGCTCTGTTTCACTGCATCTCTTTTGCACTCGTTCTCTTCCGAAACCCTTCTCTCCCGTTCTTCGTACCTGTGACCCTCATCCCAAATCCGCCCATCATGGCGAATCCTGATCCCACCGAACAAAATGCTCTGGTTCAGCAGTTCAGTCAAATTACGGGAACCTCTCCCCGACAGGTCAGGGCTAATTGCGCCACCACTCTGGTCATCTGCTAACTGCGCTCCAGGCTCAGCATTTCATGACCGCTAGCGACTGGGACCTGGAAACAGCAGTCGCCAATTACTACGCCGCTCAAGAAGACCATACCGAAGACAATCAAGACGATTCAGACTATGTCGACGAAGATGATTCGGAATCATCGCATCCAGCTCAAGCCCAGCCCACCCACTCTGCTCATGGCGCCGGTCGAAGATTAGGCGATGGCCCCTCGGATGCCCAGCCAGTCCCTCCCGTTCCTGCATCAAGCTCGAGTTCGTCCCGGCCCAGGAATCAGCCTGGCACGCAGAAGAAGTTTGCCACCTTGGGTGACGTCTCTGCAGGTAACGGAAATGGCGACGACTCAGACGACGATGACAAACAAGATCTTTTCGCTGGTGGAGAGAAGTCAGGGTTGGCAGTGCAAAATCCCGACGACTTGAGGAAGAGGATCCTGGAGAAAGCTCAAAAGCGAGGCCCTGTTCCCAAGGATGCTGCGCCCAAAAAGTCACACTTCACTGGTTCGGCTCGCACTCTTGGAGGCGACGACGCACCCTCACGCGAGATACCTGCTGCACCTCAACCGCGTGGTAGGACCGAGCGGGTTGAGCGAGTGTTGCACTTCTGGCAGGACGGCTTCAGCATCGATGACGGAGATTTGTACAGATTTGACGATCCAAGGAACGCTGAGATCCTGAATTCGATTCGACAAGGACGCGCGCCACTCAACATCATGAATGTGCAGCCTGGTCAGGAAGTTGACGTGGAGATCAAGCAACACGAGGAAAAATATGTCAAGCCCAAGAAGAAGTACAAGCCCTTTGGAGGATCTGGTCAGCGGTTAGGCAGCCCCACTCCTGGTGTGCCTTCAATGCCTGGAGCCTTCACATCCGAGACTCCAGCGCCAGCGCCTGCGTCGACTGCGGCAGCTCCACCTACGACCGAGGTCGACGAATCGAAGCCGACAGTCACATTGAGAATCAGCTTGGGGTCTGGTACGCGACTGACATCCCGTTTCAACACGGATCAGACTATTGGAGACGTCTACGACTTCGTCCGACGAGCCGAGCCCGGCGGTCGAGACTTCGTGTTGCAAACCACCTTCCCGACCACCGATCTTACAGACAAGACGAAAGTGCTCGGCGAAATGGCAGATTTCAAGCGGGGGGGTGCTGTTGTCCAGCGATATATCTGACATCCAGGGTCTGCACAACAAGGCGCACCAGCCGGAACTAAGCTCTCACCGCTGACAGAGCTGAAGCTGCATAGAATGAGGGTTTTGCGGTTTCATCATGGAATGATGAGCAAGACCATGACAGAAGCTTGATAGAAAGCTTTCGCCATAAGAATAGAAACTGAACTTCCTGAAAACGACGTATATCTTCCAATTGGCCCCTGCTTTCGTAGCCTCGCTTCCAATGCAGAAAACGAGATTTTCGGCGCACCTTCCCTTTGCGCGGCGCTCGCGACTCTTGTCCAAGTCCAAGCTACAGAGCATCCAGACGCGATGATATGAGAATCGAGAGACGCCCAGTATGTCGATGTCCGCGGGGTTGAGGTTGACCAGCCGAAGATTATACAGTGGTCAGACGAGGTTAGACGCCGGATCAAGAAATGCACGATACGTATGCCACTTGCTCCAGCAAGACCTCCAAGGGAAAGAAAACTGACCCAGCACAGTTCTCCCACCACACCTCGATATCCCGGTCGCTGCGGAGACCAGCACTACATGCGAGTCGATTGAGCTCGATACAACAGACTCGGTCACTATCTTTGTTCGGCTGGGGTTCCAGCAAGACCGCAGACGAACTGCCCCAAGTCCAATCTCCCAGCACCTCACCCTCCCCAGCAGTCGGCAGCACTACCCCTCTACCCACCGTCGAGCCGATACGGACAGTCAAGGCGTCTCATGCCACAGCGGACAGCCCCGACACTGCTGGCAGTAGCAGGGTCGAGTCAGATGCTCTCCAAAACCTCGAGAATTCGGTGCTGCAGACTCAGAACACGAACGCAGCCGCCGCCGCCAATGATACTGCCGACCTTGCTTCGATCCCAGAAGGCATTGGATACTTGAAAGATGTCTGTGGTCTTGACTTTGGCTGGGGCCCGACGTCACTCATGCAGTTTCTTCTGGAACACATCCACATTACCGCGGGACTGTCCTGGTCCGCATCCATAATAGCAGTTGTCTTCCTGCTTCGAGCCTCTATCTACCCTTTCGCAGTTACCGCCTCCGACATGACCGCCAGATTCCAAGAGATGAGCCCGATGATCAAACAGATACAGGCCAGAAGTCGGGAGGCGCTCAACAACAATGACCGAACAGGAGTTCTCGAGGCGCAGATGCAAATGAGGGAGCTGAAGAAGGAAGGCAAATTCGCTTTCAACAAGATGTTCAGGCCTTTGTTGCTCCAGTTTCCCTTGGGTTATGGAGCATGGAATCTGCTGAGATCATGCTCCAATGTGCCTGTTCCAGCATTCGAAACTGAAAACTGGCTATGGCTAAGCAATTTAACCGTTGGAGACCCTTACTACGTCTTGCCTATAGTCACCGCCGCCATGACTTGGGTCAATGTCACCACCTCCGCAAAAACGCAAAATGCACAGGCAGACATGCCAGGAATGGCCCTGATCCGGAATGTCTTTCCTGTGATTACCGGTGTTTTCATGCTGTTCCAGCCGGCTGCGGTGCAGATCTATTTTCTTTGCAACGGCCTCTTCACTCAAATACAAGTCACATCTTTGCAGAATCCGACATGGCGGAGACTACTCAAACTGCATCCTCTCCCCAACCAAGGCCCGAAGACGGCAGGAATTCCTCCATCTCGCATGAACATTTCTCCCCGAGTGATCAACACCACTGGTAGGGTCACAACAACTCCAGCTCCCGCTCCAGAACCAGCATCTGCTTCAGCCGAACCAACAAAGCGCAGCTTTATCGACAAAGGAGTCGACTCTATAAAAGCCGCCAGTCAACAGACGTGGCGGAAAGCCATGGGTTCGACAAAGGAAAAGGCCGAACAGAAAGCCCAGGAGCGGAAACGCCAAGCACAGAAAGATGCGGCTGCTCGTTATGAGGCTCAGCGAAGGCAAGACCTGGAAAATATCCGTGCTTATCGGAATGCTGCTCAGAGCGGCCAGAATGGCAGTCACAGGCAATAGTCTGAGCCGAGAAACAGAGATATCTTGACGCAGAGTCGTACAAGCGAGCATTATCAACCCTGCCACGACGGACCCTCCTGCCAAGCAGTCATGTTGTGACTATTGTGCCGTCCGCCTGCCATTCAGCGGGTAGCTGTACCAGGCAGCGTGGTTGAGTCGCCTCGTCGAAGAGAATAAGACGCCGCCGCGTGTCGTACTGGTGGGAAGTGAGAGAGAGGCGGCACGATGTTGCGGGTTGTGCGAGATTTTGTACGGAATTCCAAGAGCGGTCATCAGGACAAACAGAATTCGGCACGTCTTAGCTCGCCACTCAAAATCATCCATGCTGCGCCCACGGTAAAAGAGGCGGTACGGTGGTTGTGGTGGTGGTTGACGATCCCACGAGTCAAAGACTCTTGCTTACATCCACTTCCCTGTACATTACATTGCATCAAGCGAGTAATCAAAATGTCTTGCCATGTAGTTTTGAGAACCATCACTGGCAATGAGCGGCAGTCGCTTCTCCTAAGAGCGCTTTCTGAGTATGATATCCTTCCCAGTATAGGTGAATCTACTACAGTACCCATTGTCGCCCCGGGGGGAGGTTGAGTGGGTGAAGTAGTTTTCTGATCTCTGAGTTTTCTTGCGTGGCATCCACCCTTCACCGGACATGTAGAACCTGACTCGCGACCTGGCACCATTAGAGCTAGGAAAGGAGTTTATGCTGTGTGGTACTCTGTATACTTCCGTGTGCTGCAATGTGGTGTGTACAGCATGAGTTGAGAGCCGAGTCTCATGGCTCAACCGGACTCGCTTGATACAGTATTAAGGTCTCGACATACTCCGCACAATTCCTGAATCCCAAGATCAAAGTATCACTAGTCGAATGTTTCGCTGGAGGAAGTCAAGGTCAGATCGACCGTCCGCGGTACGCAGGACGCAGGACGCAGGACGTAGAGCGTAGAGCGTAGAGCGTAGAGCGGATTGCGAAATGCCATGCCTACCTAGGTACCATTCTCTTCTCTGTAACGTAGTAAAATATAATTCATTAATGCCACGCCCCAGGTCATGCAATGTAATCAACGCAATAAGAAATTTTGGGAATGCCACGCTCTACGACGTACGACATGCATCTCTTCCAGTCTCTTCCCCTTTTTTTTTTGGAGAACTCAACTCTAGCTATGACCCATTCGCGACGGCCTCGCCTTTCCGGACCAAGTCCTCGCGATAATACGGCCGCGGCACGTTGTCATAATACGGCACGACGATCCAGTCCTTGTCGTCCGTCTTGCCGACCATGCCCTTGGTGACGTCCGTGACGGGCTCACGACTGACGAGGACGTTGATCAGCGCTGGGCCCGGTGGTGCGTTTGCTCCCGCACCCGCACCCGCCATATCTCGCACGGCGGTCTCGACATCCGGAAGGGAGCCACTGGCGAGGACGGCGCGATTGTTGAACCCCTTGGCCACGACGTCGTAGCGACACGACCCGGACAACTGGACGACGGGCCTGGCGCCCTCGGCCGTGTCGTACATGAGATCCTGCCCGGCCACGGACATGCCCCAGAAGTTGTTGTTGAAGACGACGGTGAGCACGTTGAGCGCGTGCCGCGCGTACGTGTCGAGTTCCTGGATGTGGAACCCCGCGGACCCGTCGCCGTGGATGTTGACCACGAGGCGGTCCGGGCACGCCAGCGCCGCGCCCAGCGAGTAACCCCACCCGTTGCCCAGGAAGCCGAGGTAGCCGGTCGAGACGATCGCGGTGGCCGGACGGGCGAGCTCGAGCAGCGAGCCCGCCCAGACGCCGCACTCGCCGCCGTCGATGATGATGATGGCGTCGTGCGGGAGCGACGTCATGATGGCTCGCATCGCCAGGTATGGGTGTAGGCGGCCGTCGGGGCGGACGGCGTCGTCGGCGTCGTATTTCGACGGGAGCGTCTTGACCGTGTGGATGTCGGAGAGCCAGGCGTCGTGGGTGGGGATGGGGATCGTACTCGTCGCTGTACCAGTATGCGAGTCGAGTTTCGCGAGGAGCGCGGCGATGAGCTTTGAACAGTCCGCCACGATGCCCAAATCGACGGCGTGCGATTTGCCGATCTCGCCGCCGTCCAGGTCCACTTGCACGAGCGTGCAGCCCGTGCTGGGGATCAGGGCGCCCGATCGTCCGCCCAGGAGGAACCCCGTCCGTGCGCCGAGCAGGAGGATGAAGTCCGGTTGCTGCTTCTGGATGTAGGGCAGGTAGGCCAGGAGGCTGGCGCTGCCGCCGCGGAGAGGGCTGTCGTAGGGGATGGCCGGACTGTACTTCTGCGAGTAGAATACCGGCGTGTGCGTCGCGTGGGCGAGCCGGAGGAGGGGACTCTGCCCCGGTGAGTCGCGGCTGGTCGTCCTCGCTGCGCCGGTCCCGGTTATGATGGCTGGCCGCTTCGCCGCGCTCCACAGCGAGATCAGTTCGTCGAGAGCGGCTGGGTCCGGGCCCGGCGAGACGGCGGTCTGCTTCATGACGCTCCCGAACGACAGCGCGGCCATCCGGGGCGGGTGGAATAACACGTCGATCGGGAAGTCGAGGACCACGGGACCCGGAATGCCCGACGCGGCCGTCTTGTACGCGTAGCTGACGATCCGGGGGATTTCCTCCACGTTGGTCACGCGGTGGGCGAACTTGGTGATGGGCTTGGCCAGCACGACTTGGTCGTGGAAGCCCTGGAGGCAGTTCGTCTCGGCGTCTCGGAGCGGCGGCGACGATGTCACCATGAGGATTGGCGAGCGGTCGGCAAATGCTGTGGCGAGGCCGGGGAGGGAGTTGCAGAACCTAGAAGCACAAGGTGGTAGTTAGTGCTGCTGAAGTATCATCGCTTCATGACTGTATTCATTCCAGTTCCAGTCATTTATACCGATGACGCTTCTCGCCGTGGGGGACAACGTACCCGCTGTTGGCTGTGACGAAGCAGCATCCTACCTTTCCTGACAACTTCGCGTATGATTCTGCTGCTTGGACGGCCGGGGCTTCGTGCCGCGTGTCGACGAGTCTGATGCCAGCCAACTCGCAACCGACGAGGAAGGCGTCGAGGTGGCCACCGTGAAGACCAAACGAGACGTCGACGCCCAGTTGGGCCAGACTTTGGGCGACCAGGTCACCGCCGAGGAACTCGCGCTTCTTGGGGATCTTCCACTTCAGCTCGTTGTCGGCCATCTTCGATTGTTAACGGCGAGGTGACAATAAACTTTGACGGCTAAGTAGGAAATCTGAGCCCGCTCTTCAGACGACGAAGGTTGTGCTTCGATAGTCCGGCGAAGAGCTACAGTCGGAGTAGCTATTAGTTTCTCGCAACGCACAAAAGTCATAGATCTCCTTTATCGAGTCTGTGAGACGAAACGAATGCTTACCTTCGCAGACATTATTTATATAGCTGAGCACGAGTCATGGTGTTGACCGGGTCGAGTCAACGCCGTGAGCACCAGCAGTGTCGCCATTGAACGAATGCTGCGGGGCTTTGCACTTGCATGCAGAAAACCCAAGCGAGCCACTGACTCGGTTCTGGACCGACTGGTGATCCTTCTGTTGCTGGCCAGTGAGAGTGGTCATGGATCCGAGGTCGTTCTGTGGCATACGAGGAATGTAGCATGCAGCTTGGACCGAGGAGATCTCAAGCTGCGGGGGTGTGATGTACATCTGTACAGTCACCAAAAGCCGACTAATCGTTCAAGACGCTGACGGTCCGAAGCTGTCGGTCTCTGGACGTAATTAGTTCTGCCCACAGCAACGATCTTGAAGACGCACACCATGATGCCGCCATTGATCATCCTCTTCACCTACGACTTCTCGGTCTTTGGGAGAAAGACGGACTGGGTGTTGAATCTCAAAGGGCTGAAGTACTTCCGATGCATCGTTCTGAATCGCCTCCCTCGCCCAGTGCTGCAACAACTGGGCGTCCAGTACAGGCGAATCCCCATTCTGGCCATTGGTCGCGATATATACTGCGACACGAGGCTCATCATTGACAAGCTCGAAGAGCTGTTTCCCGAAAACAGAATCAGCAGCACAAGTCCGTTCGAGAAGGGTCTGGAGCACCTGTTCGAGAACTGGCTGATTGACGGAGGACCGTTCTGGCGGACAGCAGGCCTGATCCCCCCAGCGGCGGAGGTGATGCACGACAAGGAATGGCTGCAAGACCGGACGAACATGACGGGTCGCAAATTTGACATTGAGACGCTGAAGCAGGGCAGAGCTGAGAGTCTGTCACATGTGCGCATGTACTTCAACCAGATGGAGCATGAATTGTTGGCCGACGGACGAGAATACATTCTGGCCACGCAGGAACCGACGTTGGCGGACGTCCATGCCATTTGGACGTTCGACTGGGCTCTCCAAGAAAAAGGGCACATGTTTGAGTATCTGGAAAAGGAAGTCATCGGCGAAGACCAGTTCCCCAGGACGTTCGCATATGTCGACCGGTTTCGCAGGGCCATGGCGAGGAAGGAAGCACAGAACGGTATACCGGAGGCGTTGTCCTCAACGGACGCCGTGAACCGAATTCTAGCTTCGGATTTCTTCGAGAAGGAGGGTACGATCGACCCCAGAGATCCGCTGAAGCTGAGAAAGGGGCAGTTAGTTGAGATCTGGCCGGTCGAGTCTGGATTCACGCACCACGACAAAGGTAAGTTGGTGTCGATCGGAGTGAAGGAGGTCGTCATCTCGAGTAGGCCAAGCGTCGGCGAAGGAAGACTGAGGCTGCATTTCCCCCGCGTGAATTTTCGGATCAAGCCGGTAGAGGAGTCGAAGTTGTAGCACCGGAATGCTGCTGTCAAAACGCTGAGGAGATGGCGACTCTTTTGCATCATCGGTAACAGATTGACGACACGTCCTGACACTGGTCGGAACTGTGGACGCAAAACCCGGCATCATTCAACTGGTGACTCTTTGATATACAGCGAAAGCCTGCTACATATTCGTACACTATATTTCCCGATGGTCGAGACATCACCACGCTGTGTAACCACCATCGATGACTAGCTGTAGACCGGCGTCAGTAAAATGTCGACAACCAGAACGAGGGTGCCGCCGATACTCACATTACTACCAGTCATGAATGAACTCGCATCGCTTAAACAAAACAAAGCTGCGCCTCTGTATTCTGCCGGTTCCGAAATTCGGCCAAGCTTGGGTGCGTTTGTTAGTCAAAATACCAGCAAGAGGGGTGTCGATCGAGAGCTTACCATGTTCTCCTTCTCCCAAAGCGCCCTCAGATTAGGGTCGTCCTCGAAATTCTTCTTTACCATCGGTGTCAAGATGTTTCCTGATTCCACGTCAGAATTGTCTTATAGGCGCGATCTTCCAGACTCGGGCACCTACCTGGACAGAGGGCATTGACCCGAATAGGCTTTCCATCCACGATCTTTCCCCACTCCATTGCCAGAGATCTCGCCAGCTGGCAGACGGCTGCCTTTGAAGAGTTGTAGACGGACGAGGTAAAGCCCTTGTTGGCAACCATTCCACTCATCGAGGCAACGAGGAGGATTGATCCGCTGCATTTATACTTGATCATCTGCCGAGCACAGCTCACGGCGGAACAGAAAACGCCCTTGTAATTGATGTTCATCATCTCCTCGATCTTCTCGGGAGTGTAATCCAGGGCGGGCGTGACGTTCTGGACACCAGCCGCGGCGATCAAGCCATCAAGGCGGCCATGGTTCGCGGCGATCTCCTCAATAACACGATCCAGGTTACCGGCTTCCCGCACGTCAACCTTGTCGAACTTGAGCGAGCCTCCATACTTGGGACCTAGACGTTTCTGAACCGTGAAGAACTCCTTGTCCGGCTCCGGCAGCCGATCGAGGCAATACACTGGACGCGCAAGGAAGGTTAGCGATGAATGGCTCAACGGTGCGACTTGATTGCAACCCACCTTGTCCTCCAGCTTCGATCAGCGCTTCCGCTAATATCAAGCCCAGACCACGCGCACCACCTGTCACGACAAAAACCTTGCCCTCAAGATCAAATTCACGAAATCGGAATGGTGTCCGTTCCGGATCGGGAAGCTTTTCTTTGATGGACGGAGCCTCTACGCCAGATTCTTTGACGGCCTCCATTGGGGTAGAAGGCCCTTTACTCGCGGTTGCGGACAGGCTACTGGAGAACAACCGATTGTGCCGTTGTTGGTAGACCAGGGGTATGAGAGATTGCCCAGAACTGCTGTAGTATCGTGCTATTGAACCTGCGCCAGATATGTAGTTGCGCGACAGGATTGACTGAGTTCGTAAAGACAGGGGAGGCATGTCTGTGTGTGCCAGACAGAATGGTATAGACGGGAAACAGACACAAAGATGCGAGTAGTTCAACAGAAAACTCTTGGTTACCTTGGAACGAGGATCAGCCCGGATCAGCATATCCCTGGCTTGTATCGGAAAGCCCAGAGCAGAAGGCTGAAGTCGTGTGGATGGATGGACTGGCCACACCATCGTGATCACCAACGCGTGAAAACACAGGTGACGTTAGACGACGACAAAAGGTGGTGAAGGCGGGGTTCAGCCACCACGTAAGCGCCGTCGCGTATCTCATAAAAAAACAAGAAGCTCTCTTGGAAGTCTCTGTTCAATTTGCTACCAACAGGATCACTTCCCCCACCATTATCTCGGTCCCATCGACGATGGTGGAAATGTGGTTCCGGTTGACGTATGCGGCGATCAGCTAGCAGAGGAGTGAAGGGAGGATGAAGAGTTGGTGAGAGAGTCACTGAGGCTCCGTCGCTTAGGCGAGAGGCTTCGGCTCCGATGGCCGAGCGCCAATCGGGGGCCTCGGCGGGTTTTGCGACGCCCGGATCGATTCCCGGATCCAGCCAGGCTCTTATTAGGAAGAGCGAGATTGCGTAAGGCGGTGAATTCATTCCCGCGCCGCAGCCTTCATCTAGGGACGGAGTACCCGCCGGCGTGTGCCAGGTGCACCCACCGCTTGGTTCAGATTGACGTGAATCTGACGATCGACCGCACTCGCTTGTTGCGATCAAGCGAATCTGCAGGCACCGGATGGATGACTTGGATCATCCTTGCCTTCAAGGCGACTGCTGCTCTTTCGTCAGCACCTTGGTGACTCGGATGCAATATCCAGCTCCCACAGCCGTGAGAATATGCCACCATCCATGCAACTCCAGCAGAAACCCCAACGGCATGCCCAACGCCTTCCTGGCGTCGCGAAGGGCGCCACAATAAGCCGAGTCCAACACCCACACCACGAAGCCCATGAGGAAGCACAGGCCACCCACCCGGAACTCGCGGGTCCAGTACCGCTTGACCTCCCCCTTGAATCGAGTTCGAATAAGATACAGCACCCTCGGCCAGATGGCAGTGACCAGGGCAATGAAGGTCGTGTTGTGGAGCCACAGCTGATGCAGCGCGTAATGGTAGGCGCTGATGACCCCGAGCGCCATGGTCAGGACCGATCCGAAGGCCAATTTGGCGGACCGTGACCATCCAAGCGTGTACAGCTCGTACACCAGGGCTGCACAAACCCAGAACATGGACAGGTCGTCGCAGACTTGGGTCTCATATTTCAGCGTGAGATGGAAGAGAAGAGACGTGACACCGACGAAGAAGAGAGCGAGGTTACTGGGCTGGGTGAGCAGGCTCTCTCCTGGAAGCAGAGTGCGAAACGCCCAGTAGACTGAAGTTGGCAGGTTAGCTCAAGCTGAAGCCGCAGGTGATTGCTTGTTCGAAAGGTGGGCCGCACCATATGCTAGGTTGGTGAAACTGTTCACAAACTCGCCAACATAGAGCGTGACCGAGTAGTCTTCCTCGCAAAAGCTGGTGGCCTCTGGTCAGCAGATGTCGGCTTGGCTAGGGCCTGTGGTGCCAGGGACTCACTTGGCGACAGACGTCGGAGATCCCCAGTATCCCAAGTGCGCCTTGACATCGCCAGCAAAATTGCGTTCCAGGCCCATGATGCGAAAGCTGGCAACGGTTTCGATTTGGTCGGTCCCGGTTCAACGCGTTCTATCGCAAGACAAAGCGCGTGGCGGCGAGCTCGGTCTAGAAAGTAAGCTCGAGGGAAATCTATTTCGCAACCTTGTAATGGACGGCAACGAGCTAGGCAGAACAGTTCCTCTATACTAACGCCGGGGTCTCCAGATGAATAGAAGGCTTCGTCTAAAAGCTTCACGGCCGGGATATTATTAGCCGAGAGGTACCTCTTTCCGCGTACCCCCGTAACCCCCGTATCTCGTATGTCGTGTCGCGAGCGGGCGTATTGGTTGGCTCCCACTGTTACAGCTTCGCATTCTAGGGTTGCTACTCCGTATATCCACCTCCAGATGAGGTTGACGGTATCTATAAGAAAAATAGTACGTCTTCGCAGGCGCACTCGCTTATGTGTCTAGTATCGACTCAGTTCTCCTCACTTGAGCATGACCCGCAAGCCCTTTGAGTCAACCGCCGGAAACGGAGAGAAATAGTCATGCTCAATCTCAATATCCTTCCTCGTCGTCTCAAACAGCTCGGGATCAAAGTGGTGGAAGAACGCTGCAATGGTGAGATAGAGGTTCATGAGGGCCAGCTCTTTGCCGATACAGCTCCTCCCTCCTCGGCCAAAAGGAACGAAATACTTTTCCAGCCGCTTTAACTCTTCACCTTCGACCAGCCAACGTTCGGGCTTGTACATCAATGGTTCCGGGTACACCGGCTCGAAGGTGTGGTTGCTTCGGATCGCCATGCTGATGACTGTCCCGGGAGGGAGAAGGTAGGAGGCGTAGGTGTACGCTTGCCGGTGATTTACTCTTGCAAGTCGGCCAGAGACACTGCACGCGATACGAAGACCTTCATTAATTACAGCTGTGAGATACGGCAGGCGCTGCAGCGTGCTGTAGTTGGACAAGGGGTCTGCTGAGCCTTTGGCTGTTTCGACCACTTGAGCTAATTCTTCCTTCAGCCGTCGAAGTTTGTCGGGGTTGGCTAGGACGTGAAAAGTGATGGTTTCGAGGGCATTCCCGGTCGTCTCGCTACCAGCGCCGACGAGCGTTCGAGCTTCTTGTGTGATTCGGTCGACGCTCTTGTCGCTCTCCGGGATGGCATCGGAATTGATGATTCCGTCAAGGACGGACTTGTCGCTCCGCTTTTCGGCGTGAACGGCGTCGGCGGCTTGTCGCGCCAAATCCTGTGGATCGTCAGGTTATCGGAGGATTGACTCCATATGTGCTTTCTTACTGTCTGAAAGTCGAAAGCCATCACGGCTCCCTCTGTTGAAGTCGCAGCGACTGCCCATCTTGGCATTCGCATGAATATCTATTGCTCCCGGCAGGTCAGAAGTGCGGTTGGGAAAACATCCGGGACGAATATTGATGGCGACTGTTGCTTTCGGTCGTGGAAGACAATCCACCTCGTTGCTCGGAACTTGACAACGGCAGAGGAACTTACCGGGATAATGATGGGGATGTGACGATGCCAGGCGGCAATATGTGAAATCACACGTGCCTGGCGGTTGTAGTCATCGGCGAAGTCAATCGAATCCAGCAGATTGAAGGCTTTCGGCATGCAACTGCGTGGAATGAGTCTGGTGCCTTCCACAGTGTCAAAAACAGCGGCGACCTACTAGTTGGTCACAGAGTCGGCAGCCAGACACCGGAAAGCATTGGAGAGATTGACCGGCTTGCCCGTCTCGCGCATCGAGCGTAGCCGTTGGCATAGCTTGGAGACCTTCTCTCGCGACGACGACTCGAGGTTGGAGATGGCAGAGGCTGCAAAGAAGCGACTCATGGCCTTGCGCCTGGCCCGATGAAGGTCGACATTGGCGGTCCCGAACCCTGCGTCCTTGGAGCCGACGAATGCATAGTACCAGCCATCTTTGTCAAGGCGGCTGGTCACGTTATAGAATTCGTCAAAGAAGTCCGGATCGTGGATATGGACCTCGTTAGGTCCTATGCGAACAATGGGTCCTATCGAGTATGCTGATGAGCATGGCGTTCATGTGCCTGTGAGACAAGGCAAGAACCCATTTCGACTCACCGTATTGCTTATGTAGCTCCTCGATCTTGAAGACGAATTTGCCTCCCAGGATGCAATCGTAGTAGAAATCATAGAGGCGGGAGATCGCGGCAAGTTTGGGCCCCGGGATCTTCGACAGCGGGTGGAAGAACAAGCGGTAGAGGACCAGGCATGCAAAGCCACCAAAGCTCGCCACCGCCAATGAGGCGGCCAGCTTGAGGTAAGATTCGAATGCCATAATTATGCGCCCCCGAAGCAAGTCAATCAAGGAGAAGAATGCAGATACCAGAGTAACACGACAGACGCAGTGCGAACATGGATGTTCATTTTCACCTGACTTGAAAGTCAGAACATCTGCAAAGCTGGCGATAGCATACGCTCATCGCTACGACCACGACTCCGTAAGGTCTCTGCATAAAGCCACTGCCTATCTGCGAAGGTAGAGGCGGGGATGTCTCTGTGCTGGCCATCGCTCCGTTTACCACCAGGGGTACGCGACACTTGCGAATCAGCGTTGCATTGATTGCGATCCATCTGCAGCCACAGTTGGCAATTCCGCCGGGCAATGGCTGGGAGATACACGATAGGCAAGCATTGATGCATACCCCTGCTGTTCCTTGGCCGCCGGGAGCAAATCTAGCAGGTGCCCCAGAAGTGAAATGCCTGGGGCCTGCAGTGGATGCCTAGAAGCGGGGGCTCATGCACTCCTCACTTGCCACTCATATCGCCTTCACTTTCCTCTGAGACCCATTCACAGTTTCCATCGTCTGTGTAACCTGCACGAGTCATGCCTTTCATGCTGCATGGCCGAAATGCATCCTGATGGTCCGCTCAGCATCGCAGGCGAGAGCTTCGCGTGCGCAAGTAGCGCCGACCTAACGACGAACACCATGTGCTTGTGGGCCTCGCTCAAGCTCTATCCTCCGCTCTCAATCCTTTTTGGCTCCTTCGGACGAGTTTACTGCCGTGTCGCTGTGCGGCTGCCCGCCAATCCCGAGTGCTGACATCGCGTCAATCCCGGGCGATGGCGTCTACCACCCTTGCTGGCCCACAGACAACGTGCGTGTAATGCCCAGTGTCGGGTGGTGGCTTCGGTTCATTGTGCTCACAATCAACTGCGCAAACTCCGCAGCCACCGTTTTCTGTCAACATGCTGATCTTGCAGACAGCTTTCTATTCGCTCTCCATTCGTTCTCGCGCCGCCTCCCTGGACGAACACGCTCATTATCATGCCATCCGGGGGCGAAGTGGCATATGTGTGGCCGAGATGGTGCCCACATCCAACATGAACTCTCATCACCGGAGCCTCATCAACTCTTTTCTTACGCTACCTTCCGATTGTACTGAAGCTCTTCCTTTCTCCCCAAACCCAGCAAAAGGCACCGTTTACAGCACCATGATCCTCAGAGACCGCAGGGTGTGACGTACACGCGCACAAGGCTCGGTTTTTGTCATGGCCGACGACCGTGACGTCGATTCTGCATACGCGGAAAGCGTCGGAGACTACTCGGAGTCGACGTCGATAGCCTCCAGCATTTTTGACTATCAATACGAGAATGGCCGCCGTTATCACTCTTACAAAGCTGGCCAATATTTTGCCCCAAACGATGAGCAAGAGCAGGAAAGACTCGACTTGTTGCATCACGTGCAGTCTATGGTTCTGGGTGGAGAGTTGTACAAATCGCCCATCCGAGAACCTCAACGAGTGCTGGATATTGGCACCGGTACCGGAATATGGTAAGCTCGGCCTGACGGCGCGACGACCGTGGCTTATCAAGTACAGGGCAATGCAGATAGCCGATATGTTTCCGATGGCGGATGTGGTCGCGACTGACCTCTCTCCCATACAGCCGACCTGGGTTCCACCCAACATACAATTCATGATCGATGACTGTGAGGCAGATTGGACTTTTGTGCGCACTTTTGACTATATTCGTCTCGGGCATATGGTACGTCGACGCACTTGCTTTGAGCATCGACTCTTTCCCAAATGATAGAGTGCGGGGCCAGAAGCACAGGGATGGTTGATGACAGAGACTCGCTAATATGACTCGCTCACAGGGCGGTAGTATAGCGGACTGGAAGAAGCTTTTCCGACAGTGCATGGACAACCTCAAACCCGGAGGATGGGTAGAAGTGATCGATTTTGAGGGTAAGCGCATTTCGAGCTACAGTGAGATATGCGAAACTGATGACCGGGCACTTGCAGCCTGGGGCAGCACAGACGACGACAGTCTGCCTGAAGATTCTTCATGGCACACAGTACGGCAAGCCCAGCTTGGCGCGTTGGACCATAGTTGATGCTTCTTTAGTGGCAGACAGAACTCAGCAATGCCGCCGAGAAGTTCGGGCGGATAATGAACATCAGCCCACAAATCAAGGGAATGGTCGACGAAGCAGGTTTTCAAGATGTCGAGCACATGGTCTACAAGGTGAGTGCTTGGTCGTGTTGAGGAAACCAGTCAAGCGGCTCATACGAAGATTATAGGTGCCGCTCTCAACCTGGCCCAAGGAAAAGCATCTGAAAGATCTCGGCTCGTATATGAATCTGCTCATGACTGAAGCGATGCAAGCTTACAGCCTCGCACTGTTTACGCGCGTCTTGAATTGGGATCCCGCCGAGGTGGAGGTTCTTTTAGCTGGCGCGAGAAAGGACCTACAGAACCCCAACTACCACTTGTATACGCGCCTGCATATTGTTTATGGGAGGAAACCGCCGTCACAGGAGGGTCTATAACGGGTGGATAACAAAAGGTATTCTAGCTGGACGCATGTAGGAGTTCATGAATAGGGGTATTCATCTCAGGGGTGAGCCAAGTGTCAAATGGCATACTCTTCTAGCATGGGATTGTCGACTCACTCTTGGTCTGTCTCACACGCTCTTCTTCAGTCCAATCCCTCCACCGAACCGGTACTTATATGTATCGGCACTTTCCCGTGCTGCCCCGTATTCAAACAGCATCAGCACTTTCCAGTGCTGCCCCGTATTCAAGCCTGTACCTACTGCGACCGACAAGGCTCCTGACCCCTTGTTACTCTTGTAATGCCATCGCGCCATCGCCCCTGGTGCTAGCGAAATTGACGGTGACGGGGCAGTAAATGAAATGGAAATATCTTCATAGCAGAACCTGGACCCCTTCGCCCCTGACACCAGCGCCGTGAATTCGCTCGCTCACTAGTGAATGACTCTCCTTCGACTGTGCACAGCTACCTGTTAATTAAGCCTGATCTTCGCCGGGGAAATCAAACAACAATATTACCTACCTCCCTATATTGAAGGTACTGTCTATCTGTCCATATATATGTATGTATCTGTGCTCATACTCCGTGCTGAGTATACCTCTGTCCTTTTCCCACTCACTTGGAGATTAGCCTAGCTCGACGCAACTCAACTCGACGCAACTCAACTCAACTCTACTAACACAATGCAATGCAATGCAATGGAACTCCTCTTAGATGTGTTGCTCCCAAAACGTCAATTAGTTCGTCGACATCAATTACTCCCTGCATACGTATTAATTACCCCCTGGACAATGAGACGTGCCTCCTACTTTGACTTTGTCTTTGGTTCGTGTCTAAGGTCGGAAGTTGAAGGTCTAAAGTCCATAGCATGGTATTATAGTAGACTGGGCTTGATTTCAATGAAATAGACCTACGTATTATCTCATGCTCACTCTCATGCTCACTCTCATGCTCACTCTCCTGCTGCTGCTGCTACTACTACTACTACTACTACTACTACTACTACTACTACTACTACTACTACTACTACTACTACTACTACTACTGCTGCTGCTGCTGCTGCTGCTGCTACTGCTACTGATATTGCTCATGTCTGCTTCATGAGAATGACTCTATTTAGTTACGTATATATCAATACAGCACGTGGAGGCGGACGATGGCGAACAGGACGGGATCTTCACGACCAGGTAAGTATCCATGAGAGAACAGAAAAGGAAGAGAACGTCGTGTCCTGTTCATGCACATCGCATGGATGGGCATTGTGTTGCGCGGTCCTGGCCTAGCGCCATGCTTTCCGTCTGTCTGTCTGCCTGTATCGGTGTGGCCATCCTAACCAACACCCTGACGCCGCTACCAACACCACCACCACGGCCGCCGCCGTCGACAAACGACACACCACAGACACAGACACGCACCCTCTCTAACTACGTAGATTCTCCAACCCGGCTCGACGACGCAGGCCCTTTTCACCATCACCGCCACCAGCAACAACAGCAGCCTCAGGCCGGTGCACAACAACGGTGCCCGTCTCTGACACCGCGACCTCGCTGCCACCGCCACTGCCACCGCCGCTGCCACCACCGCTCCTAGTGCTGCTATAATCAGCAACACTCCAGCCCTCTTCCTTGTCGCCCTCCATGACCTGCCGCTGTTCCTGCCGTTGCTGCTCCTCTTCCTCCTCGTCAACAACAAACGGCGGAAACGGTATGGTGTCACAACTTGTGCGAGCCTCCTCCTCGACCACATCGGCACGAGGGGCTCGAGCACGCACACGCGACTGCCACAGCGGTGATTCCACCGTTGTGTACGAAGAGGGGTTCCCCTCGCCACCGGCACCACCGCCACACGCCGTACAACAGCCCTGGTTGTAGCCGTACCAACTATCGCGGACAGTCGAGGGGTGAGCTCGACTGCGTGCGTGACGACGGCGGACGACAACCCAACAGGCCGTGCACGCGATAACGGTGACCAGAGCGAGGGGACCCAGAGTGCCGGCTAGGATGGCGGCGAGGTTCTGGTGGCGGTGGGAAGGGGAGGACAGCGAGGTAGCAGCGGTGGACGACAGCATACTGGTCACAGCGCTGGCGGCAGTGGTGGTGGTCGTCACAATAGTCACCGAAGTGACTACCGGGACAGAAGCCACCGGCGTTGTGACTAGCGTTGTCGTGACCGTCGCTGTGACCAAGCTCACAGAAAACTCAACCACCGTGACTGTGGCTGTGGCGGACGACATCGACACCGGAGAGATGATCGTCACCAGTATAGTTACTGGTGGCAGGTCGGATGGCTCATCAGATTCCGATGTTGAGGGCGGAGGCGCAGGAGCGTCCGTTACCGATAATGGCAGGGTCGGCAGAGTTGGTAGGGCGGTGACGAATGAAGGATCCAGGGACCCAGAGCCAGAGACCAAGACAGCAGCAACCGAGGAGGCGGGGACCAAGAGCAACGGCGCGTCGCCAATAGACCGTGCAGGCACGGTTTCAAGGCCAAAGATGGCCAGGGCGGCAGCGAAGATGAGAAGGAGGATTGCTGGGATCTTCATCTTGCTGGCTCTGCCACATACTGTCAGTTCTTGTTTGGCCTGAGCGCTATGGCACAGGAGGAGCGTACCGGCCGGTGTTGCTCTTGTCGCGGACGCCTTGGTCGAGGTCGAGGTCGAGGTCGTGACACTGAAGCGAGAGGTTAGTGAGCTGGGGGTCAACTTTTGAGAGCACCATCAGACATACCCCGTGTCTGTGTCTTTGCTGATGCCCTGAGGAGAACCTGTCTTGTCGCTGCTAGGAGGATCTCTGTCTTTACTGATGCTCCGAGCAGAGCTTGTCTTGTTGCTGTCGATCTCAGCTGTGGATCTAGCTTTTGAGGAGCTGATCGAGCGGAGCTGAGATGAAGAAAAGGCTTGACGTTGTCGAGTTTCGAAACAGAGACAGAGGAGCAGAGTCAAAGAAGGTGGAAATATTCGGCTTGACCTCTGCATTGTGGGCGCCAAGATGACAATGATGTCGTGGACGGCGACGACGACGAGGAGCGACGGCAGAAAAATCTCGAGACGTGACAACGACAGTGAAGGACATCCTGCATCCTCCGCGGCGCTCAGCGGTACGATGGTGTGATGTCGTCGATGTTCGCCGCGCCGGCTACCTTGGACATTGGCCAGGTACCATATCATATATATAGCATGATGTCTCTAGAAGTTAGAAGGCTTGGGAGGGAAAGGGAATTGGGGCGCTATCAAGTTGCTAATGGAACAGATATTTATGGACAGTGCGACTGCGCACCTCCGCCAAGAGGCGACAGTCACAAGACAGAGCTGCTGCCTTTGAGAATCTAGAATACATACTTCAAGGAGGTCAGTAACGTTGTGCGTGGGCCGAAGCGGAAAGAAGACATCTGACTCACAGGTATGAACAGGTACGGCACTTGTCTTTCATACTCCTCCCAGGCCTTCCCGTACTTGGCCCGACATTTCTCAATGTCTCGCAGGGTCCGGTGAATGATCATTGCGGTGAAGAAGACGGGGTAAAACCAAGGGAATGGTGACCGAAAGCCCGTCACTGCTCCCCAAGACAATGCGAAGAAGAGGTCGCAAGTGTAGTGAATCTTCCTTGCATAGCCGTCTGCGAAGCCGTCAGTATAGTGACAATTAAATCTGAAGGGGACTCACAAAAGCCATCAGCAAGAATGGTGCCCCCATTCTCTGACGTGATGATCTTGGGGTTCTCAACCGTCTGCCATGGTAGCTGAGGGAAAGCCTTGCGTGTCACGGCACCACCAGACTGCTTCGCGCGGAACCGGTTCTTCTGGCTGTTGGTCGCGTCCCACACCCAGTACACGAAGAGGTAGGCCGCGTACAGTGCAGCAAGGGCGTACTTGTTCCAGGGGTATGTGCTCGGATGGTGGTTTGCCAGATAAATAGTGCAATGGCAGTATGTCAACGGGACGCCAGCCAGGTTCCAGAAAATCAACATGAAACCCCATTTCTCATGGTACATATCCCAGGTCGGCACAATGAGTTCCTCACCTTTACTGCATGCATTTGCGTACAGCCAGTGGGCCATGAGCAGGAATCCAACTTCGCCCGAGACGTATCCGTAGTTTTCGTATTGCCGGGCAGCCGTTCCCAGTGTTATCAGGAACAAGATGTACCATGGCAGTCGAACTTCGAAAAACATTTTGAAGTCGAGGATGCCGAACATGCGTGGATTGAGCTCGGCACCCATGAAAAAGTCGTACATGAGAGATCCGGTCATGCGGTGTTCCTTGCCTCGATAGATTGCCGAGACATAGGCGACGATTGAGACCGCAAAGCCTGAAATGATGGCGACAGACATGAGCGGACCAAACTCATCGATGATGTTGTAGAGCTTGAAGAGACCCGAGAAATGAAGACCGAGCGCTACAATGATGGTGGTCCACCACGACCACATGGCGCTGCAGTAGTAATCCAGCCTCAGTCCGTTCTCGTGGGGCAAGGGCTTGCCTTTCGTCCAGATGCCCGGCATCAAGCAATAGCAAGCGCCTTCAAAGACAAAGAAGATCCAGTACATAGCCCAGGCTTTCGCCGAGGGCCAGGCGCCGTAGTAGGCCATGCGAACCATGCCACGGAAGAAGTCCGCCAAAGTCTCTCCATCGCGTGGCATGGGGAATTGGCCATCGTAGTATGTCGCGCCAATCCACATGTAGTACATGAGGGTTGGAAAGCCGATCATCATGGCGGTGACGCCCCATGCGCCGCCGAACTCGAAGCGCCCGGAGGTATCGACCTTGGGGTCCATGCCTGGTCGCCATCCGTCCACCAGAGTGTCGGAAGACGCTTGCTGCTCTGCGATGGGGGCTTGCTTGCTGGCATAGGCATTCAACTTTTCCGACTTGACGTGTCCGTTGGCATACCCATTGGCATGGCCGTTCATCTCTTTCTCTGCGGCTCCGTCGACGAATTGCGACGACTTCCGGCTACTCCTCGGTGCAGTCTTGATAATTGTCGCGTCGCCGTCAACGCCATTGGCATGTTCTCCGAGATCCGCATCCTCTGGAGCTGGCGTGGACTTGCGCGATCGCGGCTTACGGTATGTACCAGGGGTCTCGACATAGTCTGGGTGCACGGTTTTCCTGGGCCTAATCAGCATGGAGCGCATCAAGGGACACCGCACCGTCGCTGCGTACCTGGGTGTCTTGCCCGCCTGCGTACGGGTGACTGGCATGTTGAAACGAGTGGGAGACTAATGATACAAGGACTGAGGAAAGAGCGACTCGACTCAACGCGTCATAAGGAAGGGACGCACGCTGACCGTGGCGGCGGTCCTCTACGTACTGTATTTAGGACTGAGGGTGGTACGAGGCGGGAACGAGACTCGATCATGAACCGCGACTCCCGAAGATTTTCCAATTTCTCCTGCGCACCACAAACAATTTACCGCATTCGAGTGAACACGTGCCTGACCGGGGTGGCGAGGCGACCATGCTACTGAAAGAGTCGGTGGGAAGATAGATGCTCTCAAAACAGTCGTCCTCAATGGGTTCGCGGTGGCATTCATATGCAATACATCGCTAAATGTGGTGGGTTAAAGTCAGATATATGAAGATAATATGGTGATAAACACGCTGCAAAGGTTGGCGGCGTCCAAATATGCCTGAGCCTGCCGTGCTATGTATACATGCAAGATGGTCGTTACATTCCCCTCCACGCTCTTTCTACATTGTCACGCTCATGAAACGCTCTACAAGAACAAGCCAACGACAGCAACGGCCACACAAACGGCCACGCTCAACACAGCTCCCGGCAGCTCCTGCTGGGCCGCGCCACCGGTGAAGGTCGCGGGCGCAACTGGAGTGGTCGAAGAACCAGAGGATGGCGCGAGCCATCCGCTGTTGGTCGCTGATGCGGCGGCCACAGATGTCAGGGATCCGGACGCCGTTGCTACTGAGGTCTCGGCCGGCTTCACGGCCGTAGAGACCACGAAAGATGGGCCAGTGTAGCCGCTGAAGAGGCCGGAGGGGTGATCGACCACGGCAGCGCCATCAGACGGCTTGACAGGCACGACGGTCTGGGTCATGATGGCGGTGGCAGTTGGTGGTGTATAGCTTCCCGTCGAGGCGGTCTTTTCCCAGTCAGCCCAGTCGAAGTTGCTCGACGTGGAGGTTGAGGCGGCCTTCACGGGCTTGCTGGAGGTGGTGGTGCTGGTCTTGGAGGCCTCCCAGTCAGCCCAGTCGAAGCTGGAGGTGGTCGTTGCCGGGTCAACTGGTTTGCTTGTCGAAGAGGATTTGGAGGCCTCCCAGTCAGCCCAATCAAAGCTTGATGTAGTGGCGGCACTCGTCGTTGCCGCATCAACCGGCTTGCTGTCAGAGGTGGTCCAGTCACCCCAGTAGTAGCTGCTGGTAGTGGAGCTGACAGCAGCCGAGGAGGTGGGGCTGGAGTGCGAGTCGCCATGGCCATGGGAGTAGGTCGAGGTTGTTGTGGCGGCTCCCGGGCTGCTAGTTGAAGTGACATCTCCAACACGATGGCTGTAGGTGGTGGTGGTCGTGCTGGAGCTGCTGGACGTGGTCTCATCGCGTGCTTGGTGGGTGGCGGACGTTGTGGTGCTGCTGGCGCTGCTGGCGCTGCTGGAGCTGCTGGATGAGGGCACGCCAACGTGTACGCCGTGCGAGCTGGTGGTGGAGGCTGAGCTGCTCAAAGAGGTTGTACCGCCAACGTCAACATGACTATAGCTGGAAGTGGATGTCGTGCTGCTCGAGCTAGTGGCAGCGGGAGAAGCCCAAGTTGTGCTGCTGGTGGTGGTGCCAGGGACATACTCATGAGTGGTGGTGGAAGTGGTTGTCGAGGCTGAGGTGGAAGTTGCAGGAGCAGCAACCGTCGTTGGAGAAGCAGACACCGTCGTGCTAGTGGTCAAAGATGATGTGGTAGCCATGGTGGTGACGGTGGTTGTCGAGGTAGCTGGCGCCTGGGGTGTCTTCGCGCAAGAGAGCTGACCAAAGAGTTCCTTGATGTTGTACGCGTAGCTCTGTCCATTGAGTTCCGGATCGGTGTTCTGCTCCGAGTAGGTTGCGTCCCAGAGCATGACACCTCCGAAGGAAGACGAGTAGGTATCGGAGCATGCATATTCCTCGATCAAGGACTTGGCCTTGCTAATGCTTAGGTAGTCTTGCGAATGAGCGGCGCTAGTCGACGCAGGCAGACCGAGGAATATCTTGATATTCTTGTTCTGCGAATTGTCCGCGAGCCACTGTAGCCAACCAAATGTGATGTCGGTGTTTGTGTTCAGCGAGCCCGAGCTGAATAGCGAGGCTGCGGAGCAGGAGTCAGTGTTGTAGAATTGGATGAACCTGGCCCTTGTTAGCATAATGCACGCGGTCAACGCCAGGGATATCCTTACAGATAATCAATATAGGAGTTCGCGATCGCATCTTCGAGGTGAGCGTCTGGCACAACGCATTGGGGAGCAGCTGAGATGTAATATGTGCCGGTGCTCTCAGCGAATTTGGCCCTCAATTCGTTGACCAAGTCAGAATAGAAGCTGTCAGGCCCCGATTCGAGGTCAAGGTCGAAACCATCCACAACGGTGTCCGTGCCAAAGGGCCGGGGATAGTCCTTCAAGCTAGGGTCCTGGAGAGGGCCAAACGAACCCCAGAGGAAGTCGGCGAATGCGACGGCAGATTCCTTCGAGGCGAGGAAGTTCCCTCCAGGGGATGCGCCTCCGATGGATGCGAAGATCTTCTTGCCGGCATCTTGACAAGTCTTGATATCCTCGGCGATTTGTGAACATTGGGTGAGCATCTGAGTCTGCTTGCCATCGGGGGTCACCCAAAGCTCGCTGCCGCACGCATTTCCATAGTTGTTTCCTGGTCCGTTTGTCTCGTCGGGGAAGATGTTGACGAAACCAATGGGAATGATATCCAAGGTCGTGTCCGCACAGAATTCGGCCAACCGTTTCTGTCCCGGTCCTTGTCCCTATACACGATCAGCCCGAAGCCGCGCCTCCAGTCAGACACATATTCTCACCCAATATACCGCGAGTTGGGGTTCTGCAGGGCCCGCCAAGGAGGTGAATATCTTTGGACTGAAAATCGGTTTCGCAATGGTAGTGGAAAGCAGAGATGCTGTCGCCAGCACGCTGGTGATGACGGTGTTTGAACGCATTTTCAAGGTGTTTGTGGGTAAAAATGAGCGGATTCGGAAAACAACAACAAAAGAATGGCTGGGCTATAAGAGCACCCAAGGAAGGACTGGACGCAAGCAAAGGCTCGCAAACTCAATGTAAGGACCGTTAGAAAAGTAAAAGCGTTGAAAGCAAGAAAGAGAAGAAAGAGGCTCTTGAGCAGAAGTCACGGAGCCATATGTGCCCATCTTGACAGACCTCAAACCTTAACCTCCGACGAGCCGCCCAGGTAAGGCTATCCACATCCCACTGGATCCATACCGAAATTGCACGGACGGCTATACCACGGTATATCGCAAGTCCCTCCCTTCCCTGGGGCCGAAATCACCAGGAGGGGTCCTTGGGTGCTTTCGCTGCATCGACCCGGCGGATGACACGACCTCAAACACCGCCCACAGCTCAATGAGGACGGATCAGGAGGAAGATGATGTGCTTGGGTGGCTTGAGGAGGAAGATCAGGTGCTCGGGTGGCTTGAGGACCAAGGGGGGATGAGTTTGAGCGGCGTCGCGCTTCGAGATCCGATGTCGTATGCGGGCAACAGCGCTCCGAGAAGTGGTGTTCGAAGACTCGAGGGAAGCCGACCGAGGACAAGCGCGTGTGCGGGACAAGATTCAAATCTCCTGGCCAGACCTGCCACGGTGATGATAGAGGAAGTGGAGAGTCAAAGAGTGAAGACGATACGTCGAGCAGCAACAACCAGAGCCAAGCTTTGACGCCAGGGGCAATTAGCGGCTCGCTGGGGGCCCGACTGGCGGTGCCTGTCCCATTCAGGGGGCTGCTCAGGACTATCATTTCATCATAACGGATAGACGAGAGGCACCCAAAAGGCGTCCCACTTCCCAGTTGAGTGAGGAAGAAAAACACCCTCACGATCCTCTGGGAATGGCAATTAGATGCGCCCCTGCTGTAGTATGACCAATACTCTAGCCCAAATTTAGGAACTGAAACAATTGGATTTGGGAAGAATTGCTCCCTATAAACTCCGTACGAAGTACCTCGTACACTACTAAATCCTTCTGCTTACGTGCTGCGTTCTACGACGATCAAATCGCGTGCTTCTTGGGGCCAAGGAAATCGAAGAGTTGCAGCTGGCCGCACGTCTGTCGCAGATTTCTCCTGTCGTCCTCAACACATACTTCAATCGCTTCGGAGTATTCGGATGTGCAAGACGAATCCTCTGTAGACGAAGTGATGTTCACTTCCTGCTGAGTACTGTAGTAACGCATGCGCGATCGACCATAGTTGCGAGATTTCACCGCGGCAACCGTGAATGAATGGCAGTCGAGGACAGACACGGCCCGTCGAAACTTCCTGTTGACAGCCTGCCGGCGAGATACTGAGTTTGTGGCTGTCGATAATGCCACTCCCACACGGCGACACGAAGTGTAATTCCTGTTGCCATGGTATACCCGTCGATCAGTGACGATCGGATCTGGCGATCTCCACAACGTGGCCGCTGATCGATCTGACAAGCCTTACCAGTTGTATTTTTGGAATGACTGCGCCATGACAGCCTTACGGGGAACCTCGTATTCTGCACAAAATCTGCATGGGAAGCGTGAGGATTGAACTGCGAAGGGGAATCCCTCCACATGTCTAATGCAGCCCCTTAACAAGACAGAAGAAGTAGGTACAAGCTATGTGCATTGGCGAAGCACGCCCGCGGTGACACTGTCCCTAGGCTTGTCACTCCGTCCGGCGCCGAGGCTAATTGCCCAGACCCGGGAATATAATTCCAGCCCGCAACGCCATGTAGCTTGCAGTGATGCTCTAAGATGATTCCGAGTTTGCCATGTGCTTCTCTGGCATGACGGACTCGTGAGGAACTTCTTCGCTGCTGGTCTCGCTGCTAACTTCCTTGACAGGGCCCGTGAACTTCTTGCGAGCTCGCAGAACATAATTGAGCGTCGCGAAGATCATAACCGCCCCGAAAACAGGAGAAGCGTAGTTCATGTTCTCACCAGTGACAGGAAGGAACGGTGGAAACGGTAAAAAGATGATGAGGAAGACACAGAAGGCGACCGCCAGGATGTTGACCGCCAGGCCCACTTTGCCCATTGTCCAAGGTCCGAAGACGATCGGGTTGGAAACATTGTAACGGCGGATGGCGAACATGATCGTGGGAATGGCGTACGAGAAGTAGAAGCCCAAGGTCGTCAGGGAGATCAGCGCGTTGAAAGCCGTGGTAGATCCAATGTTGATCAGAGAAAGGAGGGAGACGCAGACGAAGAGCAGGACCACCGCATTCGTGGGGCACCTGTTCCGCGATGAAATTTGGGCGAACGTCTTGGAGAACGGAAGCCCGTGGTCTCTTGCAAAAGCCCAGAGCAAACGAGACACTGAAGCTGTGCATCCGAAGAGGTTCATGGAGAAGACGATGATGACGGCTGTGATCATGGCAGTTGCCGCCTTTTGGTTGTTGGTGGCCTGCAAGAAGACGGCGATGATGGGCAAGCCGGTTGGTGTCGAAAGAATCGTATCGGCATCGGTAATTGCATACAGGACGGCGATGATGTACGCAAAACCCGCGCATCCATTGATGATCACTGACCCGATCATAGCTCGAGGGACGTTGAGAGGTGCGTTGTGGGCTTCTTCGCTCATGTGTACAACAGCGTCAACACCGGCGAGGGCGAATGCCGGGGTGAGGAAGCCAATGCAGAAGCTGACTCCGTCACTGTCCCAACCGCTCGCGTTGATGAACGTACCCCAGACATCCTTGTCGTTCGCTTTTGTGCTGGTCGCCAATATCGCGATGAAGACGATGAAGAAGAACAGAACGTGCAAGAGTCCTCCTAGGGTCTCCCAGAGTGGGAGGAACTTCTTGCCAAACGTATTTCCTAGGGAGGCGACGCCGGAGAAACCGATCATGATGAGGGTGGCGTGCCACCGTTTGGGTTCGTAATCCGAGTAGTTGAGGACAGCCACGGCTTGAATCATCGAAGCGATCAAGAAGCAAACCGATGCCACAGCAGCGACCCAACCGGTCACTGTCACCCATCCCTGGACGTAACTGATGAGTGCCCGCCATTTCGGGGGCGAATGCTCAGCACTCCAGTGATATTGAGCTCCGGCAATGGGTGAGCTGCGTTCCTCGTCAGCGTGTTCTCTTTGTTGCATGGGGCTCAATTCTCACATCGAAGCCATCTCGGCGAATGAACCGGCGATGCAAAGCGTCCCCAGCACCGAAACAATGAACCCATAGACGACCGAGGCAGGACCGCCATTGGAATACGCGCCGGCGAACAAGGCACTCGTGGCTTCCCACGTGCACAGAGTGCACAGCGACATGCCCAGCAAAGCCCAGAAGTTCCATTCTCGCTGCAGTGGCAGTTAGCGACTGGCGCATATACAGGGCGGCACCAACTTTACCTTCAATACTTCCTTCTTTCCCGCTGCCTCCAACGCAGCAGCATCTGACGTGTACACGACCATCTTGACAAACACCACTGGCAACAAGTGGACTGTGCAAAAGAAAAGGTCCAATCAAGGGGAATGAAGGAAAGAGCCACCTGCGCAGGAGGAAGGAAGTCGAGAAGCACGGGTGCGACCGACCTGTACTTGAATGTTGCTAGGAGTTCGCTTGGTTGGGGGTTATGCGGGTGGCTCAAGCACATGGCGCCCCATAGCGAGACAAGGTGTTTAGACGCTAGCTTTGGAGGGCAGGCGCGAGAGGTGTAGGAGAAACGAGGGCATGAGGTTAGCCTGGATCCGTGCTCGCCTCGAGTGTGCTGGCAGGCTGGATGTTGGTGGTGTCTGGGAGCAGACCCAGTTTGTGCATGGGTACCAGATAGATTTCGGAGCCACCCCAACACTCTAGCAGGATAGCTGCATGAGCCAGAAATTGTCTGACGCTGTCGAGCATCTCACGCCTTGATGTCAAATGACAAATGTGAGCCCGCCAAATCGGTCCGGTTTGCTCGGACCATGACACCGCCGACGGACACAGTTGTTTCGGCCAGACGTGATGACTTGGCCACTTATCTCGAACTCCCCAGGGGCGGGTGTCCTCTGTCGTTATCAACCAATAGATCAACATGCGGATCAGCACGATGCATGCCGGCAAGTGTGATAATGGAGGCTTCAAGTGCGCCACCGAACCGGGGCCGAGCCTTGCAAGGGAGGGGGACCCGTTTCCGTGTGGTGCTCAAAGAGTTCGACGGATGGAACACCTTTACCCGCCACCGTCTGAGCTTGTCTGAGCTTCCCTGATTGTGTGCTCTGGAGACGGATACACCACGGTCGAGTTGGACAGGGCGCAATCAGCCGACAAGTCGATCTTGCTGTTACCACAACCCTCTTGTACACAGCGTGGTATAGATCACAAATTTCTCCGTACACCTCTGAAGGAGTGAGGAGTGCAGCATTGATCTACCTGCGACAAAGCACGCAGTTGGTCCCCCTTTCAGGCACACAAGGGTCACCGGCTAGCGCGACAAGACCCCCGGCCGATCACTAAGCTAGCAGCCGGCACTCGCGCCAGCTGGCAAATGGCCGAGCAGATAAGGAACGCACGCCGACTGTGCAAGAACATCCCAGACTGCAGTTGGCTGTTTTCAGACTTGCAGACGCTCGCGTCCAGCACGGCCAGCAGTCCCACTTTCTTGCATCAAAGAAGAGAGGCGAAGACAGCCAGGCGATTGTTGTTACCGCTGGAAGCGAAGATCTCACCGCTTTGTCGCCGTCTAGACTTGGGGGACTATCTCCGTCCATCGCCTACCCTGCACACAACGTGGGAATGGAACAAAGGGAACGATGTTCTGACACCAATCCTCGCCGAACCGAAATTCTTACTCGTAACGAAGCCAGAACCTATCAAGTAAAGCTTGGTTGAAAATCCGAGGACCCCACGAGTTAGGGTCTCTGGACCGAAAGGTTGCAACAAAGCTTGTCAGGGGCGAACCTCCAAGTACAAAGCTTGGGGATTCTGGGCGAGCTTGACTGGGCCGACTCCGCAAAGCCAATCACAACCTAAGTAATGACCAGGAGCATGCAGCGAGGGCCAGAGAAAGCGGACAGGAGGGGGTAACTTGTACTCGTACTGGGTAGAAGAATACAGCGCTGTGTTGATCTTCTCGTGTTTCGGTAAGCTCGATTATCCGACCTGTTAACGTAATGGTAACAGTCTTCGGGGACTCTGGATATCGGCCTCTGGACATGATGCAGGTAGGAGAATTGGTCGATGAAGCCATGCGGGATGCATCCCCCGCGTGTTCCGATGAGGTGCCTGTGCGATGAGGTGCCTGTGCGACACAAGATAAACTCTGCATGCTGTACTCAGTATGCTGTGAACGACAGGTGAAAACAAGTGAAGGCCGCCGCCCTGCAGCAAATGTCTGAAATTCCCCGGAAAATCAATCCTCCGATGATGCTGCGCTGAAAATGACGTTGCCTTCACCGCTTTGGCCTCGCATGGCAGAATCCCCAGAAATTTTTGGGCCTGCGACAAACATGCCTCGCACGCTTGAAACGAATATTACCTAGCTATCGTCGAGCTTGAAAATATTCCTCACAGGGAGCCAGACACAATGGCAGTTCCGTCCGAAGAAGTCGCCGAGGTGTTCGCAACCCTTGGAGACTTAGAAAGAGAGTTCGCCGAAGTAGAGCTGGATGCTTGTACGTGCATGATTCGCCGTTATGCGGTCCGCTGCTGAACTTCTCCTAGTGCGCAGAAAAGAGTTCAACTTACGGCCTCTTTACAACAAGCGCAAGGAATTACTCGACAAAATCCCGGACTTCTGGCCCACTGTTTTCGGCTCTGGGCCAGAAGAAATCCAGCAATTCTTCACGCCGGAAGATCTAGCCTTGGGCGCGAGTCTCAAATCCTTCTCAGTCGAACGATACCAGATCGAATCCGCAGACAAAGGAGAACCTAGGAGTTTGCGCTTCACCTTCGAGTTTGCGGCCAACGACTTTATCCAGGACACCAAGTTGGTGAAAGAATTCGAGTATCGCCCTCGCAAGGACGGACCTGGGAGTCTGATCTCAAGACCCGTTCCGATCAAGTGGAAGTCAAAGAAGAAGGACTTGACACAAGGGATCCTTGATGCTGCTGTCGAATTGTATAATGCAGAAGAAGCGCTTCAGCTCAAGAATGGGGACAAGGTTGTCGACATCGTGGATCGAGAGGCCTTGTGGCAGCATGAAAAGCTGCGAGAGAAGCTGAGCAAACTTGACGAGGAGGAGGATTATCAGCCAAGTTTCTTCAACTGGTTCGGCTTCCGTGGGGCCGTCGATACCGCAGTTCCGGAGACATCGATGAAAAATGGCGTGGACAATGGCGACGGAGGAGATGAGGAGGAGGAGGAGGACGACGACGACGACGACGAAGATGAAGTGGAGGAGATGCTTGAGGTCGAGATCTTCCCTGCTGGTGAGGAAGTGGCCATTGCTCTTGCCGAGGAACTGTGGACGAATGCCATGGATTACTTCATGTCCGCTCAAGACGGGGACGCCGACGGATTTGAGGGACTCGATGCAGAGGACGATGATGATGATGACGACGACGACGACGCTCCAGAGCTGGTGAATGCTCAAGAAGAGGAGGCCGCCCCTCCGCGAAAGAAGCAGCGCAAAGGTTGATGTGCTGTGGTCGTTCGGCAGTTGTCCCTCTCTTGGTTCTGCTCTTGATACCATTGCCCTATATCCAACGTGTTCCTTTTGTTCCAGAGGTCGGTAATAAACCCGGACTTGTGTCCACCCACGTTCTGCTTGCCGTCGGAACAGCACCCATCCATGCATCCTGCGTCGAAGCCGCCGTCGTGCACGTGAACGCGGCTTTCGTGACCTCTGCACGACCTCTGTATCTCCTGTAGCACTTCCATAGTATGCATCTCTTGCGTCTGCATCCGAGACGCACTGCCCAGTCGAGAAGACTTCAGAGTGCCAACGACTCGTTCTCGCACGTTCAAAGCGCAATGACCAAGATCAACAAGATAATCAAAACCACAATCAACACGGCAATGCAACAGCTGCTCACGCTGTCCTCATTCCTCCGTATCACCTCTCCCACTTTCTTCACCCCAACCTGTAGTTTACCACCGACTCTGTCCGCAAGGGTGTCCACCTCGTCCAGCAACGCACCTTGCTCCTCCAGTTCGCGTCCCATGTCCTCGGCCTGGCCCCTCAACACGCCCACGCTCTGAAACACCCCGTCAAGCTGCTCGTCCTGTTCCCGCATCATTACCTCCTGCTGCTGCTGCGCGAACTCTCCGTACGGATCATCGTCATCGTCGTCGTCATCGTCATGGTGTGCATCCTCAAAACTAGCGGGCGCAGGTAATTTACCGCCCCGTCCAGCACCAGCACCAGCGGCACTCCCCGCAGCCATAGAAGCAACATGCCCACCCGCGACGTGCGTCTCCTGCGTCACGCCCTCCAACTCCCTCCTCATACCCTCAACCTCGTCGCCCACATCCTTAACGAAGCCCCTCCGTCTCTGCACCTCCGCGACATCGAGGCCGAATCGATAGGGGTCGGACTCGACGGCTTGGACGCTGTCCAGCAGATCGGCCAAGTCCGCCGTGAGTGTTTGGAGGTTCGATTGGAGGTCCGAGCGCGACTGGACGAGTTCGGGTGACGTCGGGGAGGGCGATAACGTGCGGATACGCAGGTAGGACGAAAACAGATGGCGGGTCGATGAGAGGGTGGTGAGGACGTCGGATTGCACCGAGAGGAAGGGGTCGTCTTGCGCGGGATTCATGGTGAGGGCGCAAAGGTAGATCTGGCAGGGAGGGGAGATGGAATGCGCGGAGGCGCGAATTTGCGGGTTTATTGCATCCTTGTCATACTTGGGAGTCTAATGTATTATATACTCCGCATGAGGGGCGTGTGCACCGGGTAAGAGGTGTTGGTGGTCTGTAGGTGTCTACGTTGCTCCAGCGTAATTGAGTTCTCGAAGTGACAATGCCATTGAGGGCAGCCTTGCCGAGGCGGGACAAGGCTGAGTCATTTACGTTCGACGATGGCGTGCATGTAAACGAATCCGAAGTCGAGCAATACTACTCCATACGACACGCTGCGACAAGACCATAAGAGCGTAATCCAAATTAGAACAACATTATCGCCATGTTTTCCATTGTCTTGTACATGGAGAGGCTGTCAGGGTATTTGTACAATAGCGACAAGTCAGTGGTACTAGCTAGTCAGGTCCAAAGTTGCAGTAACGAAGACGCTCCGTAGGTCAAGTGGAACAAAGTATTCTCAATGATTGCTCATGGTTGTTCCTCCTCCTTTCCAACTTCAGCAGGTGAGGCGCTGGGAATTGGCCTAGCAGCATCTGTGGCCTTCCCATTGAGCTGATCGTACATTTCTAGGCCTCTTCTAGGTTTGTCGCCCAGCGCAGCGCGCACATTACGCGCCAAACTGTCCACTATCTTCGTTAGACCCCTCAATTCGGTGTTCAACTGATTCTCAAGCTGGGAGTTTTTGACGGAGTCGACCTTCAACGCCCACTTTATCGAATTCTGGATCGGTATCGACTGCACCAGTGCGTGGTTTTGCTCGTGGGCCGATAAACTTTCGATGTCGGAATTCTGCTTTCGCCCCTCTAGGTGAAGGAGCCTGGTGGCATAGCTGGCAACCTGACCGTCCTTGTCTGTGCCATCATGTCTGTGCAATGCCCTCTCGGCGGCCAACTCCAGTAAGACGGCCAACACGACTGGATCCGTTCGCGCATCACATTCGCCATGTCTGAGCTTGTCGCCAGTGTGAAGCTGATCTTCCAACATTCTCGCTACATGTTCGGCTCGTCGTGAAATTGTTTCAAGCTCAGGACCCTCGAAACCTGCAAGGACTGCATGGCTGTGAAGACCTAACATCAGCTCTCGTGCTACGTCGTGCTGTCGCAACGAGATACCCGTATCCTTCGGCTTGGCCACCGCGCTGATAATAATGTGCTCTTTGCCCACCTCGCAGGCTTTTCGGGTGAGTTTCGAGGCAAAAACCCCGGGTAGTTTCAACTGGGCTGAAACTAAGCCTCTGAGAAACGGGAGGAGGTTACTCCAATATGTATCGCTCTGATTCCCGTCTAGTAATCTGGCTAGTTGTTTCAGACTCTTCCGCATGTTAGGCTTGTCGAACGCATGTCGTGGCTCGAGCTTGATTTCTTCACCATCATCCATCGTGACGGTAACTCCGGGTTCGTTAACGAGGGTAGCCTGTTGAGATGTCTTGTACATCAAATCTCGGTGATGAGATTCGACTGCGGCCGGCGTGAAGACTTTGTTGCGCCATGCTAGGAGAAGTTCGTCGAACTCGGGGTTGGAGGTTGGTGAAAAGGAAGGTATCACTGAGTTTGTTAGCTGGTGCAACATGAGCAGAGTGAGATTGCGCACCTTTTCGTTTCGTCGGAGTAGAAGTGAACGATCGTACAGACTTCGGCCAGCTTGCACCGTGGAGACTCTGTCGACAGGTTCTGCACATATGAAAGAACTGCTGAGCAGGTTGCGCCATCTTGCAAGTGGCACTACGAGACCTGGCTTCTCGTAAACGGTGCAGTGAGAAGAGTTAGTTCCCGCTGTGGCTTTGAAAGTTGGGGAGAAGTACTCGGTACTACATGGAGTCTTCGAATCCCAATGATTTTCTGAAAAAGGAAATCGCTCGACTTTCCTCCAAGAGCTACCAAGTACGGAGTTGCAGTACTTCATCGACACTTGCGCCTGCTTCCTTGATCTGATACAACCACATTACAATCCCGAAGCCTGGTGAAGATGTCGATGGCGGTTGTTTCCCGTACGTCGGCATGCTGTTGGCGATCTGTCTTTGCAGAGATCCATCCACAAAGACAACTGCGTCGATCTTTAGCCACGCTACCGCGAGGCCCCGTTGAGAAACTCGAAGTTCCGACAGACCTGCCTTCTCAATATTGGTCCCAATTACCCGCAAGATTAAAACCCGACAGAGGTACGGACGTCCTTTTGATCCCCGGGGCTCAATGTTAACGTGTCTTTAGGGAAGCGCGAAATAGTCATACACAAATCTCCTCGATCGGAAGCCGAGACCTGCAAAGAACCAATCTCAGTTGTGGACAAATCCCAGTTAGCCCTGCTCGATCCCACTGGCGCGAGAGCGAAACTGTTTGATAAGACCAACAAGGACCGAGCGAAAGTCGGCGACATTCTGCTGGCGACGTTTACGTCCGGCGAGCCAGTGTCGGGTGTTATCCTCTCGATCAAGGGGTCAGGCCCTCATACATCAGTACTTCTACGCAACAACCTGACTGGTGTCGGAATGGAAATGCAAGTCAAGGTGCATAGTCCGCTTGTGCAGAGTATGGAAATAGCTCAGAGAGCACCTAAGAGGAAGAGAAGAGCCAGGATCTACTACTTGAGGAAACCGGAGCACGATATCGGAAGTGTACAGAAAGTGGTGGATCAGTATCTGAGACAGCGGGCCATGTTGACTGGTGGCAAGCCAGGAAGTCAATTCGGTCGTTCAAGACCAAAGAAGGGCAAAAGATGATGGGGACGATCGCCTCGATGCACCGGAGATCCAGTTGACAGCAACATGTTCCGCAAAGGGTTGGTTAGCATGGGCATGAAGCTCAACCGTGGTGCGGCATTGACTTGGATGTGCCTCACTTCGACCTCAGTTTTGTAAGACTACAGTGCGAATTGTCCCCTACCACAGTGATGGATTAATGAACTTCCAGTGACCAAAATTTAAGAGCGTACGGCACTTGAAGGGCCTCATTCACAACACCATCTTCCAGCATGTGCGAACTCATTCAACTCTGAAACTCACTTCACTCCCTTCGTCACTGTCACTGCGAGAGGGATATTGCTGCACTTCTCCCTCCTTGGCAGTGACACCCTGATTCTTCGGTCTACAAATATCTCCTCTACCTCATCTGTCCTCCCTTTTCAATCATTCCTCACCTCTTCAACTACTTCTCCCTCTTTGCCGTGCACGATCAGTTGTATCGTGATGACACAGCGTGTCAAGTCGACCGTCCCTCCCCCTCTCCCCTCTGTCCCAAATGCGCCTCCCAATCGCGTGGCCGAAATCAACCGTAGTAACTGGACGATTCCCCAGGACGGCCTTTCGAACGCCAACCTAAAAACCAAGATGAGCGACAACTCGGTCAATGGGCCGAACCACGGCGAGAAAGAAGGGACGAAGAACGCCTTCGAGCCATATAGCAGTCAATCATTGAGAGAACTCCGCGGCGCCGTGTCCTGTGCCCCAGTTTTCGATCTTGGGTCGGAGCAGATCGCAATGTCCAAGGGAAAGGCGGATGCATCCACTGAAACTTACCCGTCCGGAAAGCAGTCGCTCTCGGATCTCATACAAGCGATCAAGACTGACCCAGAAATTAAGCGACTCCTGAACGACGCTCTTGCAGAGAACAAGTCCCCTGCTACGAACGTCACTCCTGGAAGCCTTCCTGGACCGCCGGCAGGTACGTTTCACTCACCTCTCCCTTCGCTTCAGATCTCGCTAGAATTTATAAGGGACTGAAACGCTAATCCTGGAGACAGATTTTGCTCAGCAGGTCTCGACCACAGAGACCAGTGCGCCTGAAGGGTTCCTATCTGGCGAATCCGGTGCTTGTCAACATGCTGCTTGCGCCCTCGACAACTGCGACACGTGCAAGTTTGCGAATGGCACGAGTCGTCAAAATGAGCACGCGGGAGACTGGCAAGATGTGGCCGAATCTGCAGCGACGCCGGTGGAAACCTGGACTCCCTACCAGCCAATTGCACCTGCCTTCGACTCGTGGACCAGGTAGGAGGCTCTGTAGGAACGGTTGTCTTGGTTATAGACTGACAAATATTTATACAGCCGCCTCAGTTGCCCAACGAATCTGGTCGTTGTCAAGGACGTCAAATACACGATCCATGATACAATCTTCGACACAATGTTCCCTGCGTACACCAAAGCTACCAAGCTTGATCGGCTGGATGATGGCAGCTTCCTTGTGTCTGGGATCGAGAATAAGAACTTTGCAAGCGCATTGGAATTCATGTATAGCCAAGATATGAAGCATCTCCGATGTATCCCTGTCGAAGGCCAGCATCAAATCTTCGCATTTGCCGCCGAATGTGACAACAACTGTTTGCTGTCCATGATGATGATCATTCTTGAGCTGGACTTCTCGACTCCAGGCTTCTCTCGTCGAGCTGCCAAGATCTACCGGTCCTGGGGACCAATGGAGGAGTTCCGGCAATACTTTCGCCAGACTTTGAAGACTGAGCTCCAAAGTCGTCTGGACGATGGCATTTGTGAAGGCTTCCTCAATGAAATCCACTTTCAATTCTCCGATGCAGGACTTGCTCTCTTGGACGTGGCTCTGGTGCTCAATTCACTCTGGACGACCGCAGAGCTGAAAGTCGAGCACGACTATCCGGCTGAAGATTGGGGTGATGGAGATCATGGGCAAGAGGACGCTGATAACCACGACAACGAGGACCATACCTCCAGCACCTGTGGAGAGAACATGATTGGACCTGACTACAATGACTCTTGGGGCGCTTGTCCACCCAGACCCTACCACTGGTCAAGCGGCTGGGAAACTTCAAGTCAATCTGACGGCCACCCTCAGCCACCCTGCGTCGCTACTAAGTCCAAGTTGCACACCGCCAAAGCCCCTGCCCCGTCCATCATTGCGCCTCCAGCAAATATCGTTGCTGAAGCCCCTCAGCAGCGAAATCCATCCCCCGACTTTGCCAGCTGGGAAGAACCGATCGCTCAGCCTTTACGCGAAGAAATCAGCGATTGGCCCATCGACAATACACAAGCTGATTGGAAAGCAACTGCTCTGCAGAGTACCTCGGCCCTCGCTCGCTGTGTCCATCATCACCTCAAGCACAGAGACATGGGGACAGCGACGACCGTGGCCGAGGACTTGGGCTGCACCAAGGACGAAGCCGACCGTGCTCTCCAAGAACTGATGCTGGTAGGCGTCGTCAACAGCGTCTTCAGATCTGGAGAGCCGATGGGTTTCTGCGTGAAGCAAGAAATGCCACAAAAGCCAGTCACCACAGCCTTGCCTGCCAACAACGTTGCTGAAACCGAAGAACATGAAAGAACCAGAGCTGCGCCGCTTCCGCTGGAAACTACGACGGATGAGACTCGCAGCGTCTATCACTGGTTGAAGGGCGAGCAACAGGGTTGGCCGAAAGAAAAGTGGTTCAGCGCCGAGCACGTCTCAGACGGCATCGGATGTAGCTTCAGTAAGGCGATAGTTGGCCTCCTCGAACTCCAGATCACCGGCCGTGCTGCGGTCAGAAGAGGTGCATGGGGAGTCCCCGAGTTTCGACTCTACAGCTCGGAGCTGGGTCACTAACTTTCTTGTCGTTTCCGGTCGGTCACACAGCCAGTCAGTCAGACTCACTCACTCACTCAGTGCATTACCGTCATCGTACCCGGAGAGAGGCGGCACCAGACTGAATCACCACACCGAGCGAAGTAGAGTCGGACATTCTAGAATACCGCGAGGACATCTGCGTTCTATTTCTTCCCTAACCATCTCCGTCCAGGCCTCCACTCAGATCGCCGCTAAACACGGCTTTCCCTCGACAATGTTAGATTCCACCACCCACAGCTGGCCCCAATTTGTTCCAGCCACGCGCACGAAAAGGAAAATACCAAAAAAAGGATTCCCTACATAAGTCGTCTAAACCCGAGATGACGGGTGCTACTCCTGAAGTCGATTCTGGCATCTGACCATCCCGCCAAGCTGCGCTGCTGAGGGAGGGAAAAGTCAAAGCCATGCCCGAAGTCGATCCCAGAAAAGGATTATCCGACAAGCTGTGCTGCTGAGGCAGACGGGAAAATCAATTTGATAACCACGTACGGGTGAAATCTCAAAGCAGGCGAGCAGACAGCAGACAGACAGAGAGGTCGAGCTTCTTCCATAGCCACGTAGTCGAAATCACAATCGCAATCACAATCACAATCACAATCAGAAACTTTTTCTATATCGGTTCAGTTCATCTCTAGCTCATGCTGACCTCGTGCATCCAGACTCAGACTCAGACTCGTGCATAGTAAGTAACGTGGATCTTTGGTTTCCCAGTTCCCAGCTATACAGTAGGATCACCCATCGACGCTTGCACGCCCTCACAGCAACAGCAGGGTATGGTCCTCGTCAATCTGCACCTGTAGACCCTCGATAGTCGTCTTCCCGCCCACGACGGCCGGGCCTTTCACTGTCATCTGTCGTTGTCACGTGGCAGTCAGCATCGGTTACCGTTGGGAGATCGGCAGTAGTAGGGGAGATACGCAAATGGCACAAAACAAAGGGTAAACCCAGGGTACGTAACATCATACCATGACATCATGAGAAGATGCCCGTGGTATACATTGACATGACATAATATGATGTGATGTGATGTGATGGGATGTGATGGGATGTGATGGGATGTGAGTTCATGAGAGTGCTTTCAACACGCAACAAGCATTCCGGGCAGTAATGGTCAAACTTACCGTCCCTAGTGGCGATCTCGTACCCATAACATTTTCCTCACCACTCAAATGCACCTCCACGCTACTTAGGGGTGCGCCCACGCCGACGACCTTGTCCCCCTTCTCCCTGTAATCGAAGATGTTCGTCTGGGCGATCGCACCTGCGACCTGCGGCGCGGTAAGGGCGTACCCGATGCGACATTTCAGCAGCGTGCGCAGGGTATGCAGTGTCGAGGACGACAAGCGGGTCGAGGCAGGCGAGGTGGTGGACTGCGGGATGAGTAACACGCGGACATGCGAGAGGGGACTCGTCGACGAGCTTTGCTTGGCCGGCATGTTGCCCTGTTGGAGGGTGCGTTGGGCCATGAATTTGCCGAGTCCGCCGGGGAGTTTGGTGTCAGGATTCTTGAGGTATGTGGTCACGGTGGCTGGGGAGGCGAGGACGATGGTCGGCGAGGATTGGGACGTCGCGTGCAGAATGTCGATGTTGTCGCCTGCCACGGAGTTGAGGGACAAGGTGGCGTTGGAGAAGAGAGCGGCAAACGTCCATGAGAGGGTGTAGCTGTCGGTTAAGGGCGTCGTGGGGAGGAGAGTGTCGGATGGGGAGAGCTTGTGCGCCCGTGGCAGGGTTGCGAGAAGGGCGGCGGTCGCGGAGATGAGGTTCTACAAATGACTTGGCGTCAGCTGCGTAAAGATCAAGCCAAGGGCACAACTACTCGACTCACCTCGGAAGTATACTTGACCAAGTCGTAACCACCGTTGGCGGTTGGGACGAAGACAGACACCGGAGGCACTTGCGAGTCCTTGTCCAGAGGCAAGACTTCGGATTTTGCGGACCGTCGATTCTTCTCCACGAGTTCGTGCCAGGAAGTGACGGTGTAGCCGTCAGGTGTACCCTCTGTCCAGTTCATGTGTTCGTTGGTCGACCGAGTGACCCAGATGACAGTCTTGATGGACTTGGCAGTCGATGCCAGGTCATCAAGGTCCAATGAGCCGGCCTCGGCGATGACATGGTCGGCGGAGGTTTTTGCGAGCAGTGAATTGAGCTTGTCTTGTGTTAAGCCGTACGGGAGCAGGACCGTGGAGAAGCCATAGAACGAGCCGGCTATTCAGCAAACGTCAGATGAGATTGCCCAAGCCTTCCACCGTACTGAATGTAGGATGAATGCATGGGTTTACGTACCGAAGATTGCAGACAATAGTTCCACCGAGTTGGAGAGACACACAGCCACTGACTGGCCGTTATTTCGTTTGACATACTGGCCAATGACATTGATCCCAAGAGTCAAATCATCGAGATTATGCTCGGTGACCTTCTCCCGTCCCAAGACAGTGAGGATCTTGCCTTTCTCGCCGGTCGGGTTACCCTCTTCGTTGACCGCGCCCCGGGCTGCGTTCCGCCAGATATCCCGCAGGTCTCCAGGTCTGCCCGAGCTCCACTTGGGAGTGCCTGGGTCTTTGACGCCCAGGCTAGCACGGAGAGGATAGCCGTGAGGGATGTCAATTGCTCGATAGACCGCAGACTCACCTGACTGTCGGATGGGAGCGATTTGTGCTTGTCGTGCCAGTAAGAATGGGTGGGTGTCGGGGTCGGTGCCGGTGAGCACGGGATATACAAGAAAGACGACGAGGACGAGCGCCAAGACGGTCGTCCAGATGTTCCATGAAGCAAAGAACTCGGCGATGGCGACATCCAGTCGCTCTGCGATGCCTGCCTCCGCCATGATGTTCAATCTGGATATGATGTGGACTGAACCGTCGAAAGGTGTACGGTCGAGGTTGCGATGTTGTACGAAGAGACTTGGAAGTTCCGCTGTCGGAATAATTCCTTGGCTCCGATCTCCACCCGCTGCTTTAAGAGCAGCCAAGGTGCCCTCCTTTAGCAACGCGGTGCTCATCATCACTTCCAGCGTTGTGTAAGACATCCGAATTTGTAGACACATCAATACCTATGATGTCGGACACAGCCTCCGTCATTCACTTGGATATGCCATCACTGAATGGTCTGCGTTCAAACTGTTGGGAGCTCAACAGCAACACAGTGAAATTGGTGACAGGCTCGTGATGAGCATGAAAGGCAACGTGAAACGTCTTCCAGATTGCTTTCAGAAGGTCGGTCTTCGAGAGGTAGCAGGGTATTCAGGAGCATGTGTAACAGCGCTATGCGAGATATGTGCCCGCTACCGAGACCCATCATTAAGGGCATGTAAGGTAAGCAGGTATCTTTGCTGATATATATTCTAGTCGCAGCGCCTGCTCGCCTCATCGTCCCCGGCCACTGGTGTAGTCCCCGCGTACGGAATGCTATATATCGCCTATTCATCTTGATCCCCCTTCTACTGATTCGAAAGATACGCCTGCGTCTCCTTGACGGCGTCGTAACTGAACAACCACTGGGAAAACGATGGGCTGAGAAAGGGGGCGGACATGTCTGCTGGCGGCTTGGGATCCGTCCTCCGCTCCTCCTCTGGTCGAGCCAACAGACTCTTGTCAATCTCCAGCTGCTCGGCCAACATTGTATCGCGCATCTCGGCGTTCTCCCCATTCAGAAACCTCACGCCTTCGCGACTGGCGGCTTGTATACGCTCCACGCGCGGTTTGCGAATCGCTTCATATGCCTTTGTCGCCTCGGAGATCGGTCGATCGTTCTCCCAAGCCCAGCGGATGCATTCTGCTAGAACTGCACCGTCCTCAATGGCAGTAGATCCGCCGCCGCCGGCGTGGGGAAGCATCGCGTGCCATGCGTCACCCAGCAGCACCACACCGCCCTTGTCACTGCGGCAGGTCTTGAGTGGCGGAAGCTCTGCGAAACGCCATTGTATACACGGGCCGATGTTGGCAAGCAAGTCCCGTATCGTTGGACACGCATCGCCAAACTCATCAGCGACTTGCTTCGGGTCGGCCTTGATGCCCCAATACCCGTAGGGAACATTGCATCCGTCACCAACACAGACCACAACATCGTATGGCTTGTGAGGCGGCATTGGCCAGGAGAGAACATATTTGCCTGACATTAACCACAACTGACTGGTGTGGTTCTTCAAAAGCCATGCTAGGTTCGGGTTGTTCACCATGGATGCTTTGTCGACCGAGCATCGATATGCCTTTTCATTTAGGGGGATCAATTCGGCGGACGCTGTGGCAGGGATGGATGCGCGCACCAGGGACCGGACGCCGTCAGCTCCGACAACCAAGTCGGCGGTGAGCGCACGGCCATCTGCGAGGTATACCGTGTTGGTGTCTACGTCGACCTTGGTGACTTGCGCGTTGAACACGATCTTGGCTCCGTATCCTAGCGCACCCTTGGCAAGCAATTGTTGATAGTCTGCGCGGTGGATGGTCCATGCTGGTTCTCCGTAGAGGATCTTGCTAGTGTTCCCCTCGTTGGTGAAGACGGCACCCAGAACTCTGTTGTCGGCTCCGGCGCGCATGTCAATGTATCTGTTCTCGGTGACGTTTGGCCTGAACTGTTCCTCGAGCCCATATGATTTGATCACTCTGACTGCATGGGGACTGATGCCGATGCTGGCACCAAACTCATTCAACTCGGATTTGCCTTCGAGAATTGTCACGTCAAGGCCTTGACGGGAAAGGGCGATGGCTGCAGAGAGGCCACCAATTCCAGCTCCGGCTATCAAGGCCGTGTAAGGCTTTTTAGGGACACCAACGCTCCCCATTGTTGAGAAAGAAGGTACAGGTAAAGCTGCCGAACCGCGCTCTGAACTGGATGAGATTCTTTGCGGGACATACCTGAAATATAGACCGGGGTCGTCTGACTGAAGGGACACACCGTACTATACATTTACGCCATACTGCGTCTTACCATACATCCATGCTGGGTGGGCCTGTACTGGAAGAGGTGATTTCTGACCAGATCTGTACATCCGTTTATTGGTGCCCTGTCGATGACAGATACAACTTAGGTCAGCACCTCCAAGTGAGATTTCTGGTCCCATGGGGAGGAAACTCGCTGGACGCCCGAAACCATAGCTGTAAGGGTCCGCACGAATGATTCACAATCCTAAGCTTCCTTCAGCTATCAGTTGGCGGGTATTTACCCAGACTCAACGCGCCGTGCGTAAGACCCTCGAAATGATATGGCATCGATCAGGGAGCACAGAGCCTGAACGGCCAAGAATGTTGTTCCGCCCAAGTATGATCGACAGCTAGGAGAGAGTGGTAAGTAAGTGAGATAATCCGGAAATGCTTGTGCTCGAGCGCAGCCGCATCAGCACTGGATCTTGGCGTGAGGACGGTGAATCCTTCATCGGTTTACCGTCGCGTATGCTGTTCAACAGGCTGGAACAGACATTCCAGCGCATGGATATGCCCCAATGTGTTCATGTTCTGTCAGGGTATGGTTGCATGCGGCTATGCAGCGTCCGAAGGAGGGGAGTAGTTGGGCAAAGCGATTGTCATCATGATGATCCCGACCTTTACTCGTTCACGATCCCCCGATCTCCGCAGCCATGCTATCCGATCCCCTAGAAGTTCTGCTCGCCGTCTCGACATGCATGGAGTGTGTAGATGGTCTGTCAGCAATCCCCGCTGACCTCTAACTTTATTGGATTTGACTGGTGTGTTGCAGTTTGCTTGTGCCAGAAGACTAAGAGGCACGACTTAAGCGATGACGATGCGAAAGTGTGAAGTGGATGTGGGAGGTAGGAGAGTGAAATGGCTCACGCAGGCAATAAACCTGAGAAGAGTGTGAAGTGAATGTGACGGGAACAGTCAAAGCAAGCTGAAGGGCCCAAAGTGAACGGAAACATATGACCAGTTTCAGAGAAATGAATAGAACGGGGACTGGTTTCGAACACCATTAGAGAACATGCTCCGAGCTCAGCTCAACAGGGTAGTTCCCCTAACTTCTGAGGACGGAAACGACAAAGTACTGCACTGATGTCGGCGCCGAGACCTGCATAGAGCCAGGGGGACATATTATGGATCGCTGAAGTGAGCAAGGCGGGAGCAAGATCGAACTCTTGCTTCGAGAACACTACCAGACACGCCGGTATCTAAGTCTCCGTCTTGAAATCTGTATCATAAACGCCCGCATCCTGAGCCTAGCCATGCCCGTATCATTTACAGCTTGCTCTGTGGTTGATAGAGCTTGCGACTCCGCTCGATAGCTTCCACAGCCTCTGTCTCAATTCTCGACAGGAGTTCCTGACACGAGGGAATGTCATGGATCAAACCGATCACTTGCCCGGCTGTCCAGACACCGTAGTCCTTGTCTCCGTTCAGGAAGACCTCGCGGCCACGCTTCCCTGAAACATACGGCGCGACCTCTTCGAACTTACCAGTTGTGCTGCTCTTTTCAATCGCCACGGCCTGTTGTGCGACTTTGTTCTTGAACAGTCTGGAAGTGTTTGTCCACCTTCGCAGAACAAGTTCAGTATCATGTTCTGAGGCATCCACAATTGCTTGTTTGATGTTGTTGTGGATAGGTGCCTCGATAGTGCACATGAAGCGAGTGCCCATGTTGATTCCTTCGGCTCCTAGAGCTAGGGCGGCGGCCAGGCCCTGACCGTCCGCAAAACCACCCGAGGCGATAAAAGGGACCCCTAGCGACTGTCTCGCTCGTGACAGCAGGATGAAGTTGGTGATGTCTGATTCGCCGACATGTCCGGCGCATTCGAAGCCGTCGATTGAGAGGAAGTCGACGCCCAATTTCGCAGCAGATTGGGAATGTCTGATGGTTGTGCATTTGTGCAGGATAATAATGTTGGCCGACTTTAACTGCTTGATCACAGGTCCCGGCGAGTTTCCTGCCGTTTCCACGATTTTGATACCCTCGTCAATGCATACTTGAGCATACTCAGCGTAGGGTGGAGCATTCATCGTGGGTAGGAGGGTGATATTGACGCCGAAAGGGTTCTTGGTCATGGTCCTCGTTTTTCGGATCTCCTTGCGAAGGTCTTCTGGAGTAGGTTGAGTAAGGGCTGTGAGCTAGAACATAGTCAGCACCCTCCCAATACTGTGCCGCCTCAAGACTCACGATTCCCAGACCGCCTGCATTCGATACAGCAGATGCCAACTCTGCGTACCCGACCCATTGCATGCCACCCTGAACGACCGGGACTGTGTCGCATTTAGCAGGAGTTACCAAGGAGCCAAGACTGCATCAAAGTACCTTTGATGCCGAGCCGGCGCGTGAGTTCGGTGTTGAAGACCATCGCTGCTGCGCCGTATCGCAAATGAGGTACCGTCAAGACGTGAAAGACAACTCGTGGGCTATTGCGCCGTCTAGTACAATAGTCTAACACAGAGGAAGTGACTGCAGAGGAGAAGACGAGGCAGAGTATTTGTAAGACCAGACAAATCAGAACCTACAGTACTTCCTGACCCGAGGTGGTTGCAATCTGTTGCAGATGATTGCGCAGGGAGGATGGAGAGTTGTGGAGGGATTCGGTACAAAGCCGGGGACCGAGGCAAAGTGAAAGCCATCACGGCCAGTTGAATGCCGTTACAAGCAGCTTTGCCGATCCATCGCCTCAGCACCACGTAAGACTAGCTTGTCGCCGCCGTGCGGACACTGTATATGGCTTTTGGAGCCTTGTGTTCCCAAATTTCGTTGGTATGTGGTGCTTGCTGCCACTCCTTGGAGCCGAGGGAAGAAGCGAATTGAAGGATGACCACCGAGCCGCAGGAGCCGCAGTGACTGGGGCCGCAATATCTTCGTTCCGCCCGAAGCTTACCTAGGTATGCCTGGTATGTCGCTGGCAGCCGCTGGCAAGCTTGCTGTGTGACAAAACCACTGACGACATTGGAAAGAGATGCAAAATTTCCGCCAGAAGTGTACGATCACGAAGAGGCATCTGCATTCTTGCGCAATTCATTTGCAAAGGCCTGAGCGGCATTCATGACCTTCACTCAGCTATATTTGGCCGAGACGGGCCAAAGTTCGAGTAAGAGGTTTGCATGACCATATCGAGAGTGGCCCGCAAGGTCTTGACCAGATGCTTTCCGTTGAAGCTCTCGCGATGTTTGAAAGAATTGAATGTGTCTGAGAATCGCGAGTACCTGCGGCCGTACCACGGCGTGTGCGCAGCTCGCGATATGGCCCAAGAACGGAATGGTCGGCCTTGGCAATCTCAAGTGTTCCCTTTTTGCTTTGTTCGCTCGATCGCGTCCGCCGATCAACCATAACCACCTGCTACGGACCGCATCTTTTCGGGCCAGGCTGCAGCAACTCCGACACATGTCTATGACCCGTGTCTGCGCCTGGTCCCGTGTCTGCAGGCGCACTGGATTGGCCTGTGCTTCTAGACGACACCGACACTAAACTGCAAACAATTGTATTGCGCGAGGTTTACCCTTGGCTCATGCGCTGGTTTCATTGTCACAAGATTTCCATCAACTATCAGACCTTGTGGATAGGGCTGTGCCCTGTCGAGGCTGTACTGAAAGTTGAATCCTACCTTAGAATTGTTGTGGAGGCAGATTCCTATATCTACTCCCAAGTCTTCCCCTTCTGTTGTTGCTTCTCTGCTCGAGCTCTATTCAGACATTTACTACAAACCGGTTTTCTTTGTGACCCTTGAAGAACAACTTCGAAAGTCGTCGCGATGGCTGTCGATCCATCCCACGTCAACCCACTCTACTGCGATGAAGTATCCGAAGCATGTCCAGTGAAAGCTTCAATCTACGGTTACTACCCGAGCCTGGGATCGAACGCTTTCTTCACTGTTTACTTCGGTCTCTGCTTTCTTATCAACTTCTGGCTCGGTTGGAGATTTCGGACATGGACCTACCAGATCGCGATGTGCTTAGCCTGCATTTCGAGCGCTATCGGATATATTGGAAGGTGCCTCATGTACAACAACCCATTCAACTCCCTCGGCTTCCAGATACAGATATGCTGTCTGACCTTCGCGCCGGCCTTCAACTCAGCCGCACTTTACCTGATCCTCAAACACTTGGTCATCCAGCTAGGACGGGAATGGTCGAGGATTCGACCGAAGTATTACACATGGAGCTTTATCATAGCCGACTTTCTGGCGCTCACGTTGCAAGGCGCTGGTGGCGGAATAGCCGGGTCCGCAGGCGACAATGAGAGCTTGCGCAAAGTCGGTGACAACCTCATGATCACAGGTATCTCTTGGCAGGTCTTGACCCTTCTCGTCTTCGGTGCGGCTACTGCGGACTACACCATACGACGATTCAGATCTTCGCAGCCATGGAGTCCCTCTGCGCAGCTTCTGCTCCGCGACCGCAAGTTTCGGATTTTTGTCGTGGCGCAAGTGATCACATACATCTGCATCTTCATCCGGTGTGTCTACCGCATCGCTGAGATGGCAAAAGGTTGGAGGAACCCAATTATGCAGAACGAGGGTCTCTTCATTGGGTTGGACGGCGTGTGAGTCCTTCTCCGGGCTCCGCATATGAACGTGTCACTGACTTCGCATACAGCATGGTTGGCGTTGCCACCCTCCTTCAAACACTTGTCCACCCAGGACACTTCTTCCCAGCTCTGGCAACGTACCGTGAAACGAAGAGGACACGTACGGCACCGCAGGAGCTGAGCAGTAGCGAGGATTCGGTGGAGAAATCGCTGGCTTAGATGTGATATGGGCTGAGTGAAGTTGTACTTTAGCCACTGTGGTGATTTCGTACGCGTGATTTATGATTTGGAAAGCAAGCAGGAGTCGAGTCGCTGGTAATAGATATGTGACAGGAATACACGGGTATCATCGACCAGCGCTACATGCAAATCCGTTTGAACAGAAGTATTTTTCACATGTTCAAACCTGCCGCCGCGTCAAAGATGTATCCCAAACAAAAGCAGAACGATCGGTTCTCCAGCATCGTGCTTCCGGCGTACGGTGACTGGTACCTAGGTACCTTGTGCCAGGAGAAATTACCTAGAAGCCTTGTGACTCTTTCAGAGGGGATAATGAATTCAAAGAGGTCTAGGGAGAGCTCTGACTATACAGTTTCAGAGGCCTACGTAAATAATATACCTAGTTAGTACCTTAAAAGGGGGTTACGGTCCATGACACCTTCGTGGCACAGTCTGGCCAACCCTCGGGTAACCTTCCCAGTCACAGCCTTTGGAACCACGAACCACGTGTCCCCGCCGATTCATGGCGCAGCTGCGTCATCACCGTTTGGCGTGCCCGACCACCGACTGGGTACCGACCACTGTGAAGGTGTCGACTCCGTCCCGTGCATGAGGAAGGCTACCTCGTATCGTACCGTCCGTGGATTTGCACAATAACCTACTCGTACCTTGGCCCTTGGTCTGTTGCGGAAGTCGCGCTTCCGCCTGCCTTGCTTGATTGTCTTGCTCCTTGCCATGTCCTCGTTGCACCATGGGTGCGTCCGAGTCAAAGCTGATCTTCAAGCAAGGCATCTTCAGGCTCTCAGAAGAGCGGAACATTGCTGCCAATGACCCATACTGGACAAATGTAAGCCTCCTTTCCTGTCGGACGCTCTCTTGCTGATCTGGCGGCAGTTCTGGGAATTACCCGAGTCGGTCGAAGACGTCTTCAGCCTCTTCTCGCATACCGATATCCGGCGAACTCGAGATGCCGCCATTGAAAACCTCGAAACCCTGATTCTGGCGGTAACATCGCGCTTGATCGTGCTGAAGAATCACCCTTCGTTTCCAGACCCGGATCTTGCCCCTGAACGAGATGCACTCAATTGCATCCGGGTTCTCACCAGGCTCCTGCCCTATGTCTATGAGGCTGAACAACTGACAGAATGGGAAGAGAGGTTCTTCTGGGGCATGCGGCGCCGCCGAACAAGGAGGGCGCAGGTGTCTGGGGAGATACTGTTCGACGACAACCAAGGCGACGACACCACGCCTACGGAGAACCCGCAACAAGAGTTCGAAGATGCGAGACCGCTTGCGGAAGAATTGATTGACACTTTGGTCGACCTCTTGTTCTACACTGGTTTCACCATCCCCGAGCTTCCAAATGCGAAGAGCAAGGTCACCTATGCAATCTGGCAGAGTGGCGTAGGCTGCAAGTCCTCAATCCCGACAAGCAAGGAACTCGAGAGCAATCGCTGTGAGGTTCTGAGGCTTCTCCTTACCCTGTCGAGCAAGGCAATGTATATGCCCTCAAACGTCCTCCCTGTTCAGGGTGTCAGGACCATCACATATCTCGCAACATGTCCAGACAAACAAATCGTCCTCTCCGTGCTGTGTTCTCTGATCAACACGACCATCAAGGCGAATGTCGGCTCATGGCGCCTGCCCTACGACCACATGGTGCGCAAGGACTCGCAGCAAACCCTGGTGGTATACAGCTTGCAGTTGCTTCTGACCTTGTTACTGTACCCTGTGCCTGAAGACGCAACTGGGTCGGTACCGAAGAACTTCTACCGCCACTTTTTCGGCCGCTTGCACAGACCGGAAGATTTCCAGTTCCTTGCCGACGGCTTGACGAGGGTCCTGAGCCAGCCGATGCAGGCCACGGCTTCATACCTACCCGGAAGTCAGAAATCGGTCAAATGGGCCCCGGAAATGATCATGCTCTTCTGGGAAGTGCTCCAGTGCAACAAGCGGTTCCGGTCATTCATCATAGAATCTAACCGCGCTCACGACTTTGTGATACTGATGCTCTTCTACGCCATCGAGTATAAGACCGACGCAGCGCGGCAAGGCATCGTGAGGATGTGCGTGTTTGTGCTTCAGACTATGAGCGTGGAGGCAAGTTTTGGGAAAAACCTCAACAAGAGGTTCGAAGCACAAGAAACACTGCCTCCCTCAATTCGCGTCGCCAACTTTACTGGCACCTATGCCGACTTCCTCATCATCTCCATCCACACGCTAATCACGGGAAGCAAAGGCAAACTAGATGCCATCTATCCAGCGCTACTAGCCATTATTAACAATATGGCGGCCTATGTGCAGCATCTCTCGTTGGCGGCAAGCACGAGGCTTGTGCAGCTGCTGGGCTCGATGTCTACCCCCAGTTTCCTGCTGGCAAATGAGACGAATCACGTACTTCTCCAGGCTTTGCTCGAGTCGATCAACAGTATGGTCGAGCATCAGTATGAGGCAAATGCAAATTTGATCTATGCCATTTGGCGATCAAGAAAACGGATCGAAGCCCTGCGAAAGTTCACATTAGAAGGCGGGCAAGCAGAAATCGAAAGAGCAGCTCAGCGTCACAAAGAAGCGGCCCTCACTGACAGCACTAACAATCTTTCCAGAAGTTCTACCATGGGCGTGGTATCACCACCAGCGACTCCACAGCCCGAAAGTGCAGTCGACGGAACGTTTGCAATCGGAGACTCAGACGACTCCGAGAATGAAGAGCCGCCGACGCCCTCGCATTCTACCCATTCCATTCGCACATCGCGGACACCTTCCGTCGCTTCTTCGTCAATCCCCGAGGACAACATGCCGATTCAATTGACAGGCATGTCGGAAAAGGCCAGAGGCAAAATGCCCGCCAATGCTCCGACCTTCTCCCGCCAGAACAGCACGACCAGCCTCTCAGCGACATCAACGTACACCCCGGGTCGCGGCGCCGTTGGCTTAACCCCTGAATGGCTCGAAAGCTGGCTCCCAGACCTTCCCCTACACACACTGCTCACTGTGATCAAAGTCCTGTCCTCCCACCCTCTAGCATCGCCTCGAAACAACTCCAGTGACACGACAAATCCGCCTTCGATGGCGTCTTCCCGCCGCTCATCGCTCGCTGCCGATGAGACCCTCCCCAGTCCCACCACTCCTACAACGACCGATATGGCCAGCACAAACATGAGCAGCACGCCGTCGAGCTTCCGCTCCCAAATTCCCTCCACATCAACGCATCCCTCCATCGCCGCCATCCTGGCCTCTCCTTCCCCTATCCGCGTGCACCTCTTCGAATGGTCCCCACTCTCTCTAGGCTGGTACATGTCCGTCCTTTGGTCCTTGATCTTCACCGCGGAAATGACTATCGCGCCTACCTCTTCCTCTGCCGCCACATTAACAGGCCAGGGGACCATGGCTGGGCCAGTTGGCGTGTGGAACGGTACGAACGTGAAGCTGTTCCAAGTCGCCACGGAAGGTAAGAGGGAGGGTCCGAGCCTGAGCGCACCGAGGGGCGCGGTGGACGCGGTAGGGACGAGACTTGTGCAGGGGGTGCAAGGGTTAAATCTGGGAGGCTTAGTAGGTAGAGTCGGGGCCGGGGTGAGGAATGCCAGTCAGGGGAATATCCGAGAAGGCGGTATACCCAGGACGACGAGGGAGGTGTAGTAATTGTGTGTATCGGACCCTTTCAAGAACCGTGGATTCTCCAAACAACAGCCGATAAACGGACGACGGCGAGTTCAGTTCCGGGTAGGGACAGAGACCACCCACACTTTAGCGTTGTGAAGATTTGCAAAGTTAGCATTCGGCGCATGGCCTGGGTACATCAATAAATACCTTAAGATCTGCATGTGTTTACAACCATGATTTGGGTCATTCAAAATGGGAGGTAATGTCCCCTAGCAATATCCCCGTCCGGAGCGTGTGCTGCCTGCTATGTATTGGGGCTGTAATCCTAAATGTACGCTCCCATACCTAGTACCTTCCTACTGTGTGAACCAAAATATTTTGTCCCGCTTCCTTTTGCTCCCGTACATGCTGACACGTGAATGTGAACGAAATACATTGTCCGCTTGTCTTACCGACATCCGGACAGACTGATGATACCTGATACGGTGATACGGCAGAAAGCGAACGACGAGCGAGAAAGTCAAATCAAATCAATGCAAGAGCAGGAACAGGGGCAGGATCAGGAACATCTCATTGGAATATATATTCGCTATCCCGTGTACTCTTTCTGTTACTCCTACTCTTACTCTTACTCCCACAGCGATCGCGACCGCGACCGCGACCGCGACCGCGACCGCGACCGCGACCGCGACGACCCTGAGCCACGCGGTAAGCCTATTCCTTGAAACCACCCTCTCCACGCCTGTGCGCGACGATTGTCGTCCCCACCCAGCACCCCCCTCGACGAGGCACTCGCGGTAGTACCCGGACTGCTAAGCGCGTACTCCCACGTGAGGCGGCCGTCGACGTAGAGGCTGTATTTCAAGAGACTTTGCTGAGGTCCTGCGTCGCGTCGGAGGTTCCGGATCTCGACCACCCCGACTTTACTGTTCCCGTCGGGGATGTACGTGATGGGCACGTCCTCGTCGTCGATCTGCCGGAAGGTGCGGAAGGGGAGGTAGAACATCGATAGTGGGCCGCATGAGAATTCGTGCGGGCCTGCCGCGGGGGTTTGATCGCGCTGGATGGGTGTATCTGTATCTGTGGCTTCGGTCGCGGAGGTAAGAGAAGAAGATAGTGATGCCGGGACCGGTCCGGTTGCGATGGGTGCTAGCGAGATCACGGGTGGCGGGTACCTTATTGCTGCGAATTCGTGTCGGTCGCCGGAGAGGATGATCACGCGGATGCCCAGGACCCGCTCTGCGTCGTGCATGGCTTGGAGGATCCGTGCGCGTTCGCCGAGGAAGCCGCCCCACGTGTCCGAGGTGCCGAAGCGCCAATTCTTGGTGAAGGGCACGGAGCTGGCGATGATTTTCCAGTGTATGTGCGGTGGTTCGGGGGTGGAGAGGTAGCTCAGCAGCGAGGAGAGCTGTTGAGCGCCGAGCATGCTGTGAGGATTGGAGTTGGACGATTCCGCAGACGACCCAGGGATTGCAGTTTTGGGCGAGGCCGATGGCGAGAATGAGGTTGATTCTGGTTCGGGGTCGGTGCGGTACCGCCGGGTGTCGAGCATGAAGAACGAGGCTGGGCCGTGCGAGAATTGGAAGTACGTCGTATTGCTTTCGGGGCCGGTGGGTGCTCCTGGTGGGACGGGTGGATTGACGGAGACGTGGTAGTGGATAAAGGGGTCTGAGGCCGCAGGGAAGGGATCGGTCTCGTTCCCAGCGGACCAGTCGTTTGCGATCTCATGGTCGTCGAGAGTGTGGATCCAGGGCAGAGCGTCAAGCCCGGGCAGTGACCATGATGGGGAAGCATACACGCGGCGGTATTCTGCCCGGTAATGTGCCAACGAGTAGGACAGCCGGATGGGCACATCCACGTAGATAAAGTCGCCTAGGAAGAGCATGAATGAGGCCGGAGACGGTAAGGACCGGACGACCCTGGACAGATAGCCGAAGCCGTGGATTGCCAGCGAGTGCGCATTAGCACGGTAGGGGAAATTGGCCTTGATGCACGACGAGGTGAGGAAGGTCAAGCTGTTGGCTGCGTCCGAGTACGGTGCGGGCGCTGTGGTGAAGGTCCCGGACTTGTCATTGGAAAGCGAATAGATATACTTCCTTGCGGGCTGGAGACCGTCAAAGGTAAGCGCATGAGTGTAATCCGTGTCCGAGCCCATCCAATATATTGTGTCGGTGGTCTTCCATTGCGTCTTGTCGGCTGGCGACAGGTAGACGTATATGGGGAATTGAGCTGGGTCCGGCTCCCTGATCAACACTTTTGCAGAAGTTGTATCGACATATCCAACTCGCGCGAAGCTCAAGTCCTTCTCCGCATGAAGGAGAGGGCCTCGGAAGACCAGATCCAAGGTGAACAATGCTAGCAGGACATTCGCCGCAATTGTCAGGTAGCTCTTTGCGGGGTGACGCCAGTCGGGTATTCCAAACACGAGTGTCTTGAATAGAGCTTTCTCGTCCTCGTACAATACCGGCTCGTCATGGTCGTGTATGGTTGGCGCCTCCTTCTCATCACGTTGCTTGTTCTCGTCCTCGTCGGGATGTGGGAACAGCCTAGGAAATGCTTCGTGCAGCGTGGGTCTGCTCGAGCCGAATGCTTCGGACCAACCGAAGACAGTGGTCAGATAGATCGCCAGCGCCGTCAGTACGGTCGGAGGCCAGGGCCAGCCGGGGATCTAACACACCAGTCAATAATTTGGCCGTCCGCTTGAAGTGGTGCTTGAAGTGCGCACCCATCTTAGAAAGACGAAGGCAGCAAGCCTGAGGATAGATGAGCTCGTCCCCGCGACAATTTCTGGTGTGGACGGCATGTTGATCTTTGAAGAAGCTGCTCTCACTGCCTAGGCAGCGACGAGCCATGGATTTCACATGGTTGTTCAAAAGTTGGTAAGTAGCAGATGTGAGGTCAGGTATGAAGCAGGCTTGTGGCATGAGGCCGCGTCGGTTTGGTGTGTCAATGACGCAGTTGGCAGGGATTGCAAACCATGCGGGCGTGATAGGCGGACGGCGACGGTCCCGAATCATGAGTCAGTGAAGAATGCCGGCCATGACAACTGCAGCATGGGCTTGGAAACAGAATACCATTACATTATTGAGGTGTTGGCATGACTGCCGAAGACATTATCACTATGAGAACATTGAAGTAACACGTATGCGCCAGTTGCTTTTGGTATCGACGCTCACAAAAACACACCATCTCCAAGCATGAGCATGCACCAATATCTTCTTGTCCAAGGATGCTCACTAGTTCCCGTTCATGCTATAGAAAGTGACTTCGCTGCTGGGCCCTTCGAAGCTCCCGCCGATTGCCCAATTCTGATAGCCGCCATCGCCCACGAGGTTGAATGTGCCATGATCGAAGACCCAAACCTCATACCCTTTTGTGAAGCCCAGGGCGATGTCGAACTCGACATGTGCATGGGTGGCATCGTAGAGATCGTAGCCGCAGTCTTGGTTGTGGTACACCAGGACGTTCATGGTGGGATACTGATCTCGAAGGTTTGACACGATGCCGCGTGTAAATTGTCCTTCGGCTTCTTCGATGTCACCGTCAATGAGGTCGATCAGGTCTTGGATGCCTTCAATCACGGTCTCAGCCGCGGTAATGATCACAGCCACGTCAACAAGCACTTGTAATTGGCGTCTGTCGACGGAGGCTTCGCTGACCGGCCTGGCAGGGTGGTGGACATTCTTCGTGGGTGCGCTTATACACGTACCGAAGAAGGTGCTAATCCAGGCGAGGAAGTAAAGGAAGGATGAAAGATGCATCGTCGATAGATATCCTGGAGATGGATGCTGGGTTATGGCGGACTCGGGTGTTCAGAGTTTCCCTGGGCAGTCAACGACGGTAGTTGTTGAGGCTTTACTATCCTCGATCTTTGACGGACTCCTTTATAGAGCTCGCTGGGCGTGTTCACCATGTCCCTTCCATACTGCCCATCAGGCTGAGAATTGGTACACTCACCGTGGGGTCTCCTTAGCCCGAGTTTCCATCAATGAGACTCAACGAAGAAGCAAGCTACTGCCCCTCGCCACCTGAAGAACGTCCCAAACCGTGGTACGCCCGGACAACAGATGCCCTACAGATTCGTGTAACTTACCCATCAATGGCACTTGCGTCAATTGGTCGGTAGGACGAAGTCAGGCGCATTTCGAAATGTCAAGGATCCAAAGCATAGAAGGCGGCGTGCTTGGACGCTCTTCTAATTTGGGGGCCAGCGCATGCATCTGCGCCCCGAAAGAGTAAGCAAATGGTGCAGAAGCTTCATGCGACAGCGGGAAGTCCATCATGACATAGTGCCGTGGCAGTGGTGAAGCAAGTCAAGGTTTGAGGCTGAGCGGGAACTGAATGGAACGGCTCGAACAGTTAGAGAGGCTGGCGTCTCCAATGCCAGTAATCGACCGTATGAGTTACGGTTGGCCACTGAGGCCACTTGACATTGTTCGACCACTCCAACATACTTCCCTTTCTCTACCCGGTAATCTCGACAAAACTACTTCGTACATTGATCATGAGACATCTATGCTATGAGTTGATTGTAGGTGAGCGGCACCCATGTACTACACCTTCTGCACTAGTATCGTGGCCTCGCGTACACAGCAAGCGACAAACAGCACATCAGGCCTCCTACCGCGCTCGAACCGAGTCACAGTACAATCGGGCTTGGTGTCGAGATATGTGTGATCTGCTGTCTTCCTTTCCTTCTCTATGGATCGCGCACTCCTACCTAACAGCTTGGGCAAAGATTCCAGCCGTGTCAAGGACCGGTGCGAAGGCGCCCCGAATGCCGCACACGAGGTCTGTATTCTGGGCTGCTTTAGTCTCTTTGACACCAGCCTAATGCCTCCCCAGGGTAGTGCGGGGCCGTTCACACGCAGCAAGGCAGCCATATAGCGAGAGCCAGGCTAATGCGTATTTTGCAGATCTAGGAGGTGTCAAGACTTCCAGACTGCTCCCGTTACCTTTAGCGCTGCTGGTGCGGCTGGCGCCTCATATCATGCGATACCATTCGGTCGTTACCATTTTGCATATGCAAGAACGGCACAGCGCCTCGTTGGAGAGAACGCGCCTTGTGAAAATGAGGCTCAGCTTGACTTCTCGGGTTACATCGATAGCATTCTCTGTGCAGATGGAGTCTTCTGAACTCGCTTGGTCTTCTCCCTTCCTTCGACTCTTCAGAATGTGGTAGAACATGGCACAAGACAAACCAGTTCCTGGCAATACCGGTGATGCTCATTTGCCATATGATGGTGACCCAACTCACAAAGACGACACGCCTCCTACGGCCCAGCGCGCTGTTGAGCCTGACAATCAGTCACACCCTGCGGGAGACGGCAGTGACAACCAAGACCCTTTTCCGGGCACAACTCAGGATGGCCCGCAGGATCATCACCAACACTCGGCCTCCGATGTTGAAACACAGGAGCATCCTCAAGTTGTTGATAATGCTACTTCGGATTCGGAAGCTCAACCACCGCTGCCTCCAGTTAGTCCCTCCCCTGTACCGCGCAAACCAGTTGCCAAAGCAGTCGTGGTCACCAATGGGTCCGAAATTCCAGATCAACGGCTAGCTAAGGCGCCGGCACAAAGTGCTCGCGACCTTGGAGGATTCTGGCACAATTGGTGGTCAGAGATGACCTTCCTCATTCTCATGTTCGGCGCCTTTGCTGCGATTGTCGCAGTCATCGCCCCATACCAGCATCGTCGACTGCCTTCCTGGCGCTACAGTATCACCATCAACGCGCTGATCGCCGTTTTCACCGTCATCCTGAGAGGCTCTATCCTCTTCATAGCGACAAAAACACTCAGCCAGCAAAAGTGGATTTGGTTCGGTAGTCCCCATGCGCGCCCATTGATTGACCTTTCTCGGTTTGACAATGCGTCGAGAGGGCCCTGGGGTTCGTTTTTGCTTGTACTGACCTTGCATGGGAGGAGCCTCCTTGCAACACTGGGAGCTCTGATCACTGTCCTCACCATCGCTATCGACCCCTTTGCTCAACAAGTTGTCCACTATTACTCTTGCAGCCAAGCATCTACAGGCACAAATGCCACCATGCCACGTACTGGTCTATTCCAGGAAGCAGGAAGTGTTCAGCTTCGAGTCAACGCGAACACGGTGACTCCAGGCCTAGCGTCAGCAATCAATGCGGGTGTCTTCTCTGCAGAAGCAGCGAAGCGGATCACCTCGGACTGTCCTAGTGGGAACTGTCAATTTTCCGAACCTTACCATACGCTTGGCTATTGTTCGAACTGCAGCGACATTTCTGATCAGGTCAAGGTCACAAATTTCGACGTGCCGTATACATTCCTCAACCAGACAAGCATCATACAGGCGTTGAACACTTCCCTCCCTTCCGGCTACAGCACCCAATACGTCACGTTCGAAAATGCAACGTATCTGGTAACAGCTGTTTTGGATCCAAGTGTCATTGAGTCTGGCACTAACGCGCCCAGTCCCTTTGCGATCACCCATGAGAAGGACTTCCAGATCCTGTACGGAGCATACACGGATGACAATGCAAACAGTGGCATGGAACATCCAACATGTTCCGAAGCTGAGAAGCACCATGCTCAAACAGCCTGGGGATGTCGCGGCTATGGTGCGGCTCAGTGCTCTCTAGTACCGTGCATCCGCACGTACACAGCAGCGGTTTCCAACGGCACCGTCGACGAAACCCTCATCTCCACGTCCCGGAACTGGGGATATAGTTATCGCGTCTCCAAGGCCTCTGTCTATGTAGGTTTCTCTTCGTCTCTAACCTATACCAAATCCGTAGTTCATGTCTATTCCCGATCACGGTCCCATGTCTGGTGTGAAACAAGCGAGGTCACTTTCTGACGATAATGCAGGTCCCTTGTCTCAGCGGCCAACAGAAGAGAGCCCTCAAAGACCAAGGCTATCCTATCACTGATTCCATGGTCTGGCTCCCCTACGACCATAACATTGACCCATCAACCGGGATGTGGGAACTCAACGCGACGTATGGCACGAACCAGTCCGCCACTGACATCGTCCCACCGAAATGTCTGTACGAGTTTTTCTTCCTGGCCATGACAAGCATCAACGAGTATCTGCAAAGCCAAATCTTCAACGGCACCGTCACGGCCTATGGCTCTGATGGACGCGCCGCCTTCACTAGCACGAACCCAGTGGTCGCGGCCATCTACAACGGAGGGAACATCTCCTTCCCGCATGTCGAGTCTCTGTTCGAGAACATTTCCCTGGCCATGACTAGCTATATCCGCCAAAACAGCAACGGCACGTACCTGGGCAGGTACTTCCAAGTCAGCAACACGAGCATCTCGTTCGACCCCAATTTCCTGGCGCAGGGGACCATTTTCCAACAAGACACATGCGTCGAGGTCCGGTGGCCGTGGTTGATCCTCCCGGGCACGTTGGCCGTACTTACAGCTCTTTTCCTCTGCGCCACCATCATCGAGACGTCGCTTGCTCGTCCTAAGAACGCTTCATTAATGGATGGTTCGGCGACAGAGCGTGGAAATCCAGCCGGTATACTTGCGCGTCGTCGAGCAGCCGTGTGGAAGGAATCTCTTCTTCCACTCCTCTACCACGGTTTGGATGCGAAGGTGGTGGAGCAACACAACACTTCTGGCTTGACGCCCATCGATGAACTCGAGAAATGGGCAAGGACGCTCAATGTCAGGATGGACAATGGAGATCAGGGCTGGAAGTTTGTCAAAGTGGAGTAGATACCGATCACCCACAGTTCGTAGCCTCATATACCCGTCTGAAGTGTGTTCTCTCGAATTGTCCTCTGCACCACCTCCTGCCGCGTTGCTGTCCGACATCCCACAAGCATGCATGTATACCGGGCGGAAAACGATGCCATGTAACAATATATGCAGCTATAGCCTATACTTGGGCTTGTTTCCTACACTGTACAAGGGGCAGAAGGGCCGTCTATATACCTACTCCTTCAGAGTCACAATTCCGACTCATTGAATAAGGACTCTCTTCTCTGCCGCCACCCAAAACTCATTGCTGCTTTTTGATCTTTCCCCCATCTGAGCTATCACCCTGTTAGACCAGTTGAACATGCAACCAGGAAACACACGAATAGACGGTGAAAGAAGAATGTTCGGGCATGTCCTTCTCGTCCACTATACGTCGCGTCGGTACCGAATACATACATTTCGTATTGTACATGTGTTGTGAGCGTGGGCATTGTCGGAGAGTCTTTCGCAGGTCTCCCCGTATCAGCCTCCCTGCTGCAGGATTACATGTTCCGGCCTGGACATCTAAATGGATACATGACGTCCACATCTGTGACGTGGATGTGCCATCGCGCGGAATCCGTCGGAGTACTGTACATAGCTAGTCGGACGTGGCGGTGTAGCGGTGAGTTCTTGGGAGGTTGCCAAAGAGGAACCGCGAGAGCGGGATAGGCGAAAGGAAGTCGCCCGTTCTGCCGCATCCTGTCCATTCGAGGATCACCAGCCTCGTATGCTTGACAATGTGGTGCGCGTTGCGTAAAGTAGAGGATGCTGACTGTTCAGAGCGTCTCGTCCTGTTGATCCCATCTTGGTAAATCAAGCAGCCATGACCAGGATACGAGCATGTCTTCTTGATCCATCGTGACACATTAAGCAGCCAGTATACGGCCATGTCTTCGTGATCCATCATGACAGCTAGAACTTCGGGCAATCGCCCTCCTTTTGACCGCCTTGAGCCGCTCATAGTGCGTCTGCCCTCTTCTTCCCTCCCCGAAGACACATCACGTAGCCTCAACTCCATGACTCTCGATCTCACACAGCGGTCACATGCTACTGCCACATGTCACCGATTGACACCCACACTCGCGAGCCCCCTCCCCAACTGCACCACCATGGCCACATCCCGCACCTTCTTCATGCCCATGCACAAGCCCATGCAATAAGCCCACATCCAAGCCCGATCGTGCCCCTCCTGCGGCAACGCATCCCAATACTCCCAGCCCATGACGCCGCCAAACCGGGGATACCGCTCGACCAACAAGCTCAACACCGCGGCAGTCAGCTCCAGCGGCACATATCCGCTCCCGCCGTGCTTGGGGTTGGTCAACATGCCCGCCACCACCCGCTGGGCATCCCAGCCATTCCGCATGATCTCATCGTACGCGTCCGTCGAATGCAGGCCGCCCCACCCGTTGTAGAACTGGACGTTGTACCAACTGATGCGCGAACCCCTCAGGGTCTCCAACAGGCGATAGTCAAAGCCCGACAAGTGCCGCCGGCCGGCCATCAGCGCCGTGGCCACGGGCGCCAGCGTGATCAGAAAGGCCGGCCCAAAGTCCGCGCGCAGCCGATCGATCAAGTGCACCACACCGGGGAGAGACATTTCCTCCTCGACGTCGAGGTCCAGGCCGTCGAGCGCGTGCCGTCGGATCAAGTCCCGCAGCGGTGCGTAGTAGGCTTCGAAGCGCGCGAGGGGCACGTCCGTCCGCGACTCCGAGTAGTCCAGGCGCGCGAACGTGCCGCGCGCCGCCCCGCCGAGCATGCCCAGCACTTTGATCCCGCTGTCCTGCAGCACCAGCACCTCGTCCCAGAGCTGCGTGTACTTGGCGTGCGTGGACGGGTCGTCGTTCAGCGTCACGTTCCCGGGTTCCCAGTTGACGTGCAGAGCCGCGAGGATCACGTGTGTGATCCCCGACGGGTTGGTCAGCAGCGGGAGGAGTGAGCAGTATTCGTTGTTGTCGTCGGGGTGGTGGTATGTTTGTTGGTAGCATACTATTCGTGGTTTGAAGGGCGAGAGGGCTGGCGCTGTTGGGACTGGTACCGGCGGCATGGCGGGGGCGCAGTAGTTCCTGGCCCGGGCAATGTGCCTACGTCTCTAGCACGCAGCGGCTTTGGACCTTTGACTTCGACTTTCAAGTGCCAGAGTGAACCTACCGCCAAAACATTGGGGCCGACGGGCTGCTTCGTGGACGAACGAAACCAAGGACTCAGGTGGAAGTGAAAGTGGACCACCAAGTGCCAAGAGTTGTTTTGTCCGCGGGGCTGAAACTCTCATGACTATGTGGCGGGCAAGGCTGAGCATGTAGTGATAGAGGTAGCCAAAGCGGCGGCGGCGGCGGCGGCGTCGTCGTCATTAATATACCGATCACTCTAGCACCTGAGAATTCCTTGCCGAAGTGAATTCTCGATAGGATGCCACATGGTTAGAAGCACTGTAGAACATATACATATACACATACGCGTACACGGGAGACAGTCTCCCAAGTCGATGGTGATGTTGCATGTTGCCATGATGGGACCTAATCTACACTATTGTCAGACGGCGCCGGAACCAGACCCAGCCTCAGCTCCAGAGCCCATCAACACAGACACTCGCCATGTCCCCTCCCCAGACCCGTGGTCTCCTTTTGCGTGTCCTTGCCTTTTCCGACCGAGTCTCTCGTTTCACCGTACATTCAGCGGCAAAAGCGGTGCCCCTCTGAACCCAACACCCAGACCGTTGTCCACAGGACCTTGTTCCGCAAGTTCAGATCCGCGCATCGTGTTCAATGTACCCATTGCCATTCCCACGCCCCCACCCTGCCTCGTCCTCAACGGCGAATTCAGCGTCGGCGCCGGCGCCAACTTCAACGTCCGCAGACCACCACTGCCACCTAGCGTAGGATCACCCCCGACAGACGCCCCGGTTTTCATGGCCTGACTCTGAGGCTGGGCTTGCATGAGCTTATCGTTCTGCTGCTGCATTTGCGCCAGCAGTCGGTCATTGATAATCTGAGAAGCCGTTTGAGCGGGATCAAGAGGCAATACGCCTGGTGCGGGCGCTTGCACGCCCTGCATGCCCGACATGGGCGGGTTTCGCGCCAAAGGACTGTTGCGCAAGGATTCCGCGTCTCCCATCGTTTTGTATTGCGAGGCTGATGCGGAGGACATTTTGCGGCGGGTGAGTTGCGGTTGCACGGCCGGGACTGCCGGACCGGGGACGCCGGATTCTTCTTCCGTCATGCCCATGGGAATCGGGGTGCGGTGCATCAGGCCGTTCATGTTGTCTTCTAGTCTGTTCCGGGAATGGGACCGGGACCGACTTCTACTGGCGAGGCGTAGTGGCAAGGGAGGGTCAGCGGTAGAAGCTGGAGTGGCACTTCGCGACTGAGGTGGTGCTAATGGTCTACCAATGAAGGACGCATGGCTTTGCGCGCTTGGTGCCGGGTTATGTGGAAGTCCTGTGGCACTCGAGATGGAGCCGTTGGTGGGCCTGCGCACGAGCCGCTGCATGTTTTCTCCCGACGAGTCGCCTCGTCTCCGGGCCATGGAGCGTTCGGGAGAGGCCGAGGGGAGCGGGTCGCGCACTCCGTGAGACGGCTGGGGGTTCGTTCGTTGATTTTGCCGTAACGCTGCTTCACGGTGAGCTTCAGACACCTCCATCACTGGCGGAATAGAGGGCAGTTTCTTGTTGTTTGTGGTGCCGTAGGCGGCCATGATGTGAGCGAAACTCAGATCCGAGGGTAGCTGGCTCAATCGCTTGATCGACTGTTTGTTGAAGTTCATGAAGCCGGAGATGGATTGAAGGGCATTTCGTGATTGATGGGCTTCGAACGAGGACGGGGCCTTGGCACTCGATGCTGCCCGTGCGGTATGCGAGTCGGCCAGGCGCATTGGACGCCCTTGGTCTGCACTGACGCTGCTGGAACTCGAGTATTCCGGTCTGGATTGGCTGACATCCACTGCTTGCTGGGCTTGAGAAACGACTTGGGCGAATAAAATGTCTTGATCGGCGTATCGTGTCGAACGGAACGGCTTCCTGGTTTGGCTCGACGCCGTGAACGCTGTGCCCTGTGCCAGGATGAAGAATGATCCATCCCGAATTTTGCGCCGCAGCAAGTTCCACCGAGTCCGCGCCGGGTTCTTCTCGAGCTCCGGGCGGTAGATGGATTCTCTGGAGAGTCGGGAGAAGAACGTATCAAGCCGTTCGGCCACTCGTTCCAGGACGGAGAGCAAGTACGTGCTGAGACTGACGAGTCTTTGCTTGTCGGTGGCCGAGTTCATCGAGTCGATAACTTCGAACGCGTCCATCCCAAGACAGACATCCTCACGGATTTCTTCCAAAAACTGAACGTCCAGCTCGGTCACAGCGCGGGCATATCGCAGGATACCGTTCTCTTGAAACTGAGCCTGTTGGTTGTTACACACGAACGAGCCGATCTGTGCAATCTCGTTGGCCGCTGCTGCAGACGCCGCCGAGGCTTGAGCCCTTGTAATGGTGCCGATGACATCTGGCACCCGAGTGCCTGGGGTGCCTGAATTCACCAGGGCAAAAGTCAGCTTCAAATGGAGCTCTTGCAGCTTTGCGCCAAATAGCGTCGAGAATCCGTTCTGCATCAACCGAGACTGGAACTGGTAGAATTTTCGAACCCCGCCCATGTTGAACAGGTCGCCCTGGAACCAAGTCCGGGCATCTCGTTGGATGTAGTCGACCTCGAAATGCAAGGTGGTCAAGGCTTCCACGCAGTTTCGGAGGTACTGGTACCAGAGGTCGTAGATGCTGCTGAGTTCAGTCGATCGGAAGTCGGGCTTTGTTGCGAGATGGCCAATAAAGTACTTTGACAACAAGCTCATCACTTCCGGGTTCGTCGTGTGCGCCACGTCATCGAATGTCTTCGAGGCATCCAGGCCGGCGCTGGCCTGAGCAATCAGAGTGCCGCCGGGATGAATGGGCAAAAAGTCAGTAATATCGTACACTCCGCCGTGGACGCCGATATACATCCGTGAACCCTTGCGATGGCCGGTGTTCAACGCCAGCTTCGACAGGGGTATCCGGGGAGTGGCATAGCTGACTGGCCGTGGTGACATGAAGATGTCCAGCATGAAGCGTCGTTCTGCAAAAGCTCTTGCCAGTAGGCTGTCTGCCGACTCCTTCGTAGATGTCCAGTTCTGGTAGATGGCTTGCCGGATGCCAGACATGATCGTCTCGTACACTGCCAAGGAGCCACAGACATATAAGTGTCCGCCGAGACCACCCTGGCTCTTCGAGATGACCAAGTCACACACCGTGCGACCTTGCTCGACGATAGCAGCATCAAGATACCGAGGAGGCATCTGCTTTTCGACCAGCTCGCGAGACATGGGATCAAAGACCAGGCCGTTCTTGTCTCGGGAGAAGGCAGTGTGTAGTTCGATCTGGCCGCTTCGGACATAGTCTCTGAGCTCGTGTTCGTATGAAAACCGCTCCCTTGACTGCACTCCCAGGAACAGGATATTTCTTCCGACACTGGTCTGCGCTCTCGCTTGCCAAAAGCCTCTGAAGGGTGCAATACCGGAGCCGCCAGCAAACATCGCGACAGGACCGGTAATGGTGGCCGGAAGCTGGAAATTGAGCGGCCTTGAAATGCCAATAAGGTATTCCTCGTCGTCAAGCATCTCTTCAGAGTGCGACGGATCCGGGTTGAGGCAGCCGCTACTGACCCCATACCGCTGGTTGGTCGTTGATGCAGACTGCAGGACCGGCGCCAGCTGATACTCATTGCGGGCAACAGTCAGGTCAAGTATGCTGGGAAGCAGTTCGTTGGAGTAATTCGAGATGCTGTACGTTCGTGGGACTTCGATCGGTATCAGCTTCGGAAGCCACGAGAGATCAGCCAGGTCGAACGCTCTATCCCAGATCGCTGGAGAGACTTCTGCGACGGCAAGCTGCAGCAAATCTCCCACGGTGCCCTGGACAGGCCACATTTCAGAGCCCAGAACTTTGACCACTGTCGAAGAGGAGGCTCGCAAAGCCATGTGGAAAGCCATGACCAGGTCCTTCGTCAAGGGCGCCAGGTGGCCGCGTCGAAGAATGTCCCGCACCGTCAGCCAGTTGTCCTCGCCCGTCCCGTTCAGAGTTCTGAGGTGCTTAGCAAAGCGGCTCCAATCAGGCGATTGCGAAACGGGCACTTTGGCTTGAAGAAGGTTGTCAAGTCCCAGTGCGGCGGTCACCTTCCCGACTTCCGTCCAGCTGTTGAGAGGCATAATGGCAAGTCGATCTCCAGGTTGGAAGGTCATGCCAGTACCCTCTAGACCGAAAGTCACCATGGCAGTCGATCGAGACGAATCGGTGTCGACGAAGGAGCGAGATAAAATCCTGGCTTTGAACCTGCATTCTTCGAAAGATCCACGGAGCTCGTGCGGCTGTAGTGTGACTTTGCCCCTGAACGGTTCCAGGCGCTCCCGCATGGATTCAGAAAGTGTTTTATGAACTTCTTCCCATGGTCTCCCGGCGTCGTCTGCTGAGCCGGCATTGCCATTTGTCTCGCTTCGTCCCGTCTTTGCAACGACTTCCAGGAAGCCGTAGACCTTGTCTGTGCACCGATCAGTCAACTGGACCCGCAGCACTTGGAAGAGGAGGCGGAAACAAACATACAACGATGGGTGCCGAACCAGCCTCGTTCCGACAGATAGGCCTCTAAGATGCCTTCCATCACCCCCATCAAACGTGGGTCACCAGACTCTTTGACGAACGCAGGAACTTGATAGTGGTACTCGATGGCGGCAATGAAAGCTCGGATATTCATTGGGAGCCAAGCTCGGAGGTGGAGGGCTTCTCTCCCGAGGAAGCTGTCATATTTCCTCCGCCCGATGAATGCGTCCATCAGCAGAAAGACTGGAAGAGCCAGGCCCGACAGCGCGGGCACCCGTTTTGAAAGAGGAGCACTGAATTTTGCGTATCTTTGACCCCACTAAAAGGCATTAGCATTAGGAGGCTCAAGCAGACCCGAGTTCCTTACCTCGACTGGGTTCGCAAAGTTCTCGCCTGAATTCGGGTTGACGCTGATTTTCTGAAAGACATGGACGAACCTGTCAACGATAGCTTTCAATTTGATGAGTTCTCGAAGTAAGCCCTCTTTATCCCTCAGCATGACCCTTTCTTGGCATCTTGTGATCAACTCGACGCCCTGTGTGAAGCAACCATGCGTCTCTGCCATGCAAAGGAGAAACATGGCCTCGCCTCGGTCGTTGAAGACTGGCCATCGCAGATCCATGTTCTCACATCTGGCCACGTATGGATTGATGCTGGTTGGATCTCGGAGTTTGTAGTTGTAGACCGATACGTCATACTGGGTCAAGTGAGGCAGTACTCTACCCATCCTCGTGCAGATTTGTCGCAACGGGATGGCGATATTTCGCGGGATTCCCTTCGTCTCCTCTTCTTCATCATCTGCCTCACCAGACAAGTTTCTGAAAGTCCCAGGTGGGGCGGTCACGCTGATGCCTTCGTGCCCGTCGTTGCGTTCTTCGTATCGGTAAACGCTCGCAAGAATACCTAGGCAGACAACGGCAGCCCACAAAGCCTGATCAGGGATGACATCTTCCGTGCCGTAGACGAGTGGTAAGGCCAAGATCGATTCACGCATTTTGCCACGTGCAACAACCGCTGGCATTCGCTCACAGAGGTCGGACCATATTCTCCCAGGTGACATAGCAAGCGCGGCGGGTGCTGCTGAAGGATCCGGGGGGCAGAAGCCATGTGTGCTGGTCAAGTAACCATCACGCCATCCTGTGCGAGGACCAAGTTCTTGGGCCCGGTTAAGAACTTGACGAGCAGGAGCACCCAGGGCTGATGCAAGGACATCGAGGTCTGGAGGATTCAGATGGTCTGCATTCGCCAGTCCATTGGTGACCGACCTGGGTGGAGCGTCGGGAAGAAGCATGTCGGTGATGGTTTGTCTCTCCTGCGAAACGAGATCCTCTATCGATTGACCGTCTGCCGGGACCTGCTACTGTTAGCAAGACTCCAGCACCGGCTCCGGCCAATACTTACGCCTCTCGGGGTGTAATGTGCTTGCGTGGTCATCTGGAACGCAGCAAAAGCGCAGCCCCGAGGACCGACTCGTTGAGCGCCAGCTGGGCAGACCGAGCCTGGGCCACTCTTTTGCCCGCTGACAGGACAAGATCTCTCTGACATGGTTGATAGTATAAATAACGCTCGCTCAAATTGTCACAATTTAACAGCAGGGGTATCACTTCGTAATGTCGAACAGAGGCTTGAAGCAAATGCAGGTTCACAGAGGCTAGAAAGATGAGTGACCGGCACTTTGAAGTGAGCCCAGCTCCTGTTAACGAAAAGAAGGTAGGGACTAGTCGTGTGGTGAACGAAGACGGAAGTGCAGACCTACCGCGTATATAAACTGCCCCTCAAGAAGAAGTAAGCATCTTGGGCCAAAGTTTTAAGAATCGGAGAGAGACCGAACTTCGAAAGTCTGTCAAATCCTGGCCAATTGTTACGTGATGGAATTGGCCAGGGGATAATGGCTTGTTGAGCCTGGATGTTTTCAGCACCGATGCTGTGGATGAAGCAAGCGCCCAGCCTGTCAAGCAAGATGATCTCCGCAGCAAGGCTTCGGCCAAGATCGCTTATGAATGGGAGGGGATTCGGCATGGTAGGCAGGGCCAGCGTCGTCTCGCACCCGAATGAGCGCTTTCATGGTCTAAAGGAGCCAAGTATGGTGGGTCGAGCAAAACAATTGGGCCGAGCGTGGACGAAGGAACAGAGCTTGGGTGGATCGAGCTGAATACCAAGAGTTCCCCGTGGTACCAAGAGATGGTCGATGCGAAGTCGAGGGATGACAGGTGCCTGGGCGACTGCTGAAAGCCACTCATGGACCATGATGTGGCTGTCAGTCTGCCCCGGAATCGCGGTGACCGAGCAGCCAAGAAGGCTTGACTTGATGAAACTGTTTGAGGTTCCGGCTCCCCCTTTTCCCGACCGCTGGCGCGCGTTTCATGCTCGGAAACATCCAGAGACATATCAGCTCACGACGGCATGGTGAGGGAGGGGATGAAAATAGAGTGCTCAGGGGTCGAGTCCAGACGCGCGATAAAGTTGTTTTGGGCACGACAATAAGTGAAAAGGTTGAGAGAGAAAGCAGAGGGGAATGCTATTGGGAGCCACTGACGCCCACCGTAACCCTGCCAACATTGTACGGTGAAGTATTGTGACCACCAACGGTGGGTTCGTTGGCCGTGGCCACCTGCGTGATCAGTCGCCGATGCAGACACCAGTGAATACTTTCCAAACTACTCTGTACCCACGCAGGGAAGTCGACGGCAGAGCCATCACAGACGCCAGCATCGCACCTGGCTGCAGGGGACTGGGAACCACTGGCCCGAAATGATCCACTCCGTCGACATTCAGCTACAAACACCTCTACTGGCTCGGACTGATACTTCGCCTTGGATTCGAGGAAGGTCAATGCTGGGGTCTGCGGACTGCCTTTAAGCTCTACCGCAGATTGGTAAATCTGCTTCCCAAGAGCTGCAATACCGAATGGAGACTGACTCGACATCCTTGCTGTGCCGAGCCGAACAGACCAAACGCCCCGTCAGCTATCTCTTCATGTTGTGTGGAAAGATATGCCTACATCAACCTTGACGTGGCGCTCAACATGCCACCAATGGGCAATTTCTCCCTCCGTCCATCAAGGCCTTTGTGTGTATCTCACAAGCAAAAAGAAGCAAAGTTGCAGCTAATAATTAACGCGAGGCGAACGGCACCTTCATGCGAAACGCAGCTTGAAGGACGCAGGGAGCGTCAGCTGGGCTTACCAAGCTTAGTCTAGGACCTTGGGGATGGGACTGGCTCTGATCGAACTGTAGTGCAGATGCTGAATGACTTCCAGCTCGGTGAAATCAAGCACAATGACCAAGATGTCTGACAGGGAGACAAGCTCACTTTACACCGCCATGGCCGACCTCACGCTTCTCCGCCTCAAACGATCCGAGGACTGCAGCGCCAAGATGATCAACACTCGCAGGGATACCATTACGAGTTAAGTCACGCTACGAGCTACATTTTCGTTCCTGCATCTTCAGTCCTGTCGACTTCCACGTCATTTCCCCAACTTCCCCAAACATGGCCTGTACCGGCGTCCCGTTTGGAGTTTGCGGAGGCCTACCGTGGATAGGAACGGTGTGAATCCGCCTCAACGACTGAAGCTTCGAGAAGCTCAGACTTACGCGCTGTTCCGACGGCACTGGATGCTACCGCTGCCACTGCCGTAGTCCTCCCAGCCACTTAACCTCTCGGGAAAAATCCGTGGGGTTCAGATTTGAGATGCCGCTAACACCCTCGTCCAGCAAGGTGAGTGAGAGAATCCGAGTTGTTGGAGACAGCTTCGGCTATTATCATGTGTAACGAGCAGAAAATCTGCCTCGACACGAGTATGTAAGACGTGCTCGGTCGCCTGGAAGTCTGTGGCCGACTTTCCCAGCTGTTGAACAAACCATCCAAGAGATTAACACGAGCACATGATGAAGACCCTTGGGTTCGTCGCACTTACATTCGCAGCGGTCGCGGCAGCGCAGCAGCAACCGCCGGGGATATCACAACCCATCGTGGAAGATTGTGGGTTCGACGGCTCGGTGGTGTGTGTGAACAGATATGTGAGTGCGATATCATCAGCAATGCTGTACCAAGAGGCCTCGTCAGACCCGCTGAACATCAGCCCAGGCAGCCGTGCTCCCTTACCACTTCAACCGGTCGATCACGTCCCTGGCCGCGGACTATGACTTCCGCAATACGAGCGTGCCCAGCGCACCGAGTTTCGCCCTCCTGGAGAACGCGAGCTTCGTCGTCTTCGACCGCGCCCGCGGCCTGCAGTATCTCGGCTCCGACCCGACGTACGAGTTCATGTTCGCGGTCGGGGACAACGTGCATGAAGCGCCCGTCTACGTGCCGGAGCTGAACAAGCTGTTTATGTCGCAGCTCCCGCCCGTCGCAGCCCCCATCTCCACCATGTCGCAATACCTCCCACAGCTGGTGATCGATCTGAACCGCCAACCGCTCACCCTGGAAGAATACATCACCGAGCCCCCGATCTTCGCCCCCAACGGCGGCGTCTACCACGACGGCCGGATCATCTGGGCCTCGAGCGGCGGGTTCAACAACTCGGTGTTCAACGGCACGGAGCAGCGCATCGCCCTCCACGCTGTAGACCCGACCACCAACGCGTCGACGGTGCTGCTGAACAACTATTTCGGGTTCTACTTCAACAACATGGACGACGTGGCCGTGCACCCCACGTCCGGAGACCTCTTCTTCACGGACCCAGACTACCCGTGGTTCAACGGGCGAGTGGACACGGCGCCCCAGCTCCCCACGGCGAGTTATCGCTTCAACCCGGCCACGGGCGCGACGTTCCTGGTCGACGACACCATCGACCAGCCCAACGGCATTGCGTTCTCGCCCGACGGGTCTACGCTGTATATTAGCGAGACGGGCGCCCTGACGGGGAGTATCGACCCGGCAGTCGGGCCGGGGACAAAACACTACAACACCACGGGCAGGCGCTCGATCTACGCGTTTGACGTGGCCGAAAACGGCACCAAGATCAGCAACAAGCGTGCCTTTTACCTGGCGCAGGATTACATCCCCGACGGGCTGAAAGTCAGTCGTGAGGGCCTGGTCATCACGGCGACGGGCCATGGCGTCGACGTGCTCGACCCGACGGGCCAGCTCGTGATCCGCGTGCAGACAAACCATTCGGTGCAGAACGTCCAGTTCACGGGCGAGAGGCTAGATACGATGTGGATGTTGGGCAACAAGGGCATCAGTCGGGTGCATTGGAACATTACGGGGCAAGTGCCTAGGTAGGTAGGTACGTGCGTACGCTAGGCAGCAGCATGGCTCTTTTTCCGGGACGGGACTGTAGCTTGTTTTATCCATAAACTTGGCCCGAGATATGCTGCTGCGTAGATGCCGACCCTCTCTTTTCCGCTCAGATGCCCAGATGCAGCGGACTCGGACCTTGTGCAGTCCCCAAAGTGGTCTCGAATTGGAATCTCCACTGTTCAACAATTTCCCTGTTCACCTCAAACTTTCCAAACTGCGTCAATGCGACAGACTGATCTGCCCACACGTTTGATCCCGGCACGGTAGCATTGACGCCCGTTCTGGTAAATGGCAGTCCTGATGCTGCCACGACTGTAGATTGGTACTCATCACTCATGATCCAGTTCATGAAAAGCTTAGCGCTCTCGGGGCGTGGAGACGTGGCGAAAATCGCCCCGGTCTGCGGCCACATGACGTGAGGATCTGAGGTGGGTCCTTGTGCCAGATGTGTCGAGTTGATCAGGTTGGTGGTGAAAGATAGAGCGGAGGTAGAATTGCCCGCGTTCAGCAATGCGGCCGGTGTCCCTGTACCGCGTACCCAGCGCACATTCTGTCGTGTAAGAGACTCAAACCATGACCAGCCGTAGCGACCGATGATAAGAGAGAAGAGATAGGCGACGGCATCGTCATCATGTGGGTAAACAAGAACGAGCTTGTCCTTCCAGATTGGATCAAGGAGTTCGTTAAAAGTGGTGGGCACTTGAGAGATGTTGACCAAATTTTGGTCATAAATCATGGAACCGAATTGACCTGCGTGTTGGAGCAATAATCAGTCTTGATCGGCTAGCGAAGGCTCCTACAGGGAGTATCCTACCCAGAAAGGCGCCCACAAATGCACCATCGGGATCTTTGACGTTCGGGTAGATGCTGTCCCATGTTGCAGGCTTGTAGGGCAGAAGTCGGCCCTGGCGCTTCCATCGGTCAAAATCTTGCAAGGTCTGCAAGAAGGCTACGTCCGCTCCGTCTGAGCCAGACATTTGGAACTCGCGGTCGACGCGGCTGTCATGATATTTCGAGACATCCACGGTTAGGTTGAGCTTGATGCGAGGAAATCGTGCTTCCCAGGCCGCAATGGTGGGTGCCCCCTGAGCCAAGGCTTTCAAGAGTTAGTACCAGCAGGAAGAGGTTCGTCATGTATGATGTGAATCACTTACCGTCGCCGCCCCAGAGAACGACCAAGTCGCCAGTCTCGTTTTGGGCCAATGCGTACTGCTCATCGAGAGTTCGTAAATCAATGGCCGGCTCTGACCCAGGGAAGGACGAGATAACCCCTGCGAGGACCGTCACCAGGAGAAGCGATGCCGAAAGTAGATGAGATATCTTCATATTGTTATGATATAGGTATGTGCGGTCGAAGGCGGTGATTTCTTGTGGAGCGAAAGGAGGAATCCAGAAGTTTGGTTTGGATGTCAAAGCCGGCTCTTCAGAGGCTTAATGAATATATATTCATTGTAATTTTACCATTGAGCAATGGAGTGCCGGAGTCTCTCTTTGTAAGCACTCAACGCATACACGCACAGATTTATGAGGTAACGTTGCCGTGACTGTACGGCGGCAGCATCTTGAGCCCGCTATTCGGCGATATTCCGTTCACTACTAGTGCTGATAAACCATGACCTCTCTCCCCTAGAAAGACAATTCCGCGCGTTGACAAAGGAATATGCAGCCCCAGCTGAGGACGTGTGCTTCGATTGAAGCGGAAATTGGAAACTCCTGCGCTTACATCAACAGGAAGTTAAGATGACATTTCTCCTCTCCTGGAGCCTACTGATCCACGTCATGTCGCGTGGCTGAAATACACCATATTTTGCTTGTTAACAAGAGCGTATCGTCAGACACAAGACACAGTACTCGCTTTGACGACATGCCCTCTTTCAACTCTGTTATTTTCTTTTTGATGTAGAGAACCGCATGTAGGAATCCCATTTGCGCGTAGGCAGCAAGGCTCTAATGTTCGCGCTGTTCTTCGAGTCGGGTTCCGCCGAAGGGCTAGCGGGGCGCATTAGCGTAAGGTAGGTGTCACGAACCGGTGCAGACATACGTCGACAAGGCTGCGCCTAGCCACGACGAGTCTGCATAGACAGATGGCCGAAAGTGGCAGACTTCTGTCCCGCACTCTGATTGGCTGCGCACTGTCCCGGTACAGCGGCGCCTGACCTGATTGACTGGAAGCCTGGGCAGGACTGCAACCCGTGGCATGCTGCAAGTCTTGGCAGTCCGAAGCATTTATTACTACAGTCCTGGCTCGAGCGACCTCGACCTTTCCCCTTCTCCCTAGCTTAGTCTCTACGTATTGAGCAATCCATGTCGTGGCAGAGCTCTTTCCGTCCCTTTACCGATGTGCCGTGCCGTCACAACAGCCAAGGCAAACAAACCTCTCTCTATCGCGATCACAACCACCTCTTCGCAGGGCCTTTACCTTTAAGCCCCAATGCACTTGAGCCGGACCTAGATGGCGCCGCTCCACGGGCTTTCCCAGGCAGTTGTTGCACCTAGCCGTGATCACTTATTCGACTAGATGGTGAGTGATCTTGGGATTTCGATGTGCAGCCACCAAAGTGCCAATTTAACTATCATCGTTCCTCTGCCCTTGGCGCCGGAGAAGAAGAGCACGATCGCGGGGAAGAGGCGTTAGAGGAGGATGAACGTCCGCAGGCGGTCCTCCGAGGTGGGTGGGCTCTGCAGGATCGGGTGGACGTCGACGCCGAGGATCCCGGCCAGACAGATCGCCTCGTCGGAGGGCCAGCTTGTCGACCGCCAGGTGACGGCTTGGAGGAGCATCGCTGCTCGGCTGGGCCCGGTCGGAGGAGGCCTCCTTGTACGCGTACAGCTCGCGGAGGTAGTTGAGGCCTTCCCATGCGATCTGCTTGGAGGGGGTCCATCTACTCTTACTATTACACTTACCCTTACTTGTACTCGTACTGGTAATGGTAGATGATGATGATGATGATGATGGGCCGCGATCATTGTGCTTATGCTCATGCTTCTGATTGTGGCTGTGGCTTGAGCGGCACTGTAATCCCCACGCCGCTGGGGGCTGGAGGAAAACTTGATGACAAGCTTCGCGTATTCAGCACCGCTCACATGCGGCTCATGGATAATGCCGGAGAGAGGCGAGTTGCCAAGCACGGGGAACACATAGAGTTGGTGCTGAATGTCATGCAAAGAAATGAGACCGAGATCATATTGAAGATCGAAGAGGCAAGGAAACTGCTCGGCAGCGAAGATGAAAGGACCAAAGTGAACAAAATTATCCTGCATCTGGCGACCGAGAAGTAATGTATCAGTTTGTAGGCGCTGTGATCAATACATGGATTGCCCCGTCACTTGAACCTTTCGCTTACTTACTTCGCCAGCAACAAGTGCAACACCCTCTAAGAGAGAACGATGCGCAACTCCACACCACTCGGACGCAGTCTCGTCTAGAAGGAAATCCGCCGCACGATGCCAGTCGGTATCTCTGTGGTTGCTCACAAATCCCCTCTTCTGCACAAGCATAGCCACAGTGGTGGCGTACGATAACAATACCGGACCTTCTGTCGCCCATGCAGACCCCGTATAGTGCTCAAACTGATGGTCCCACGTCTGGAGACTGGCAAAAGCGGTTCTTACCAGGGAGCTTTTGCTTGTCGAAAACCTTTCTGGCTGTCCATTGAGGAAGTCCTCGACGCAGGCGTGGAGGTGGCTTACTGACTCATCGTACGTGCATTTATCGTGATTCTCGATAGGGTTGTGCACCAGGAGGGACAGCGCGGCCATCACTTCACGGCACAGTTTGACAGGCGCTGTAAAGCGGAATCCTGTCAGGAAAGCGGGCTCGATGCACGAGGCGATGTAGTCATCCGTCGTGCGATTCTTCCCGAGTTCACACGTCCGCCACTCGGCCAGCAACTTGGCACCACTTGCTCTATGGAACATGGCTCGCGTATGTCGATTGTCGAACTGTTCATACAGCCAGAGAAGCATGCAGACCAGCAAGGTGACGTGCCTGACAGGCTTGGAACGAGCAACAGTACTGATAGCCTTGCTGTAATGAAAAGTGGGTGAATGATTTGTCCATGCTGCAGTGCTAGTCCCGCGCAAAGACGCACACATTGTGGCGAGGGCAATCATCGACTCCAGAATTGCTGGATGTGTCCATACGGCTTGAGGGAGCGTCGTGGTGAAGAACGACCCGGTTTTGCTGTATGCAACTTTCGGGGCGGCCACCTCGAGGAAGTATCGAAGGGCTGCTAAGTGCCTCCTGTCAGCGCAAGAAGGCATAAACCTGGTCAAAGACCGATCAGTGACAGGCGCGACATGCCGCAACATGTCCACGTGGTGGATCGATAATGGTGCCGACCGAGAGACGGTGCTGGCCGTAAGGGCCGGCTGACCCTTCCTTCGCTGTGATAAATTCGTAGACCCAGGTGTGCTTCTCAGGGACGTTGATGATGGCGGCAGATGGTCTGCCAGCATTGTCGCCGTTTCGACAGTTTGAATCTCTCCTGCAACATGCTTCGCCGTGCGTTTGGTGTGCTCTTTGTTGGACGTTGCAGCGGGCGACTGGGAGATCCAGACCATGGGAACCTCATATTGGCATTTGGTCTGTCGTTTTATGCATCTCTCGCAGATCGGCTTGCTTTCATCGCATTTGACTCGTGCTTGCTTGCAGGATTGACAACCAGTCCTCACTTTGGGAGAGAAGGTTCTCTTCTGCCGTTGACGGACGTGCTTGAACTTTCCCAACATCCCATCCATCACGGCTCTCAGGGAAATAAGCGCCACTTGCTTCCGCAGTATGGCCGGATGGGTCGATCATTGTGAAGTCATGGACATTTGGCGCAACACCTCCTTCTTCTGGGAGCGAGAAACGGGTATTCCCCCGTAGCGGTGGCTCAGTGGTGCAGCAGCTAAAATGTCCACCTCTATGGGTTTTCTCGTTCTCGACCAGCGAAGATCAGCGATGCTGTCAGACTCACAGCGTGTCTGACTGGGGGGCCTGAAGGTCAAGACCTGGCAGTCTTACACAATCAGTCATACTTCCCGTGCTACAGTACCCCTTTTATCACCTGTTCAGAGCCCTGCGGCCTTTCGAAAGTATCACTGCTGGCCGGCGGTCAATGTAATGACTGGCCGAGACGCGAAATGTCAGTCTCTCTCTCATCCCAAAGGGAGAAGAGTCCAGCCTCGTCGAGACACCCTGGACCTAACTCCTGGTATGCGACAACCCTCCGTTCGACTTCGCCATGTGGCCTGAAACTATCGTTTGGCTAATGTAGATGTTTCTCATACACATTACCGGGGTAGACGTGCTGTATGGACTGACGATGATCGGGTGGGAGGATCGAATATTCTTCGAGGGCTTTGGCATTCGGGGTCCTGGCACATAAAACGCATGATTGATAATACTTGAGGATAACGAATCAACTATGTACTTGATGATTCCGAACTGCCATGCACAGCGAGTCTGGTCTGCAGGGAAGGTATCCTCAATCGTCCAACCCGTGATCATCGACGACTCTCTTCCTCCGCCGCTCGGTCGAGAACACCGTGCTCAGTATTCAGGGTACGAAAAGGCTAGATTTCCCCTTATAACTATAAACCTATCTTTTCATGAAATTCCCCACAAGCTTCTGTTCAAAAGCAATAGGCATTACTGGTCCAACTCGAAGCTAGGATTCAACCAAGGAAGATTTGCAGGCCCATAGGAGTGCAGCAACGTTCCAGTGACCCAATTCGTCTTGACAACTCTTTGAGACTCTGTCAATACCATCAGCATGAAATCTGCGCAAGTTTATACCCACGGCGCCAACCACATTGGAGTTCGCCTTGTAGACCTTCCAACTCCACAGCCGTTGCCAGTCCAGGTTCTCATCAAGGTCGTCGTCTCCGGCACCAACCCTAAGGACTGGAAATACCCAGTCCTATTCAACGGTCCGCAAAACGTGAATACAGGCGATGATATTGCTGGATATGTCGAGGCGGTGGGTCCCAACGTCACGGAGTTCAAGGTCGGCGATCGTGTGGGGGCGTTCCATGAGATGACGACGGAGCACGGTTCGTTTGCTGAGTATGCCATCGCGTGGGAAAAGTCTACGTTCCACCTACCCAAGCAGACGTCATTCGAGGAGGCAGCCACAGTACCTCTAGCAGCTATGACGGCGGCTCTGGGGCTCTTCTGTTATTTGGGCCTACCTGAGCCATGGGCCACGGTGTCTCAGGCTCAAAAGGATGCGCTCACTGGTGGTGTCGTCGTCTACGGCGCGGCCTCGGCAGTAGGCGCTTTTGCGGTGAAATTGCTCGCGAGGGCGCAGATCCACCCAATCATATGTGTTGCAGGCCGAGGGATTCCCTTTGTCGAAAGTCTGCTCGATAAATCCAAGGGCGACACCGTGATCGACTATCGCACCGGCGACGAGAAAGTCGTGGAGGGTATTCGGAGCGCCATCCCGCATGGCGGTAAACTTCTATATGCGTTTGACGCCGTGAGCGAAGGTACTAGCTCTCAGAATATTGCCCAAGCACTCGATGCTTACGGCAAAATCACATTTGTTCTCCCGGGCGAGTTCCAAGATATTCCACCGACGGCGACGAAAACCATCACTCTCGTGGGAGCCGTACACGGGAACCCCATCGCTGGATCTGCAGAAGACTTGAGTGACTTTGGGTATGCTTGGTTCCGGCTGTTTGGCTTAGGACTGAAAGAAGGATGGTTCACTGGGCATCCATATGAAGTCATCCCGGGCGGGCTGAATGGCGTTCAGACCGGCCTGCGGAATCTGAAGGCCGGCAAGGCGAGTGCCGTGAAGTATGTTTACCGCATTGCTGAAACAGAGGCATTGGGTCCGTAGGGAGGTGTGAGGAGCAGGTGGCCTGCTGACAGAGCGGTGAAATATGGAACCAGAACTTAGAGTAGCACGAGCGACAGAGTGTCAGCGCTCACGCCTGTGGTTATGTCCTGCATCTACTCTCGGCGGCCCACGAACCTTGGCTGCACAGCTCAATGTAGAGATTTCAAGTCATGCAAAGAACTGCTCGAAAAAATGTGGGGACGCTGTTTCTACTCGGATGCCAGGCCTCCCTGTTGTCATACAAGCTTGACATGTTTTGTAATGGGTTCTGGTCTGAGTATGGCTAGAGATCTAGGACGAGAGATAGCACAAGGCGGTTATCCCAGCAACACCACAAAGTGTCAAAAGGGCTGAAGTGAGCGTACACAATAATATAAGTGAAGTTGAGTGGAGGTGAAGCTGTGAAGCTGAGGTGACGCTGAATGCAGTTGGTGACCGCCAAGCAACTTCCGGATTCTGCAGACCATCAACAAAGTAGCCTGCGCTGCGCTTCACTCGGACCTCGACAACCGCCCGTAGACAGACACGACAGTGTGCGAAACAACCATGTCAGGCTAACATTTCGACAGGTAAGTCCTCGCCTGCTTTTTTGATCCGGTAAGTACCTCCATGTCCTCAATTCTGCGACCCTTCAGCTGAGTCTCCGGCAGTTTCGATACGGCAACATGTCGACGACAACAACCTCCCTCGTCCCCTCGCCCCTCAGTTCCAGCTACAACACGGCTCTGCAGACGACACAGAAAGCCGCGGCACAAGCCTCGCAGGCAGTCACAGCTGCCACAAGTCAGGTCTCGCAGCAAGCGCAGAGCCTAGGCTTGACGACACCAAAGCCAGCCTCAGTGTCAACGCCGGCCTCGACACCAGGCAAATTCAGACACCCGTTAACGACGGAAATCTTAAGGCGGAACGCTTCCTCCACTATCACCGAGCGGCATGTCAAGGGCGCATTGACAAACGCTGCGGCTCTGCTCGCCTCTTTCATTTTTAGCGATGTATATTATAGCAGGTCAGTTGGAGCCGGGTTCTTGATGCAGGTACAACTGATAACCGTTCTCAGCGTCACTCCTCTGCTCAGCAAGACGGGACTACTCGACGGCTCGCAGGTTTCGTCGACCGTCCTCCTCCTTCTCCGTCTCCTCTTTTGCATCAACATAGCGCTCCTCCTCCGCCCGGTGTTACCCTATGCCCCTGACCGGGACGAAGTCAACGATATTCCCTTGACGCCATCTCAACGACAACTGTTGGGTTTGGCGCCTTCGACCAAATCAACGCCCGCTTCAGGAGAGTTACCGGCAAGCTACATCACACCTCCGCGTTATCGACGTGTCTCGAACTCCCAATTCTCTGGCGAAGGCAACAACGGCTCGCCACATGCGTCGACCGGCCGCCGCAGTATTTCTGCAAACTACTCTTCCTCCCCGCTCTCGACATCCCGATTCATGCTCGGCTTCTCACCCACGCCTTCCCAATCCGTAACTGCGCGTCGCACAACTTCCGGCTCACCATTCTCCGGCTCACCTTCGGCAAGCCCGCTCTTCCACAGGGCAATCAACAATCAATCTCAATCGCAGATCTCTGACGTTGACTACAACGCGAGCGCATATTCCTCACTCGGCACCAGCACAAGCGCAACCACTCTCCCCGGCTTTGGTGGCGGAAGCCTAAGTCGATCACAGAGCATGCGCGAACGACAGCGGCCAGGACGAGATAACCTGGAGCCGACTTCGCCTTCTCCCACAAGAGGACCTCAAGTCGTGCCTGGATTGAATTACAAGTGGTTATATGACAAGGGGAGGAAACTGCCGAAGACCGAGTCAAGCTATGGGTTTTAGTCGCCGCAATTATTCCGTTCCATTGCAATGCAGAATATACCTCTAGAGTTGGATGTGGAGAGTCGGTCCATAGAGCGGTTCGTTACACTTGACGCAAATGCGCACGGTATACCACAGCACATCGCCGTGCTGATTTTCACTTCCCTGACCATTCATTGCCCTCCCCTGTACTCGTAGTGGCTAGGAGCTGGAGGATGTAGGGCCGTGATATGAGATATGGACTACCTTTCAGCATGGTACAGTTCGCTCGTATTGGCCGTGCAATGCATGTATTGAGTGCTTAGGATTTCGACTGATGAACAGCGGATAGTGCTACTGAGATGCCCACATGAACAACGCTTACCGCCGTCCTTTGAACCTGGTTAGTGGCCGGAGCGACACTGACATAATTACCCGGAGACTGACATTCTGAAGGACTATGGCAGGCAGGTACGGAGTACCCACCACCTTTCTACTCGTACTGCTACGAGTACCACTAGCTCAATCTCTGCGCGTCGGAACATTTTCCGCGCCCCGTAGAGAGATTCCCCCCCCCCCCCCTTTCTCTCTCTCTCACGCCTCTACCGTCCCGCCCAAGTCACTGTGCACGCAGTACTCGTACTGTTACCCTAAGGGGGGAAACCCTGTTCGAACAGTCCTCCCGACTCCAATGTGTTTCACGATGTGTGTAGCACCTCTGGTTCACCACATGCGCAGTATTGTGGCTGAGTGAATAGAAGTCATGTTCTCCTTATCCTGACGTGTGTGCGTGTGTAATACTGTACTCCGTATGCCTGACCAGCTGAAAAGCTACCTCCAGGTTGACCGCCTGTCCCGCCTGTCCCCAAGTGCATTTCATAATCTCATAAACGACAAAAAGCCACCCATATCTACAAGACCGTGGGGGAATTCCATATGTTCATCCATTTGTAGCCCTTGAGCACCTTTATCAAACGTCACATCACTCTCAACAACTCTTCCCAAACCGCCGATCAAAGTCCCGCAATACAGCCATGACATTGGCCGCGTCAATCTCTAACGCAGGTCGTCCTTCGACGTTTGTGCCCGGCTCCGTGGCGTGTAATTTGGGCAGCCACTCGCCTATCTCTCCCGCTGCACGCTCGTAAGCGGGATGGCGGGAGAGGGTCGTGTATGCGTCGGCACATGTCAGGGTCACACCCGACGGCGCATGTTGCACGGCCTGAGGTAAAGGGAGGGTCACGGCGGCGGCACGGGACCGTGTTGTACGGGTCGAGCCGCGCAGAGAGACCACGCTGGTCGAGGTGGCTCGGCAACACGAACTACCCGGTGTTTGTGCACCGCAGCATCCCGAAGGTGTGGCCGTGGATTGAGCCCGTGACGCAGCGAGCGACTTGCAGAAGAGTGTGCTGTTGGGATCGGCACGGCACTGCGCGCACGTCCCTGGTCCTGATGCACCACATCCAGACGTTCCTTCTGCTGCCGTGACCGAAACGGGCATAGAAACATCACCCTCCGAGGGAGGTGGCGTAAACTGATCGAGTTGTCGCGCGGCGGCTCGACTGATACTACTTACCGCGGTGGCATTGCTCTGGGCCTGTTGTTGCTCCTGCTCGGCGGCGACTTCCGCACAGATACAAGGTGTTCCATCCGAGCAGAAGCCACAGGGATCCGCTACCGCAGAAGTTGGGGAATTGATTTCCTCTCTTCCAGCAGCTGTTGCTGGAGATTTGGAAGAGGTATAGATGCCTGTGAAATCAATTTCTAGACACTCTCTGGGTTCGAGCTTGATTCGTTTATCTGTGACTGAGGTGTGCGAGGGCGAATGCGGGCGTTTTTCGTGCTGGTGCACTGAGGCACTGTTACCAGACATTGCTGCGAACGCATCGTCTATGCATTGGCAGCGGGTCTCCAAGGTGCAGTTCCCGCAGCCAATAGAGGTGTCGCTGGCGGCGGGATCAGACTTGTCCTGTGTGGATGTTGTGGGTTTCGAGGTGGAAGTTGGCTTTTTGAAAGCAGCCGATTCACTTTCCAGTTTCCGGCATCGATCAATCCAGAGTGTCAGATCTGTGCGGCATTGTTCAAGTTCCTTCCGCAGCTTGTCCACTGTTGTTCTTAGGACTTCTTGCTCATGTTCATTTTCCTCTTCGATTTGTTTCAGTGTCTCTTCCAGTTCACCCACTCGGGCGGCGCGTCGCTCTCGGAATGCTCTTTGGGCTGCTCTGTTCTGCGCTTTCCGTTTGGTAGGAGGTGTATCCGTTGCGGGCTTCCGACCCGGCTTCGGTCGCGGTGGCACGACCCATTCTTTCGTTGTGAGAGATAGTGGTGCCGAGCTGGCGGTAGCAGGTGGAGAACAAGCGGGCGGAGTCTGAGCGGGTTTCATACATAGCGACGGCTGTCTGGTGATTGTCGGTTTCACATCGACCTGAGCAGCACCTGGAGATGCTGCCATAGGGGAGGCAGCTTTGGAGGCCATCGCTCGTGCGAAACAGGCGATTCCCAATTAGACCGAGGCTCGCTGCTCGGAGCTGACCATGTATGATGTGTATCTCCTGTCGCTGACGGCGTGCTGCCGACTGTGATCCGAACGGCAGCAAAGGCTGGACTGGCCTAGTGGCGGTCGCGCAACCGGTTTTCTGTGTCTGTCGTGAGAGCGAACAGGTGATTCGAGCGTCTTGAGTCAGTCGAGGTTGAGATGATATCAAATTTTATCAGATTAGATCAAAAAGAGGGCATGACCGATAATCGGCCTTGGCAGCGGGGCTCGAAATTATCAGATCAAGCATATCAGGTCAGACCACCGTCGGCGCCAAGTGAATACATCGGGACGCGGTGAAAAGTAGCCGTGCCATTTCGACTGTCCGCCGGTCCGAAGTATCTAGTGCTCAAAGACAAGCTGAGTAGAGAAGGGGTATCTCGAATGTCGCCTAAACTCCCTGCTGTATGCCACAATGTCAAGCTCGAACTTCGTGTACATGCCGAGAGTGTCTCGAGTCATGTGACTTTCCAGCTCCCAGATCAAAATTTACCACCATGACCACCGGCCTCAGATGTGGCTGCTTCTGTGCCACTTTGCAGGCCTCCTACAAATGATGTTCCCCAGACGCCAATCAAGCCCCAGAAACCGACTCGCCAGCCACGGTAGAGCCCTTCGATACCCTGACCCTTTCTCTTCCGTCGAGGGGCTTTACCCATCAATGCAGCAGTCTTGTCCTTTGGACTTTCTGAAAACCCTTCTTCCCTTGTGATGCTCCAGATGGTTGGTAAGATGCCGCGATAGGACTGGGGCACTGGGACAATGGTGGTGATGGCCTTGCGTTTCGAAGACGCAGTTGGTGGTGAATGTGCAGGTGAAGTCCAAGTGGCAATCTGTGCTCGACGAAGGACTGTCTCGAGTGGGAATTTGATAGACAAATCCAGAGCGGAACCTAGAAATGTCGCAACACTCCAACTAGCAGGGTTCATAGCAGGATCCAACCCGAGATATGACTTCAGCACTATTGGAGTGCTCGTTGATATGAGTGTAGGTAAGGTCGATGTGAAGAAAGTTATGGGGAGAAGGTGAGCAGGGATTAGATAAGGAGTAGGCAACGTTTGCAATGTCCCTAGTAGGGTGCGAGGTCCTTCGGTGGAAGGAGTAAGGATCAATCGTGTTCTCGCTGCGTCGATTGGTGCGAGCACCCATGCTGACAGCACGGCCGCAGCAGTGCTAATGAGAATGGTGGCGGCCGGAGTCGTCGAGGTAAGTATCGAAGGATCTGGAACTGCACCCCCGGCCGAACCAGAGAGAATATCGTTCTCCGATACAGCGAATACAGCCGCGAGGAAGCCCTTGAAGAACGTCTCCAACGTCCGATTTAGAATATTGTAGACGAAAGTTGAGTTTGTGGCCCGCCACATTGCCAACGCTCCGCCATGTGACGATAGGGCTGAGAGTGTTTCGAGTAGTGAATGAGGATTTTTGAGATGAATTCGACCACTAGAATCATGACGACGGTCTGCTGCTCGAGGTGAGGCGATCTCCCGAGGTGGTCTACCACGGCGACCGCGCGCTGGCGAACGGCTCGATGAGAGTGGCTCAAACGGCGCCGTCGAAGTGAAATAATTTGGCTCGTCATCCGAGGAGTGCTCCTCATAATCATTGTAGCCGTTCAGCTTGTGTTCATCCTCGTATTGGTATCTGTGCCCATTTCGTGGCTTTTCCTCGTCTTCTTCGTCATCCTGTGCAACGCGTGTCTGCAGAATGACCTTCGCGACCTCAAATGGCTGTCCGAGCACTACGGTTGTGTATTTCCAAAAGGCTTGGTCAATATATGACTTTATCGACCCCGTGAGAGATGGCGATGCTTCCGGGATGTAGTCTGCGTAGTCAATGTCGGGAAACGTGAATCCAGAACCCTTGCTGCTAGGCTTCGGGACGCTGGAGGTCGCATTTGGTAAGGCGTCAGTACCGATGGAAGGAGGAACATAGTATGGCCTCAACGGATTTGGAACATATTGCCTCGAGTCCTGCATCTCGCGAGACTGGAGAAGTGATGTGCACAGTTAACCACAGCTCTTGTGTGCGCTGGCTTGAACAGTTCCCGAACACAAGGTGATGGATGTCGTAATGCTTGCACGGCGATTTACGGTGCAGCAAGCAACTATCTGAACGCAGTTCTTGTCATTTTAAAGTCGACGTCATCTGAATGTTGCACGAGTGCTCACCTGTGCTGGGTTGATGCGACCTACGTACACGGTATTGCGTATATGGCTAGCAACCATAGGAAGATCGAGATCAGCGAATGGTCACAGTTTGCACCTGCTAAACGATGCTGGATGCGTCGAAGTTGCGCGCGGCGTGTCAGCCCAGATATCACGGACACCGTCTGCACCAGAGATCACAATCCTGCCATGAAGACACTCCTGTCCCCTACCATTAACACAACCTATTAAAGCCTGTCTCCTTCTATATCGGCCCTGAATCTGGTCACGGCATCCTCCTATATTTCTGAATGTGGTTCGGAGTCGAAGGAGGCAGGGACCGTCCTCACCCGAGAGACTTGTCGCATGGCAGGTGTTCCTCATTTGCAAAACAGAACCTCTTCCTGAACCCTAAGTCAATGCCTGGAAACCTAGGTACAAAGGTTCGCATCTGTTGACTGCTTTTTCCGCTGCAGAGACTACAAGCCTGGTGCTGCTAGGGGAGAGCATTTCTCGCACAAGAATCTGTAGCTATCCAGAATCTTTAAATCTAGTAGACGGTTGTCCATCAGACAGAACAAGGAACCAGGAGGTTGTCGATCAGGAAACCCACGTCTGAATCGACGACAAGCTAAGGAGGCAAGGCGGCTGGCACCATGGCAGCGAGCTGCAGAAGTCACATACAGATCCCGCCCCATGTACTCCGTAGACAAGTCGGAGCCAGGCAGCAGCCCCCAATGATCGTGGAAGAATGAAGATGCGGGATGGCGCCATTGACCCTCCGCAATCTTGCAAGCAAACTTTATGAAACACACTGGAGCTGCTGCGTCTTCACACCTACACGCTCACCAACTTGCTTTGTTTGTTGTTCGGCTTTTGAACAACGACAGCCTCGGTGACTGTGCATTAAAAGATATACCAACTTCAACGGAGAACGTAGGCGAAGTGTATGTGCTTCCTCATTCGGTTACTGAGTTCCCCTGCACCTCCATGTTCGATGTTACCTTGCCGTGCTTGTCAATCTGCTGGATTGGGTGCCTACCCTTTGATCTTGCTAGGCGTTTCATCAAGATCCAAGTCGCAAAAGCCACCCCGGTCTTGAGAGATCACAAGAGTCTGCCTCCAGCTGCAAAGCCAGGATCTACTCCAACTGAACCTGTCAACAAGGGAATCCTTACTTAAAACTGTCCCGAACAACGAAGCTTGGAAGTGCTCTAGCTCTACTGCGGTGGCGATGTGCCTCAGATTGCAGGCTCAAGCCATTCCTAGCTCCCGTCAGACGCAGTGAAGCGTCTGTTCACCATCAAGGATTATCAAGAGAAAGGGTTGGTTCCCCGAACAAAGATGAGAGAAGAAGTGAGCGTCCAGGCACGCTGCTATATTGACCGTCGACTCCGGCCTGGCCAAACTTCGAACATTCTCACATGCTGGTTCATTTGGACAAGCTGGGCCGGGCTCGAGTCCCCATTTCCTTTCTAGACACTCGTTCTGTTATCCCAGGTTGTTCGATGCTCTCCCTTCTGTTGGCTTGTCTGATTTGCGCTGGTTTCGCAGCACCCACACTGGCTCAATCAGTCTTTGCGCACGTTATCGTAGGTAGTCGTGCCCGACTTTATGTTCTTGCAATACTGACACTCTCCAGGTCGGAAATACGTACGGTTATACACAGGATGACTGGGCCCGAGACATTGCAATAGCCTTGAATGCGAGCATCGACGGCTTCGCACTCAACATTGGCTATCTCGACACCATCGATCCTGCCGGCTTTGTCCAGGCGCAACTCGACAATGCATACCACGTGGCGGACGGAGCTGGGTTCCAACTATTTCTGTCGTTCGACTATGCCGCGCAGGGCGCCTGGGACCAGAACGCAGTGATCAAGACCATCACCAGCTACAGCTCGCGTCCAAGCCAGTTTAGATGGGTGGGGAGGCCCCTGGCGTCAACTTTCGAGGGTCCCGACAGTGCAGGCGACTGGGGATACATCAAATCTCAAACAAATTGCTTCTTCGTGCCGGATTTCTCCAGCCAGGGAGCATTGGGCGCTGCGGCCAAGTCCAATGTTGACGGTCTCCTGTCATGGAACGCGTGGCCCGAAGGTGCAAACGACATGACAGATGGCGATGACCAGGCTTATATCGCAGCTCTCAATGGCAGACCGTACGTCATGCCCGTGTCACCGTGGTTCTATACCAACCTGCCCCAGTGGTCCAAGAATTGGCTTTGGCGAGGGGACGATCTCTGGCATCATCGATGGCAGCAGGTAGCAGAGATTCAGCCGACATTCGTGGAGATCCTGACCTGGAATGACTGGGGTGAATCCCACTATATCGGTCCGCTTCCGCCTACTGACTCGGCAATCCCAACGGGCGCTGAACCATATGTCAAAAGCAACCCCCACGACGCCTGGCTGAAGGACCTACCACACTATATCGCGCAATATAGAAACACAACACGACCTGATGAAAGCCACGTCACTTTCTGGTACCGCCTGAACCCCAGCAACTCGGGCTCGTCAGGGGGCACGACTTGCAACACGCCCAGTTATCAGACTCCATTTCCTCCGCATGAGTGTGTAGCTGATGCTGTCTTTTTTACTGCTTTCGTACCGGACAACGCCATTGCAACTGTGAATGTGACTATTGGCGGAGCAACGCAATCGGTCACGGCGACTGCGCCAGGCATCTTTCATTCTAGCGTGTCTTTTAATGACATACGTGATGGTGCTGTGTCTGTTGCTGTGAGTGCCAGCGATGGTACTGAGATTGGGCCAGTCAATGGTGCTGCCATCACGACGAACTGTGTGGGCGGCAAAGTCAATTGGAATGTTTGGGTGGGAGGTTCGTGACGAAGCGGAAGCATACAGTGCAGGCACTTTGTAATATTGCAATCCATTCCTATCCACAGTTGATCCGTCCGCACCTCGTACTCTGCAAGCAGATTGAGCTCGTCTAATTAACACTGTTTCTTGAGCTGGGCCGGAAATGCATCGGCCGAGAGCCAAGCAATTTGCGTCACTTCGCTTCGGCCGTTCGGACATGCGCTTTGGACTTTTTATCTCTTTCATACTCCAGCCATAATTTCCCTTCTCTGAGTGGCTGCGACTCTGACCGTCAGCTGGGGAAGAAGGGGCGCCCAGCATGTCCGGATGCAATGTGGCGAGGAGCCTCATCGGAGTGACTACTTCACGATGCCTGCGACCTTGTTCGACATCACAACTGCGACCGGGTGCGACTCGCCAATTTCAACGGCACCTGTCGCGCAATGCATCGTCGTTGGCACTGTTTCGACGCCATCAGTATGAAGTGAACGTCAAGAAAGATCAGATCAGAAGCTACATCCGCGCGCTGGAGATGGGTAGGCGGCGGTTCTCTACCAGCCCTGAGCGGAGCCATGGGCACATTGATCCTCCCAAACCGGGTGAGGAGTAGGTCTTGTCCACGAACAGGGAGGAAATGACATACTAAAGATGTGGTCAGGCTTCACGTTACCTTTATCGACAAAGACGGAACCGAGCACAAATTCGAGGTTTCCAAAGGCGACAACCTGCTGGATATAGCGCAGGCGAATGACTTGGAGATGGAAGGTACGTTGGCAATATCTTCTGTTGCTGTGATTCAGCTAAGAGGAAACCCTCAGGCGCCTGCGGCGGTTCCTGCGCGTGCTCTACCTGCCACGTAATAGTCGAGTCCGAAGAAATGTACGATAAGATACCCGAAGCCAGTGACGACGAAAACGACATGCTAGATCTTGCATTCGGCTTGACCGAGACATCCCGGTTAGGGTGCCAAGTCCAGATGAGCAAAGAGCTGGACGGGTTAGTGGTGAAACTACCACAGATGACGCGGAACATGCAGGCCTCCGACTTTGAGAAGCGATGAGCCAGCTTGGCTGCGGATAATAGACTTGTACAACACCAGAAGAATACCACCTTGCTCCTGGCTTGTTTGAACCGAATGGACCCATGCTCGGCGGTGACTATCATCATGACACGGGAGTGTTGCTCTTGATGTTCTTCTTTCCCCCAATCAACTCCAGAAACCCTTGCTTGCTAATTTCATTGACTTTCTCTTGTCGGTTGGCCATACCTATCGTGCCTTTCTTGCGCTCCTCTTTAGCAGCCTGCTCGGCTTTCACTTGCGCCGCGCGCACAGCATTGAAGAGCTTGACCACGCCTCGTTGTGCAATCTTCCGTAGCCTCTTTTCCTCCTCGGCAATGTCGCCGGCCTGTCCAGAGCTCAAGCCTAAAACGTCCTTAACCCTGCCTCGCTCGAGGTCTTCCTTGCGATCAGCCCGTAGCTTGGCTTTTGCCTTCTTCTCTAACCGTTCGTTGGCGAGAGCGGCACTTGTTTCGACGGCGTCTTTGCTCCGTGATAGGACGGGGTCTTTGCGGGCAGATTGGGAGAGCTTGGTGGATAGGATTTTTGATATCGAGGTAGAGAACGCTTGAGGGTCGTTGCGCTTGCTTGTGTGTTTTCTTCGGGAGACACCATGGGTCTCTTCCTCTCCGCCGTCCTCGACTGAACTTGCAGCATTCTCTGAATTTGCGTCTTCATCTTCCTCACGGGTCTCTTCATCGGAATCGTCCTTCGCCGCAACGGGCTCCGCTTTCCCGGGTCTCACTTGTTTCGCGTTCTTCGCAGGTAGCGAATCCTCATCGCTGTCTTCTAAGCTGACCGGTTTGAAGCCCTGATCCTCCTCCTCGGCTTCATCTTCGGAAGAACTGTGATATCCCCGCTGTTTGCGAAAACGTTTCTTGGGTCGATCGGTCTTACCACGGATACCATCTTCGACCTTGCGCTTCTTGGACGATAGCGGAGCCATATCAGACAAGCGGGCGTAGCGTGGATGAGAATGGTGCTGTATATACGGAGTGCTGAAGGAGGACCGACCGAAATTTAGTCCAGAATTTCTCAATATTTCTTGAACTGCTCGGCTAAACTGCGGCCTTTGTTCTCATTTCCCACTCAATTCCCCCACACATGGGTGTCACTGTGTTAAGTGCCACCTTGATACTCCTCCGTTCTCTGCACCCATACTCCATCCCATCACAATAACCAGCGGTCCAGTCAGGCAGGATGGTTCTCTCAGACCTCGGGCGACGCATCAATGCCGCCGTCACAAATCTCAACCGCGAAGCCAACCTCGACGAGAAGGCGTTCGATGCCATGATCAAGGAGATCTGTGCTGCCCTTCTGTCAGCCGACGTCAATGTCAAACTAGTCAAGAGCCTCCGCAGGTCAATACAAAGTGCCGTCAATTTCAAAGATATCCCTCCGAACACGACCGCGAACCAGAAGAAGCGGCTCATTCAACAAGCGGTCTTTGAACATCTTGTACATCTTGTCGACCCGCACGTCGAACCATACAAGCTGAAGAAAGGAAGGCCAAATGTCATTATGATGGTCGGCCTGCAAGGTGCTGGCAAGACAACGACGTGCACGAAGCTGGCGAGATACTACAGTGCTCGAGGCTACAAGGCATGTCTGGTTTGTGCCGACACTTTCAGGGCGGGCGCATACGACCAGCTGAAACAGAATGCCACAAAAGCAAAGATACCGTACTATGGCTCCTTGACACAGACAGATCCTGCTGTCGTAGCAGCGGAGGGCGTGTCGAGATTCAAGAAGGAGAAATTCGAGGTCATCATCGTGGACACTTCCGGAAGACACAGGCAAGAAGAAGCCCTGTTCGAGGAAATGGTCCTCGTCCAAGATGCCATCAAACCAGATCAGACCATCATGGTTCTTGACGGCACCATCGGTCAAGCAGCCGAATCACAATCAGCAGCTTTCAAAAAGACCGCGAATTTCGGTGCTCTCATTATCACCAAAACCGACGGTGGTGCTGCAGGAGGTGGTGCTATCGCCGCTGCTGCCGCCACGCATACTTCCATTATCTTCCTCGGCACTGGTGAGCATTTGTCCGATTTGGAAAGGTTCGACGCCAGGTCTTTTATTTCCAAACTTCTGGGTTATGGAGACATGAGCGGTCTGATCGACCACATCCAAACCATCAGCAGAGAATCGGCGGGCATCAAGGAGACGCAGAAACACTTGGCCGAAGGCATCTTCACCATCCGAGACATGAAAGAGCAAATCACGAGCATCATGAAGATGGGGCCTCTATCCAAGATCGGCAGCATGATTCCTGGAATGAGTGGTCTCATGCAAGGCATGTCCGACGAGGATGGCTCCGAAAAACTCAAACGAATGGTCTACATCTTTGACAGCATGACCGCCAAGGAACTTGATTCAGACGGCAAGATTCTACTATCTCAGCCGTCACGAATGGTTCGAATCGCCTGCGGCTCTGGAACCAGCGTGAGGGAGATTGAGGAACTGCTTACGCAGCATAAAGTGATGTCCAGTGTGGCCAAAAACATGGGCCAGCAGAAGAAGAATATGGCCAAAGCGAATAGTATGTTGCAAGGTGGTAACAAGCAGCAACAGTTCGCAGCGATGCAGAAGCGCATGCAGAGCATGGGTCAAGGAAGGGGTTTGCCCGGTGGTGATATGGGGAAGATGATGGAAATGGTAAGTCGAAATCCGCTGCTGTGTTTCTGACGCCGACCGGATCTAACTGTCGTTGCAGATGCAGTCAATGGGATTGGGCGCGCCCGGACAAGGAGGGATGGAAGCTCTTATGAACAGCATGGGAGGAATGTTCGGAGGTGGTGCCGGTCGGGGCAGGGGAAGATGATGTCCACTCAACGAGGATGGTTGATGATTTAACGGCATCAATGACGTGACGACTCACAGACCAAGGCGTGCACCCAACACGCCACACAGGAACTGCTAGCTACAAAAAGGCCTTCAAGATCAGCTGGATTTGCGGCCATGACATTGCGGCTATGGCAGAATATCGCCAGAAACTCGTTCACCGCCACAAGGCCACTTCCCGAAACACGGCCCGCCAATCATTTCCGCTAGCTGGAGCAATTTACTACATTCTCGGAAATGTCGGATTACACCGAATTGAAGAACCGGGCCTGCCCCAAACTACCTCGACTAACAAGCGTCGGAAACATGCCGAGTCCATGTGTCAGGTCAGATGTACATTCGAAGACTGACCGGGCGCTCATCGATACCGCTTATCAAGTAACCTAGAGCTTGATTTTCGGCGCCACAACATTCAGTCGAGACATCACAAAGCCACAATACACCAGCTAAGTCTTCAGAAAGGAGGTCCGAAGCCCGACAGAGACAGCGGCAAAGTTGGCCAAAGCTTATCCGAAACATAAAACGAGACGCCTGGAGGAACAATGGTAAAGCCACCTTCCGACAAGGCCTGTGGTTGCGCATACGCATATTTTGTAGTTGGGAAAGCAACACCAGGCATCATTGTCTATGAACCTGGTTGTGCTTTGGAAATGTGCTCTTCGCAGAGCATCAGACTATGATAGTGACGGCTGGAGTCTGCCAGAACTCAGAGGCTCTCTAAGGTATATCATCCTCAGCCAATCTTGTTTTACACGACAAGGGCTCCTCGTCGTCTACAGAGCTCGACAAGTCAGCGTCGTATATACTTCATTCCTGACTCCAGATTGTTCTGTCTTGACTTTGCCATCAGCCCTGCTTTCACTGTCCCTTCTGTCGTCTGTCTGTATTAGTAGGAGGGAGGTGCATACCTCCCGTTAATGTGTCTCCTACCTTGGATAGCTACTTGCTTGCTGAGTCACCGCATGTGAAGCAATAAAAGATATACAGAATACAGAGTACATTTCCGTCGCCGAGTGTGGTGATTGCTCCCTCCATCCTCAGCCTCAGCCTCGTCACGGCCAGGCGACATGGGCGCCCACTCCGCCAATAGGAGGCCGCACTCGCTTTTCGCCGCAAAATCCCGCCGGGACTTCGCAACTTTTTGGTCGCATGTGCCCTTTTATCAACTTTGCGCATCAACCACGACAACGGACACGCAGTCGATATCCCACCCTCTGACCGCCTTCACTCATCCCACAGAATCCCCAAAACCCCGTTGCGATGGCATTCCCCGGCGGGTTCGGCGCCGGCGGCATGGCAGGCGGAGCAGCAGGAGGGAACGTCGGCCTGAGCGACCAGGAACAACGGATGGTGAAGATGGTATGGCAGACACAATTTGATTCCAGACCCCAGCACACCCTGTGTGAAGGGGCATGGCGTAGATGGCCTCAGGTTACATAGGCCGGCATGCCACGCACGCCCTATGGTGACAAACACTGAACAAAAGCTAATCGAGTTCCCCCTCTCCACGCAGATGCAAGCAGGCATGGAATCCTGTGTCGCTAAATCCATCCTCGCTGGCGGAGCGGGCTTCGTCCTCGGAGGAGCCTTTGGCCTGTTCATGTCCAGCGTATGTACCAGTCGCTTTTGTGGGCCTTTCTCACACTAACGCTCCCACCTCTCTGTCTAGATGGCATACGACACCCCCCTCTCGCCACAGGGCCAGCAGATCACGGCCCTGCCCGTCCGGGAACAGCTACGGCGCGGGCTCAAGGACATGGGCTCGAAATCGTACTCGTCGGCCAAGAACTTCGCCATGATCGGCGCGCTGTATTCCGGCACAGAGTGCTGTGTCGAGGGATACAGGGCCAAGAGCGATCTCTACAACTCGGTCAGCGCCGGCTGTATCACGGGCGCGATCCTCGCGTACAAGGCCGGCCCGCAGGCTGCGGCGCTGGGGTGTGGTGGGTTTGCGGCGTTCAGCGCGGCCATCGATGCATACATGCGCATGCCGGAGAGTGATTGATCGGTCCAGGATGGGAGAGGTGGAAAGAAATATGGCACAGAGCTAAACCGATCGGTCTAGCGAGGCTGAAGAGATGGCGCCGCCAGAAACAAGGCACGAGGGTATTACTTCTGCTGCTGCTGCTGCTGCTACATTGTTCCTGCACTGGGCGTGGCGTGGCGTGGCGTTTTGGATGATTTGGGTGGGAAGGCACGCATGGACTATCGCGCAAGCATCAACGCGGCGCCGTTGGTGGCGGGTGTTTTGCGGTGTACCCGGCTTTGAGCGCGCTCGGTCGTCTGGTATATATGGGATATGGGACATACGGGACTGGGACACAAGGGCCCATCAGGCGCAACTCACTTAGCGGGTCCCTTTGCAGGTGCATAAGAGGTGGGCTGGGGAAGAACATTATTGAAAGAAAGTGACTTACATCTCAGCTCTCGGGGGTCACTGGGACGCACTGTGAGCGTTGCGTAAGACGATCGGATCTCTCTCAGATTTGATCGCTTCTTTTTCCGATACTGGAGTTGTATCGACGTACAAAGCAGCGTACGGCCCTCTTTGTACACTTTTGCCAACTCTGGCAACAATATGTGGAAGGTGGTGGCTGGGAGGTCTCCCTGGCGATAGATATTCCACTAATGCTCAGCTTTCTCCTTGTCAAATTCAGCCTTGTCAACCACACAGACTGCCTTGCCCTTCATCTTTCCGCTGTGGGCCAGCTCCACCATCTTGGGCACCTCCTCCAGACCATAAAAGATGTTCGTCTCGACTTTGACGCCATGTTTCGCAGCATCGTTCAGCATCTGTTGGCTGTACTCTTGGCCTGCGATCAACGTGCCTTTGATCCGGATGTCGCGGAAAATTAGTTCTTGGAAGGCCACAGAAACCCTGCCAGAAAGTCAACCTTGTCACATACTCCCCCCGTCTTCCAGAAGCACTTACCGATCCGGTTGAGCGGTCTGCACCATCGTGCCGTGCATTCTGGTTATCGCACAAGCCATATCGGCGCTCGTTTCATGCTCGGACACGTTGAGGGAGGCGTGCACGCCCAAGCCGTCGGTCAGCTTCCGCACCTGCTCGACGACTTTTTCTTTGCCCTCTCTGGCATCAAAGATGTGCTTTGCCCCGGCCTTTTTGCATAGTTCGAGCCCTTCATCTCTAGCATCCACCGCCACGACGTTCAGACCCATTGCCTGAGCAAACTGTATGCCGAGGTGTCCCAAACCCCCGCCCGCTCCAACGATCCCTAACCAACCGCCCTCGGGCACTTCAGCGACAATTATCGCCCTATAGATAGTACAACCCGCACACGCCAACGGCGCCGCGCTCGCAAAGCTCACCTCATCCGGGATGTGGCAACTCACCCGACTATCCACGACGTGATACTCACTGAACGCGCCATCCACAAAGACACCAATATGGCCCTCGATATGCTCGCAGTACTGGTGCCAATCATTCGGGCCCTGACAATTAAAGCATGTCCCACATGGGTTGCGAGGCAGCCCAGACATGACTCGATCGCCTTTCTTGAAATTGGTGACTTCCGATCCGACGGCGACGACAATTCCAGTACCCTCGTGCGAAGCTGTGCAGGGAAGCTTGGTTGGGAACTTGCCCGCGACGACCATGCTGTCCGTGTGACAGAGAGAGGCAACCACTGTTTTGAGAAGTACTTCGTGTGGCTTGAGCGAGGTGGGAGTCGGGACTTTGTGGATTTGGTACGGTTTGTTGAACTGTGCCACCAGCCAGCCATTAGAAGTCTCATGTCAGTAGAGAGAACCTCCGAGTAAACCTGTTTCTACTTCTCCTGGCTTCTCTTTGCACTGAGGCACTTGTCTCATGCCAGCGTATTGGGTTTCTGCTATATTGCTTTAAACGTACCTCTACTATCTGCACAGCAAGCATTTCTTGGGGAATCCCTTCGATTGCCATCTTGGAGGACGTGTTGTTTCGATTTCTGTGTACAATGGGTTATGTTACAGCGGATCGGTGTCAGATGCAACGGATCTTTATGGGCGAGAGCCAAAGCCGAATGGCAGCTGAGCTATATGTTGAAGGATAGAGTGCACTCTTCTCCTCCGCGCGCGCTCTCTTGCCGAATGGGTGCCGAATGGTCCAGGCTGGTGATGATGTCAGCGTAACCAGCGCAAACAGTAAAACTTGTGCTGCTGCTGATTGGCTCGCATCTGCCAAGGATTTGATCTAGTGGGGCTGGCCGCTTCCGGACTAGTCGATTCTGGGAACCTGTGCGACTTCATTGAAGCTGTTCTTTGACACGACGAGTTGGACTTTCAAATGATTCCTTTGTTCTGCCTAATATCTGCTGCGGGTATTGTTGGTGCAGTAGCATCTTCCACGCGTAAACGTTTATCGTGATGCTCAGAGCCGATATATCTCCCACCTCGTGGCAGAGATCTAGTTGCCGCCCTGCAATGACTATTCTCAGGCCCCAACCTGCAAAGTGCGAGCCTCAATGCAACATAGCACAAGATACCACACACGCCGTTGCCAGATCCTTTGTCCGCTTGTCGCCTGGGAGTATCCTGTCACGTTTGGTTTTGGCACAATGTCTTTGTTGACCACAATTGGCTTCGCCGCTTTCGGATACGAGCTATACAATGCTTCCCTGCGCTGACTATGTCTCCCAACATTTGCTGCATGTGCCGTGAATTACTTGTTTCATCGCCGAAGCTGCTGCGTCTCCTGGTTTATCATTGAATATTTGTGGTTTAAACATGGCTCAACAGCATTACCAGGGCAAGCGCTTAGATGGAAGTCCCTTTGAGAACCCCGACCTTGACAATATCTTTGTGCACGCCGGAAGACAGTCTAGGACTAACCCAGTTAGGACTTTGCTAGAGCGACTGGTTGGTGTGGACTTCGATCCGATATGGTATCAAGATAGGACGAAAAGAGGCGCTTTCGGCAATCCCGACAACGGGGAGTCTATCAGGGAATTTCTCTCCAGGTGGCTGTATTTTCGAAGCGACAAAACAGAGGATGGAGGTGAGGCCTTTTCTTGCTTCACCTATCTGGTGAGAATGCTGACACCGTTGTGAACAGACTGGGGCCCGATCAGGCCTCTTGGTAGAGGCGGCTACGGCACAGTCGGGCTGTGGCAAAAGCGGAACAGCCAGAACAGGATCGTCGACGAAGTAGTGTGCAAAGAGATGAGGCTTCCTACACTGCGTGACAATCCGGAGAATGGGTTTGATCTCGATGACTACGAGATCGACCATTTGAGCAACCGCAAACTCCTGACCGAGGCTGCCATACATCGCGATATCAACATGCAGCATCCAGGGATTGCTCCACATCTCCGCGGATATAAGTTTCTTCAAGACAACGGGCCAGGCACAGGCAGATACCGATTCTATATGGAGTATTGCCCTAATGGGAGCCTTGGGCGCATCTGCAGCCTTTACCGATGCTGGAACACTTTCTTGCCCGAGGTCTTTGTGTGGCACGTATTCTACAGCCTTGCCCGGGCGTGTGAGGCGCTGCGGGACACTCCGCCCGCTGACAGCAAGATGCTGCAGTGGCCTAGAACCCGGGGCGAGGACTACGCCGACATCAGGGAGAACCTTTACTGCCTGCACATGGACGTGAAACCGGTGAACTTCCTCCTTGGCTATCCGCATGAAGGACAAGAATATCCAGCTGCGCTGCTGAATGACTTCGGCGCATCGGCATACACCTCTTACAGTGGAGATGGGCCTATCAAGAATCCGACGGACCTGTTCTGGCGAGGAACCAAAGAATATTATCCCACGGTAGGGTGGATCTGTTCAAGGAGTTGCCAATTAGCGGCCCTCTTGAACATGCAATCGTCAGAGCTGACATTCCGATATAGGAACAATCTCATTATGGGGTGAATTGGGATATTCCACCCGATGGTGGCCGGCTCAGAAATCAGGACGAAGATGGTGAGAAGCTTGACGCGCAAGCAGCATATCAGCGACGTAAGGAGGACAACAAAGATTTCCCCGAAGATGTGATCTTTGAGCATGCCTTCAATGTAAGTCGATATACAGCTCCGTCAGTCTATTCCGACGACGACGAAAGGAGACACATCAGACGGCGAAGGGACACCTCGTCCGTGACGAAAGCTGGCTGACGCATCCACAGATATATGGAGTTGGGCAGACAATGTTCGAGCTGGTAACGCTCGTGTCCGATGAAAGGCATCTCAAGAAGATCCGTGCAGACACGCTCGAGAAGTTTCGCGCGAACGGCAACCATCAGATCACAGAAGCGGACGTCGATTCGACGCCACCAGGCTTTTACACCCATCAGCTTCGCCATCTGGTTTATCGCTGCCTGGACCCTAATCCGGCGAACCGCCCCACGCAGCTTGAGCTCATGGATCGTACACACGAAGGCCTCCAGTTGGCGATTGAGCGCGCCGGAGGTTGTCTCCCCAAAGTATACTTTCGTGACCATGAGATCAACGAGATGCCCTTGGGAAATGCCGATCTGGACGCCGCACCGCAAGATTTCACGGACTTGATCAGAAGCGAGTTCGTCAATCCTGACCTTCCCAAACTGAAACTTCCGCCGCACAAATACAGGGGAATCGCGAGCGCTTTAGGATATCCAAGCTGGAAGAGCTTTTATCGCCGGGTGAATCCGCATAAACGGTGGTTTCAACCGGTCGGTGCGCCCCCGGACGCCGATCCACCTGAGGAGACGGACGACGACGACCACGACGACGTAGACGAGGAGAACTCTTCCACCAAACCGATGCATCCGGAAGGAAATTCCCAGAACAATGATGTAGAGTCCGATGATGAGGAAGACCAAGGGCCGAGACCAGCTCGCACGCCACCACCGAGTAAAGCGGAGCAGGAAAAGCGATCGAAGATGTTGCGACTACTTATAACTCAACGACATGGTGTCTTCCTCAACGGAAAGGACGCAAAAAGGCTTCTAGGAAAGAATGACTGGTATGTCGAGCGCGCGGCTCAAGCTTATGCGAGACTCCGAGGTGCTCCCTCAAAGCAGGCCGAGAATGAAAATGGCAAAGACGATGACAGCAATGGCAGCGATCACGGCCCCAGTGAGGATAGGCAGGTGGGTGCAGGACTGGGTCAAGGAGGAGCGCCGCCCTTAGTCGGCGCAGGATCTACATCGCAAGGTAAGAATCCCTTACCAGACCGTCGAGCAGGCCACTACCGTCACAAAGCCACACATACTAACCATCACATTGCAGCCCCTCACTCCGGAAGACCACGCTTCTCAACACCACGCACGCAAGGGCCAGACGCTCGAATCGATGAATTGCGACGCCGCGTGCAACATGTCGCCGTGGCGCATGACCCGCCGAGAGTGTTCCTGACCGCCCGTGCCCGTCTCGCGCTGTATTTGGAAGCCGCACAGAACGATGTCGACGCAGCAGAACGTCTCTGGCTAAGTGAATATGAGCGGAGATACGGCGGCGGAACTGAAGAGTCCGAAGCGTCCGAAGCTCCCGCGTCTCAAGACAACAATAGCACCGACAACGAGGATACTCTCGTGACGGAGCTGAGACGACGCGTCCAACATCTTGTCGCCGACAAGCCTCCGAGACAGTATCTCATCACTGACGATTGGCTCAGACAGGTTCTGGGCCGGCGACAGGGCGATCTCCACCTCGCGGAACAGCTCTGGTTACGCGACTACATTCGGCTCTACGAAAGGGGCGGAAGTGTAGAAAGTTCGGGAAGATCGACTCGTCAAGCTGGCAGCCTAGGCCGGGACGTGGGCGAAGACGAAGACGACGGTGGTGAAGAATCCACAACTCCTAGCCCAGAGGCAGGGCGCACAACCTACAAAGCGAAGGATGACAAGGGGAAGGCGAAAGCTACTACGCAAGCTAAGCCGAAGCCAGGGCCCAAGCCCAAAGGGGAGCCCAAAGGGGAGCCCAAAGGGGAGCCCAAAGGGGAGCCCAAAGGGAAGCCTCAACAGAGAGCCACGCGGCAAGGGAAAAGAAAAGACCCCGAGGACGATGATGACGACGATGATGACGACGCCGCCGCCGCCGCCGCGGCGCTTCCACCACGGCGGAGCCAGAGGGTAGCTAAACGGCAGAAGAAGTGACGTTCGCATGGCATGTACGGCATACCGGTGCCTGTGCCTGTATCTGTGCCTATGCGTTTCTGCACTGGCTAGATAGGGCGGAGAGGGAAAGAGACATACGGAGAGACGTGGAGACGACGAGCGTGGAGCTTCATCTCAGCAATAGCCCCTGGAATATGGGTGGAATATGCTATGCCAAGCAAGTGAAATGCATCAACCAAGTGTTAGAGCTGAGTGAGTGATGTCAATGGAAGAACCCCCCCCCCCCCCCCCCAACCCCGGGCCCCCCCAACACGCACACGTAGAGTAGAGAAGGAGGTCCTGGCCACGAATATATGCCTTCAGTAGACGCTCAAGGACCATCCAGTTCGGTCATATTACGCAGTAACATTATCTCCGAGTGGTAGAAATATTGCACACACTGTATGTATGTAGTACAAGTCTGGTATCTTATCTATCCTTTTCGTGCTGGTTCCTTCACGTAGCAATCCCAGCGGAACTCCTTGATGAGATCCGTAGACACATCCTTAAAAAGATGATGCAAGAATCATGCTGCAGAGGGAAAGATAAAAAGCAAGCGCCATCGCTGATGCATCCGTGAGAGCCAAGCCAAGCAACAGACGAAGAGCCGTCGCTATGCAGTCCACAATTCGTTCCTCGTTCCTCGTTCATCGCCATCACTCGTCGCCATCACTCCTCACCGTTCATGCCCTCCTACTCCCGTCTGCGGGAAACTCATCACTCACAACCAAGCGCGTATTGACATTCATACTCCCCAGCTCGTTCAGCAGTAACTTGAAAGCATACGGCAACGTCATCCTCACCACATTGCTCCCGGTCTTTCCCGCCTTTGCGCACCGCTGACACCACCTTCCAAACGCCATGAATCCGCAACTCTCACAGACATCGACGTCGTGCTTGTCGCTGGAGAGCATGAGTCGTTCGCGGAGGAGTTGACTTGCCCCGTATGCAATCAAGCAGTCACGTTCCATTTCTCCCAAGCGGAGACCACCGTCGCGGGAACGGCCTTCAGTCGGTTGGCGGGTCAGGATCGCGCGTGGACCACGGCTGCGTGAGTGCATCTTGTCTTGGACCATGTGTTTGAGCTTCTGGTAGTAGATCGGCCCCGTGAAGACATACGCCGGCAACGGCTCGCCTGTGATGCCACTGGTGAGGTAGTCTTTGCCGTCGTAGCTGTACCCAGCCTCCAGAAGGGCTTTGGACATATCTTCCAGCTTAGACCCTCCAAAGGCAGTTCCGTACTCAAATTTCCCTTTGAGGATGCCCGCTTTACCGGAGACCAGTTCAAGCATCTTGCCTACTGTCATCCGGGAAGGGAAACCATGGGGGTTCATGATGATGTCCGGAATGATACCTCGGTCCGAGAAAGGCATGTCGACCTGCTCGGCGATGATGCCAACCACGCCCTTTTGTCCGTGTCTGGAGGAGAACTTGTCACCCACTTCAGGGACACGAGTCTGACGCGTCTGGACCTTGATGATCTGATGGCCGCTACTTTCAGCCTGTGTGACCATGATTTTGTCGATGTAGCTCGGATCCGGAAGGCGGTATTTCTGGGGCTGATTCTCAAGCCCCATATCCATCCCATTCTCCGACAGCAGGGAGGAGTTGGCATTCTTGGGTACAGCCTTGTTTACCATGATCTCGCCCGCACGAACCATTTCACCGACACGTGCAATCCCGTCCGAGTCCAGTAGAGTGTGGCCCTTCTCGGGCCCTGTCCCGTCAGAGCGCATTGAGGGAGCCAAAACCTCATCGTGAGTGTCATTTGGATAGCTCTTGAGAGACACGGGGTATTTGCGCAAGACCTGGCAGCGTCCGAACCCCCGGTCGACGGAAGCTTTATTGAGGACCAGAGCGTCTTCAATATCGTAGCCGCTGTAGGACATGACTGCAACAGTGGCATTTTGTCCAGCCGGGAGTTTGTCATACTTGACCAACTCGATGGTTCGCGTCTTCACAAGCGGTTTCTGCGGGTAGACCATGAGGTACAACAGGGTATCAATTCTGAGGAACTGATTGTTGGCGATGAATCCAATGGCTTGTTTACCCATAGCACATTGGTAGGTGTTACGAGGAGATTGATTGTGGTGCGGATAAGGAATGAGACCGGCGACCGCACCGAGAATCGTGAAGGGCTCAATCTCCAGGTGCGTCGTGGTTGAGCAGATGTCTGATTCGTACATTGCAATGTGGCTGTCATTCTCCTCGTTGACATCCAAATACTCGACCAGGCCGCGGGCCAGGAAGTCGTCAAAGTCCATCGAGCCCTGCCTCAGTGACTTCAAGTATCGCTTGGTAACTTTGGATTTCTTGTCCTCCACAATGATCAAGGGGCGACAAATTCGACCTTCATCGGTCGCGACTTGAATGGTGTTGTGATGATGGTTGATAAAGATGGACACGAACTCGGAGATGCGCCCCGACCGTCGCAATCTTCGGAAAGACGTGAGAAAATGAGAAGGCATACGGGTAGTGGCGAGGGGGGTGCCGTTCAACATCACGACATAGGCTCCCGGTGCATAGAGCTCGGATCCGCCGACACTGGTTATGTCTTCGGCGCCCAGCATGAAGATCAAGCGCTTGATTGGTGCTTCTTCATCATCGGTCGTGATATGTGTCATCAATGCCAGGTTCTTCACCAGACCACACGCTTCTCCTTCGGGCGTGTCTGCGGGGCAGAGCATGCCAAACGACGATGGCTGTAGCGCTCTAGGGCCACTGACTTTGCGGGTTTTCTCGAATTGACTCGAAATGCGGGTCATCATACCGAGTGAAGCGATGAAGCTCAGCCGGCTGAGGAGGTGGGTAACGCCAGCACGGTCCATACGGAACCGCTTCAAGTTCCAGTTACCGGTAGCAATTGCCCGGTTCATCCCTTGAGTAATATGACCTGATGCCCCAGCCATGATCTTAGCAGGCTCGACGACAGAGGTCTTGTTGGGTTTCCTCAATTGTTTGTCAATGGTTGTCTTGATGTGGTAATTGAAGTTCTTGAATAGATCCTCAAACAGCAAAGAAAGTAGTTGCCCCGCGAGTTCCAGACGTTTGTTGCCAACGTAGTCTCTGTCATCGACTAGAGCCGGATTGCGCTTTGCCATCAAAACTCGGCGTGCCATGTGGGCTACGTAAAGGGCCTTGGGTCTGAAATTCAGGTCTTCCACGGGAACGTGGGCAATGAAGATGGCACTAAAACACTCGATTGCTTCCTGGACGAAATTCCTGCGGGTTTGGCCAAACGGCGTGTTTTTCGTGGAAATCTTGAGGCGTGCTCCGATGTAGTCCAGAGCCTGCTGCTGGGTATGGATTTGTGCCTTGATTGTCTCCTCGAAGTTGACTGCAAAGTCTTCTTGTAAAGTGCTGTCGGGACCGGCTACGATCGCCATCATGTCCATGTCGGAAGCCACGCCCATTGCTTTGAGCAAGATGCAAACAGGGATGTCTTCCTTGAGAATGTTGTGTCTCATGTATAGCAGGTCCTTCTTGAGCACAATGTAGCTCTTGGATTTTCTGGCGTGAGTGGAGCTGGTGACGGATGCAACGATGGAATCCTTCTTTGGGTCGGCCTCGACGATGATACGATTCTTGCTGAGCTGCTCTTGCACCAGAATGACTTTCTCGGTGCCGTTGACAATAAAGTAACCACCAGGGTCCAGAGGGCACTCATCCATGGCACACATCTCCGCTTCCGATTTGTTGGAGAGCACGCATTTGTTGCTTCGCAGCATCACCGGCATTCGTCCGATGGGCAAGCCTGTGCTGCGCCAGGAAGCATCTCCCTTCGCGTATCGGACGTCGACCAGGATTGGAGCAGCATACGTGAAATCCCGCAGTCGACATTCATTCGGTGTGACAGTTGAGCCTCCTCTTCGAAGGCTGGATTCCTCCATCTCGTCGACCCTGCAAGGCCGACCAATGTAGATGTCCTCATATTTAATGTAGAACTTTGGATCGATGTCACTTGTTATGAGAGGCTCAGCATCAATGATTTTTCTCAGCTCGACGTCGACGAAGTGATTGAACGAGTCGACGTGCTGCTTAACGAGTCCTTTGACTTTGAGAAACGCTGGGAGCAGATTCCACTTGTCTCGCGCCGTGTCAATCGGATCCGTTAAGGATTTGTCGTAGTAGAAAGGCTCTAGAGCGGCGCCGAAGCCGTCTGGAGGATGATTTGACCGGCGGTGTTGTCTTTCAGTCTTGGAACCGTCCTTCGTGACAGCTTGGTCCGTGGTGACACCGTCTTTAGGAGCTGCTTTACGTACAGCTGTAGGCTATCTTAAGTCAGTCAGGATGCGCTCAAGAGGGCAAGACTGCGCAGACCTTTGTGGCGGTCTTCCTTGCTGCAGGGGGAAGCGCAGCAGCAGCGCCATCCGCCTTTCTCTTAGGCGCCATGATGGCTAAGGAAGGAGCAAATGGATGAAACTTTCGGGCAACAGTCTTTCCTGCATGGCGCACAGGATCAGGAGAATGTGCGTGCGCAAAGCGGACAGTGAATGACTCTCAAGCCAGTTTCAACTCCAGGTGGGTGCGGCACAACTTTTTCGGCCATCCAGGCAGATGACTAAGCAAGGCTATGGCGGGCACCAGCAGCAAGTGAGGGGCCACCTGATGGGAGTCAAGGGAGGTTTGCCGAGCACTGTCAAATGCGCGACGCTTGCACCACTCGACTCGTACTGTACCCCAGTATGCCTATCACAGTATGGCAGCATGACTACTGGGTATTGGCTTGACAGCCAAGGTCGGGAGTCTCCATGCGCAAGCACACAGCTGCTCCTTGGGCTGTCCCTGCACCCCCGTCACATCTGAAACACAATACCCGAGCGACCGAGTTGGCCGAAGCACGGACGAAATGACCCAGCGAGGGGCAACGATGGATCTGCCAGCGCTCTGAGTCTCGGGCAGCAACAGTGGGGTTACTGCGTCGGTAGCTTTTTTTCTCATGCAGGGGATCATTGCACAATTGGTAGCGGGTCCAGTGCGTGGCTCTCGTTGAGGCCAGC